GGAGAGCGATGGGACGATAAACGACGGGGATGGAAGATAAGCGAGGTGGGGGACGAAGAAAAGATGGAACGATAAAACGACCAAGCCAATATATACTAGCACGCGGACGACCATCCCAAAAAGGAAACGCACCTGATCGCTCGATAGATGCATGTACCTGATCGTCGAAAAAAGATAGGCGAGTCAGCGATGATGAGGGCGATGATAGAGAGGATGGGTGCGCACCTGCAAGTGGGAGGGTCGTCGACGACGGCGACGACGGCGATGATGCTGAAGATGGGGACAAGGAGGGTGGTCAGCAACGATGACGATGACGACAATGACAGAGAGAAGGGGGCGCACCTGAGAAGGAGGAGGGTCGGCGATGTTGTCGTCGATGAGGTTGGCGACGATGTTGGCGACGACAATGCTGACGTGGCCAAGAGTGAAAGGCATCAGCGACGAGCGAAGGGTACGACGATGACGACGACGACAAGCAAAGAGGGACTCACCAACATCGACGACACCAACGTCGACAGCGTCGAGGACAGTGAGCGAGCGAGCTTGAGGGAGGGGAGGAGGGGAGGAGAAAATGTGGGGGATGCAAGTGGTCAAGAGTCAACCAATGCCTGCCCCCCAACTCCATTCGGAGGGGCCCCTTATATACCTTTCCAGAGTCCGGAAAAAAAGACCAGACACCGGAAATATAAACGGGAAAATAAAACCCTTAGAAACCGCCCCCAGCCGGCTGCCTCGAGGCAGGGCGGTATCGCATTCCATCGCTAACAAGATAAATCGCAGCACAGCAGGACGTCCGAATGCGGCCACTGGTGTGAAAAGTGCACTGAATAAACGCAAAAAGAAGCGCGTGAGGCGGGATTATGTGGGCTTGTGTCAGGGAAAGAAGTCTAGACGGTACGAGGTGGAGCATGGGATGCGGAATGGAAGCTTCGTAATCAAATTCGATGAATAAATTTTGCCGCGGCGGAGGAATGCGGGTACAGGAAAACGCAGAGAAAAAGGCAAGCTCAAGAGGGTGTCCCAATCGGGAAGACAATGTGTTTTCCAGTAATGCGGCTCGCACTAGACCCATAGCCGCTGCACAGCCTCCACCAAGTCCTCTCAGCCCGTCGCACGTCGAGTATAGTGCTCCCACCAGCATGGAATAGACCGACATAGATAATGTTTAGAGGGCATGCACGAATATCCACAGGGAGCGTCCAGTGGCTTGCCCGTGGCACAGAGAAGTTGAACATAATCATCGGCGAGCGTCGGAAATGTTCAGCCACCGGATCGATGTATTTGCCGCCGGCGTCGCGTGGAAACCATGTGGGCGATGTGTCCAATTGCCAATTGCTATGTATCACTTGTGGCGTAACGGTGTGGCGCCCACTAGGATGTCTCGTCTTGTTGAGAGGAGGGGGGAAAGAGTAGCAGAGGGGAAATGATGGGAGGGGGATGCAAGACTGGCTTGAGCGCATCTGCGACGCCCTTATATACTTGTTCGACAAGGGATCGAGGTTGCCATGCCTGCGTGCCAACCTTTATGCAAGGTTGGCACGGACAAAGCGCATTTATGACAATGAACGCACGATCACCCTTATCCAATTTACGAAGCGACGGGGGCCATGAAAGGGAAGGAATCAGTATGAGAGCATAAATTATAAACAAAGGACATACTAGCGCTCAGATGGAGGTGAAGTGTTTGTGAAGTGTGGACCAGGTTCGTGGAGACCTTGCATCGGTCGACGTCAAAAGTCGAGCGACGGTCTGAGTAACTACCTCCCATACCCCGTGCCGTCATGTTTCATTATTCTCGACTTATACTTACTGATCAAAGAGACATTCTCACTGCACGCTAGACCTAATTATCGGCGGTGTTCTATTATAATAGTACTTTACTTGTGTCCTCCTCTCTAATCTTCCCCTGACATCACGACTGAAAGGACGACTTTCTCCGATGCCACGCAGACGCCCTAACTCGTCGCAGGTCTGATTCGCTTTGCCCTTCAGAGCATTTCCAGCCTTGAGTGCATTGGCGGCTGCAAAGTCATCGGTAGGTCTACCCATAGAAGCACACTAAGCTGAACGCATCCGATCGATGATGAGCGCCGACATCAGTATGTGATCCAAACATCGCTGTCCCTCGGGAAAGATCCACAACATAAACGGTTGCTCCTCTGTTCGTTTTGCGGGGACTACATCTGGGGCTGGGCGGGTAAATGCCGCCACTATGAGCGCGTCGTTAAATTGACATTCTATGGTCTATTGCATGACAAAAGAAGGACTATCAGCGGGCCGTTCACTATCTTTTTATTCTGGTAGGGAGAGAACGACGGTAGAGAGAACGGACCTGGCTTTCGCCTTCGTACGCAGTCTCAACGAGCCAGTTGAGTCTGATCTCTTCAAAAGGCCAAGCCCATTGCATCTCGTCAACCTTTGATATGACTCTTGTTAATAGTGCACCTAGCCATGAATAGTACATATGCGCTTACTCGTGAATGACTGCGCGTCAACGCTTGCTTGATCCTCATCTGGTTGTTCCTAATACAAACTCTATCCACACGGCGCTTCGTTTCTCCCATCCTGATCATGCCATATTGAGCGGGCGTCAGATTCATGTAGGCTGTCCAAATATGATGAAGACCCATGGGAAAGAGGAACGTACTCAAAATCTCCGACAAAGGTGCCACTTTCTGAATCCCCTCGCCGAATTGTAGTGATGTACGAACCCGGGTGAAAACAGTGTTGATCCACCGAGATATGATACAGTGGATGGGCGTGAGAGGTACTCTCGGAAGGGAGCAAAACCATTGAAGTGCCGGATGAAGGTATGAAGAAGCACTTCATTGGCTTCCGGGCCTCTCCAGGTCTACAATGAGAATCGGAGTAAGGTTCAAACACTCCCCGTTTACAACCGTCTGCCTGCGTACGCACTGAATATGAACGACATCATGAAAGCGCACTGTTCCAGTCTGAGACGCCTGCGTACTCGACGGTGTTGATGGTCTGTTCCAAGGTGGATTGACGGCGCGGTTTGCAATCCAAGCATTAGGAGGTGGCCAGGACAAGGTGTCCTTCGGAGGTGGCAGTGGTAAATTCTGTGCGGGCGCACGATCATTTTGATTCGTAATAATGTTTTCACCTGTCGCCTGTGGCGGTGGAGGTAGAGGCTTTGGTAATGACATCCGGATGACACTCGCAGCGAAGGATGGCGGCTCTTCCGGAGGGTCGTCTTGAGTATCGGCTGGAGAAGCCTCCGCTCTAAATCTATGGCTTTCATTCCTGACAACTGGAGAGTAGCTGCCGTCCATTCACGATAGATCAGTTAGCACATGATGCGAGCATAATGAAAAATTCTGCAGAGTCTGGACATACCGTGGGGGTGCAAGAGAGGACGAAATGACGGAAAGTCTCTCCGAGTCGATGTCTTGAACTCGATGCATGGTCGTGGTTGGGAGGCAAGGAGTCTGCCAATAGTTGACGCCGGCATGGACCTGATACCTCGTCACCTTTGCACAGGAATATCGTGGCATCGCGCCTAGAGGAATAGAGTGCTTATGCGCTACTTTTATGATGCGCGGCTTCAAGTCAAGCACTCGAGGGTACGGTATTTCCCTATCGAGATTGACAGTTGTCGGACTCGGAGCAACGCATGCTCGTTATATTAGGTTCCTCTCCCAAAGCCAGTGAGCACCGAGTCTGCATTGTACTTGATGGGATCAGGCTAATAAGGACAGGCAGAGTGTCAACGGCGACCTGAGATTCGAGAAGACCTGAGAAGACGCTGTCGAAGAGACGACACGCCAACGACACGGTCGACGGAGTTTCAAAATGGCGATGAGTGGCGCAGATGGGCCACACGACTCCACCTACCACGAACGTACTCTAAGTTGCTCATGCCGGTGTGTGAGCAGAGCGCATATCTCAGCACTGTGTGCGAAGCTAGACAATATTCATTCATGCTGCAGAGACAGGGCACAATACATTGAGAACTCAGAAAATCATTGGAGTGTACTTGGAGTGTCCGAAACAACAGGGTATAGCGATCGAGAAGTCAAACACTGAGATGTCCAGGACGCACACAAGAGTCAGAGGTGGGATGCGAGGAGATAGATGCAAGCCAACACAAGCCAGACGATGTTCCAGCAGTATGTGATCACAGGTGCAAATAGCAAGTACCGTAACCGCCGACGAGAATGGTAGAGTCCGAGAAACGCGAGAGCAGCAACGATCATCTGAGGGTGTAGTCCGTCCGAATATCAGTCCATCCATAGTACAGCACGGAGTTTAAAAAACAACGAGTTGATTGTCAAGTCGAAGTCCAAGCAAGAGCATTCCACAACTGAGCAAGTTCCATGAGGCGAATCAGTTGGGCCCGACGTGACCATCGTTCGTCGAAACCGCCTCGTCCCGTGGGCCTCCTACGATCTCGTCCATATCGACCATCGGATATTGTAGCTGCATCTCATCGAATCCGTTCTCTTCATATATACCACTATCGTCCACCTTGAAGATATCCTCGGCACCGCCGAACGGCATGAACCCCGACGTCCCATCTCCGGGCCTGGGCGTCAGGTCCGTATCGCCAGGAGGGCAAGGGCAAAATATCGACATCTCGTGGTCTCCAGACGAGGCCTGACCTTGCAGAAGAAAATGCGAGCTGGCTCTCAAGTCGTAGTCCGGAGCTCCTGGCGCGTGAGGGAGGAATTCCCCGACGTCGGAGTCAAGGCCAAAATCGTGAAGGCTGAGGTCGGAAGGGGGACTATCGGAGGAGCTGGTAGGGGAGTACGAAGGCGGGGCAGAGAAACTTGACTGGTCGTATTGGGGAAAGTGCTGATCAGAGAGCGAGGATGTCTCGGAAGAGGAGCGAGAGTGCCGAGACAACTCGGACTGTGCGAGTGCTGCCTCGAGCTCAAGCAGGGTGTAGGCGGCCGAGGATACAGGCTGAGCGAATTCTCCGGGCAGCACAAATGAGGTTGGGCGAGAAGAGCTTTCAGATGAATAGCTACGAATGAGAAGTTAGACGACTGTGTCAAAGTGGACAACGAAGGAACTGACTCAGAACTGTCGTTCTCATCCCAGCGTGCGTGACTAGTCTCGTCAATGGATGGAGGAAACAGCTCATCCATCAGGGAGGACATGGCGTCGTCTGTAGGTGCAGTATCTGGTATGACTTGCTGTTCTGCGAGCGAGGGCCAAGTGGGAATAGACAGAGTGGTGAAAACGGGAAGGGGAACCCGTGGCGGGGGCAGTGATGTTTCGTGAGTGGAAGTCTCTCGATGAGGAGAGGGATGCGAGTTGGTAGACGGCTCATGCTGGAAAGCGGGAGAAGGTTGAATGAGATGGGTGGACAGCTCGAATGTGGTGGCGGAGGATGGGTATGAAACGGGGGTTCCAAAGGCGGTAGCCTGAAAGTCATCCCTTCTCTGCTTTGGGGCGGAGGTTGTAGTTTTCGCGCGGGAGCGTGTTTTGGCAGCTTTGGAAGACACATTCTTCGGGGCAGAGTAATGGCAGAGAAGACCGCGAGACAGACAACGCTTGCAGGTCGGGTGACCGCCAGAGCACTATATGTGAGGTACCACATAAGAGTCCGAGACAGACTTCAACCAGAACTGGTGCGCACCTTGGTCTTTCGTTCCCTACACGGGTCACAAGCCTGATCTGACCTCTGAAGAGCCGCAGGCGTGGGATTCCGGAAGAAGAAGCTACCTCCCTGGGTTTCTCCAGCTGGAGAATCGGTCTCGGCTCCTGAGACACTATGATGACGAGGACGCTTGGATAAGTGGTAGCCTGGAACAGCAGGCGTGGACGACAAGTCTGTGTTGTCGCCAGACCAGCCTTGAGGAACGGACTCGGGGAATTGTCCGAAGGACATGGTGGTCAAGATGATTTCGTGTCCCGACGAGTTAGAATCGGAGGATGCATCGTCTGGGGAATTCATGGTGTAGTCTTCTCGTGATGATTGACTGCAATCTCTGGAGGTGGAACCCGGACGCGTTCCGGGATGGTGAATGGGGTGAGACGAAGAGTAGTTGTCAGAGTTTACTAGAAACGGAAACGGTGTGGATAAGAGATGAGTGAGAAAGAATTGGGGTGCTAGACGAGGCAAGAAACAAAGTCTTATATGAGACGGGTAGCATCACCTCGGAGAGAATGAGACAGCCGGAAGATATGGCCTAGAGCGGAGAGGACGACCGACGTTGCCGAGTTTCATGTTGAGTGAACCTTCTATGATTTTGGAGCGTTATCTAGAAAATCCATGGACCTTTCTCCGCTGAGCATTCAGGAATTGTAAGGTAGCGTCTTCAGCACTAGGAAAGCCAGCCGTTTCAGTGTCGTTTCAGTGTTTCACAGCGCGCTTGCCGTTCAATATTGTAGATCAATATTTACCGGTCTATAAGGAAGTAATAGCTTTCGAAATGGTAAAGGTTTTGAAAGGATGCACCACGGCAGAGGCGAGAGAAGGAGGAGCTCGGCCTACCGTGACGAGTTCCAGGGCGTTGTTTGGTCTTGTTAGGATCGCAAGCTACCGGCATCTTCGGCTGGCTTCGGCTCCTGTCCAGAGTGGAGACCGCCACGCTGCTCTGCAAACAACCGCCACTTCTCTGATCGTCTTTGCGTTCTCACTGTTGGCTGATTCCCGACTTCACCGATCAGTATATGTTACTATTCGGGTCTTGATTCAAAACATGGCTCAATCTGTGTCTTCGCGGGCAGATTGGTGAGTGCGTACTGTTGGCTACTGTTGACTTCTCCCGCGTTGAACGATGTGTTTTTCTGATTCGTAGCTTGATGATCATAATATGAAACGTGAGAAAATGCTCAAGACGATATATATTACTCCACGCCGTTCTGTTGCTCTACTGCATCAAGGTTCATCAAACCTTCAGGGATTGAGCGCTGAGCGGGCGCCGGCCTGGGAGAGGCGAGAACATGATCTCCCTATGCTCTCGCCGCCGTAAAGACTACGGCAGTCGACGACCCGTCGTTTCAGACCACAGTGTACGTGAAATGTTTATGATTCACGCTGTCTAAGGCGGATATGTAACGATGCACCCCGCTTATAAGTTTATTTGCCTCAGGTAAATATGTAGAAGGCTTGAGTGTTTCAGTTTGGGATATCAGAGCGTAGTCTGCTCGGCATGCATCTCCTCGATCCCCCTGAAAGTTTCTGATAACTGATACGGACGCTAACACGCCCTCGTCTTCATGAGAATGAGAACGTCACTCTGGGAAGGCAGGCAGTGAGGACATGTGCGTCTTTATTGATTCGACTCGGGCTCGTTGTCCTCCGCTCCCTCGCTTCTACGTCTTTGTTGCTTCCTATTTTATGTCATAAACGATGGTGCATGATGAACCTTGTTCATTTTCCTGATGTGCAGGGAACGGTAGGCTCTCCCTTAGAATATAAGAGTCACTGACTATGAAGTAAACGAAAAAGTGTACCACAGTGCTTTCATTGAGGATGTCGAGCACACCTGCTTAGCAGTCAATCATTGTCTCAGATCAGCTGTGGTATATCCTTCTTTCGAAACACCAGATCGCTCCGGGCCATACTAATTTCAACTTTCTGACCCAGGGTCTTGGTCAATTATGCGACGCTATCAGCATACAGTGAGCATTTCGGCAGTCATTGATTCCAAGTCATCCATATCGGGACTGACCTTTTGGCCCAGTAGTGTGGATTTATGATCATTTCCTCAGTCTTCCCATGGAGATCCAAGCTATCTGGTTGAGGCCATGAACAGGCACTTCAATTCTCTTTGTTCTCAACCGCTATCTGTGGTGGGCGATTATTATATGTAACATATTATCCACCTTGCCGGGCACTCAACTCAGGGTGACGCAAGGTAAGTTCAAGGCTAGACACTCGACGCATTCATATACACTAATTCGAGTGCACTGCAGTTGCAATGCTATGAACATTACTGTATCCGTTGCGCTAGATGCTGTGACTATGACCACCGGTGGTAGTTATCCCCCTCGTTCTTGTGGTCCACGCATTGATGAAGCCGCTGACGACGGCCATGGCCATAGCCTTATTGGCTCTTCGTGTTTACGCGATGTACGGTCAGAGCAGGGCATTGCTTGCGGTGTTTAGCACGTTCATTCTTGGGAGATTAGCCATTGCGATCTGGGTATGCGTTCATTCTCAGTAGCCTTACTATCACTTTATATGACGTTCACGCTACTAGCTGGACTTGCTACTTCGTGGTGCCTCCACTAAGAACTCGCTACATGAGGCGTTCTCTGCTTGTGGGATTGGCGGCTCAGACTCTGCAGCCAGCCTCTACCAAAAGTAAAGCCCTCGTACATTCCAAACCCTATCATGGTTCATCTTGCTGATGCGTCATCGCCACAGGCGTATGCGGTATTGCTATCAACTCTAGTCATGACCATGAGCTAACTCTGGCGGGTGTGGTATTCGATACGCTGGTGTTAGGGCTAACGATGATAAAGACCTATGATCATGCGAAGGAGATGCAACGGCTTGGCCAGCTCAGCGTTACCCAGGTCCTTCTGCGCGATGGTGATTGTTGCCCTGGATCTATTCCGCTCCGCCATTGACATAGTTTTCTGGTCTACAGGAGTGATGTACTACACGTCAGCGCTGGCTATATTTTCTCCGCATGTCGAGTTGGACTGAATAGTTTCCACCACTGGTAGAATTGCTGTCATGATTACCATCGTCAACGCTACTCTGGAAGTCGTAAGTCTCGGATACACATATCCATACAACTCAACGCTGAAGCTTCCAGCAGGTCTCTTTAACCTCTGAAGAGCTTTCCATATCGACTTCGGCGTTCAGCGGACTGGTTATTCCTTTCTTCACCGTGTGAGGCGGCTGTTTGATCTTTTTACTGTCATACTGCAGCCCTGATACCCATCTATCATCTTTTTTCAGCTTGCCCAACCTTCTAATCAATCATCTAGTTCTGAATCTTCGACTCTTCGGATATAAGGTGACGTCCCCTAGCACAAGGCTCTGGTTGCGGGACTCTATCTAAACCAAGTGTGACTATTTAGTCGGCCCAAATCTCAGATCCCCCGCGACTGTTCATCGACTATGAAGCGACTATTGGCTGACTATGGATCGACTAGAGCACTGACTACCCGACTATGAACTGTGGCTATTGAGTTCAGCTAACAGAATGACTAGCCTTCTGACTACTCATATTGACTCTTCTGATTGATTTTTGTGCTTGACTACTATGTCACTCTCGTCTTACACAAGTCTTACATTCAACTATTTCAGTAATTCAGCGAGATTTAGATGATGGCTGTTCGTCTTGACTTGTCTCATTGAACTGTCCTACGTGCTGCACTCGGTTCTGCTGTTTGATACCTCTTTTTCTTCCCGAACCTACGTAGTGGCACGACTACTACGATGACTAAATTTATGATTATGAGGCCCCACAAAAGTCACTGGGTGACTTCCCGTGGGATCTATGCAAGTTTCTAGATGCTAGTGCGGAAGTTAAATGTCGATAGGTTTTTGGTCTGGGAGGCAGCACAAACCGTAGCGCGAGTTTAGGATAGGTTCATTACCATTGCGTAGAGCTCGGAGCAGGCGGACTACGAATGCGGCAGAGGTGGGTGAGCGCGAGTATGAGTTCGGAGCCCGATGGACAGGGGTGTCGACTACCATCAGCCGAGCCTTGGCAGCGTTGTCTGGGACATGGATCTTTACGCAGTGTCCTAAACGGCCATGGGAAGGTACCCAGTACCAGCCAGAACGAGGGAAGACTCCACTATCTGGGAGAACATATAGTCAGGTGGATCTAAGAAAAATACCGACTAAATAGTCGCCAATAACTTAGCTAGAAAATCCCTACGGCTCCAAGGCTATCCGAGCCGGCGTTCGCTCGAAATCGTGTACTCGGAAATATTGGCGCCCCTCTTGACTTCGGCCAGTGGGAGTCCATAAACGACGGTGCTGGTGAACATGGCGGGCTCTCTGAGTGCGAGGACCACGACGTCGAAGGAGGATTAGTATCGGCGGATAATGCGGCTGAGGTAGGACAGCCTGAGGAAACTGGGGTGTCAGAGGTACGTGCGTCTTGGCTGGTGCGACACCCGCGGAGGCGCTTGCACTAACTTGGTTTACCGGCAGGTGCACCGCAAGAAAGACCTGGACAAGATTCAGACTGCATCTGTGTAAAATTGTCACTATGTACGCCTCTCAGACGTCGGGATGCCTGCTAAGCCTTTCCCCGAAGCGAAGCCACTAACCGTAGCCGGAGACGCTACGCTCCGACAGTCATTATGCGCTAAACATGATAATCGTCTAGTCCACCATCCAACGCTTTAAGTCGTTCTCCATCGCATAGACTCTTCGTACTCGCAGCCATCCTGGCGTTCAATTAATCGCTCTATCTCGTGATTGCCATACCATCATTCCCTTTGTCAAAGATCACATCCACCGTGACATTCCGGCTGTATTGGATTGCTTCGCGCGGGACGAGTGGTTCATTCAGTTGTGATGAGAACTAATCTGGTTATATTCACTATATAGGTGCCTGGAGGATTGGCGCAAGAAAGATGTAACTGTGATGGTGGCACTCGAACATAGGAGCAGTCGACCGGCGAGGGGATCCGTAGGTGTACTCGACTTCATCCCCGCGCAATTATTGACACAACTTGACGTTTTATTAAAGCTCCGAAGCCCCATTCGTACCTTCACGTTCACGCGCTCATTCCTCTTGTCCTCGATGCTGAGGGCGTTCAGGGGCCATCATTGCGCCACTGCTCCAACTTCTTCCCGCCCTCGGCGTCGCTCATTTACTCGCCCGTTATTGCGACCCTCAATCCTTTTCCTCCCTGACTTATTTTCGTTCTGTCTTCCTTCTCTCGCGCTCATTTCTTAATATATCGACTGCGTTTTCCAAGACCTCCAGAAATCCCAGAAAAACCCAGGTATTTATGTCCTGCATAGTTCAAATATCGCTTGTCTAACACCAAAACCACTCTCGCCATAGATTCTCTCTAAGACAATTCCTGAATTCCAACCTTCCTCGTCAACTTGCCCTCGGTGACCTTATCCCTCTCCATATCGATTGTGCTACTAGACATCACCACATTTCCCCCAGTCAAACGTTGCTCACGGATTATCATAATGTCCCGACCCTCAAACCGCGTCCTCTTCATTGCTCTCTTCAGCAACATGCCTCCATATGCCCATGCCCTCCAAAGAACCATTGGCAAATTTGACCTACCCATCAGACAGGCTGCTGAAGCTTGTTTGGACCCAAACAACCCAGACTACATCAACAGCAAGCTCAAACCGGGTTATACCGCTGGACGATGTTGGGTCCTTGTAGATTGTGTGATGGGCGGATTGGCGCCATCGGACTCCTCTGGAGCGTCAGCCGGCTCTGCAATTAGTGCCTTATTGCCTACGATTTTGGCCCTTTGTGGTGGGTTCTCATGTTCTTCAGCTAACAAAGTTCAAACGACCATCATTGTACGTCAATGCTAATGATGCCTTTTGGGATGTTCTTCTTTCTTTCATACAACATCTAGGTCCTGGACCGGTCGAACTTGTGCAATTGGCTTTCGTATCTCCCATCCGTGCCCTCTCAACATGTACCTTTGGCATCGGCCTGCCCCCCGGTCTCTTCCGCCAACTATCATCCTCCCAGTCCCCAACCACTCTCGTCGACCCCTTCGAACGCACCTGGTCCATCCTCGTTCGCCGTCCGACTTCCATAGCGGACGTATTGAAACGAATGCTTGCCGACATCGCCATCATCGTCCTTTTCGGGGTCATGCTGTGGAGGAATTGGGTCGTGTGCAGTATCGTCATGGTCACATTTAGGTGTGAATATTCGGGCCTCTTGCTTTATTGGCCGGTCGCATGTGCGATGTGGTTGGTCATTGCGGTGGTTGGGTTGCGACTTATGGCAAGGAGTCTTGAGATTGAGTATGGTGGGGCGTCTATGGGGTGGGGGCAGGTGCTGTTGTTGCCGTATCGCTTGAAATCGCAGGACGGGTTGCCGCACGTTGGACCGGGTTCGGGGCGATCTACCAATCATGTCGGGGGTGATGCGATTGAGAACGCGCCGGGTGAGAGGGTTACTGGTATACAGTTAGGGGAGATAGAGGGATCTGTGTCGGCTGGGGTGAGAGAAGTGTCTGAACTACTAGGAAGTAGGTGGGCATCCTCGGAGCAGGCGATCTACCGGGACATATACCATCGTCCAGCGAACCCACAAAACCCATCCAACGACAGTACAATATCCACATACACTCTCCCATCAACAGGCTACTATAACCCGGAGCGCGACCTGGAACAGTACCAAGCTCTCAACAGCACAACCCCGCAAAGTTCACCACCATCTACACCCGACGCCAGCACGCTCGTCGTGCGGGTACGGATGTGGCATGTGGCGTTGTGGGGATGGTACGAAGCAGCTATAGAGGTGCTTGCTGTGGGCGTTTATCTGTACGCGACAATTGTGCTTTCTTCAGTACTATTTTTGTCCGGTCAGCAAAGCATGATATACACGGTCGTGATGGTGTTGTGTCTGAGTGGTGTCAGGATCATCTCTGCTACTACTTAGACGGCTTTAGCTTCATATATCTCCTTGTCATTTAATTGGACTCGTATCTCGATCTATGCTCAACTACCCTCGGGTCTGGGATTTACAACCCACGAAGACCTTGTGTCCGCTGGCTACCAGTATTGGACTGCACGATAGACGTGTAAGCGTCGACTGATTACCGAACGGCTCTCACACAGATGAGTATGATCTGAGCACCAATCGATACAGAAGACTTCCCTCGAGGGTCATTACTTCTCCGAAAGTCGGCGTCGTTCTTTCAACATCGGCTTCTCAGGGTACTGCAGAGTGCCATCGGCGTTGTGATAATCCACTTCGAAAACGAGATAGAAAAATAAGACCATCATTTCGCCGCATATGCCTCTGCGGTCTCTATCAATCCAACTTCTTCGCGCCTGCACGCGACAACATGAACAAGAATATCGTACAAAGTACTCTGTTTGGATGGTGGGCCGAACGTAGATCACTTTCCTAAAGCCTTCTCCAACTCCAACAACTTGTCGATCGTGTTTTTGATGGTGGTCTCGAATGTAGGGAATACGATACCCAGATCCTTCTCGGTCTTCGAAGAGTCCGTCTTGAAATGATCGTCCAAGCGCACTGCGACCACGTCTACCTCTGGAAGCTTGTCACTCAGCTCGGGATGGAACTTAGCCGCAATTCCCACGACTTGTTCGTATTTCTGTCCACCAGTCGGTCAGATAACGCAAAGTAGAAGACGCCGATGCGGTAGAATGGAGATGAGAAGCGTGAGACGCACGAAGTGCCCTTCGACAAAGAGATACCTCTGACCCTTCGCCGCGTCAAGCTCCACGGCTCGAACATGAGCCAGCGCGAGATCGCGGACGTCGCAGAACACTGGGAAACCCGTGGGTGGGATGCCGTTCTTCTTCCAAGTGCCGTCGATGGCTTGATAGATCTCCTCGATTGACGTGTTCAAGGAGGAAAGGGAGGTGATCTTCTGACTCGGCGGGCCGTAGACCATCCTGGGTAGTAATTCACATAAACCCCTTCTGTCGATCGTTCGAAAGGGGATGGCTTACGGAGGGCAAAGAGAACTTCCGGACCATGTCGGTTTCTCGGTCTTGATGTAGTCCCAAAAGGCCCGTTCAGCCAGACCCTTCGACGCACAATAGATAAAGCCTGAGATCAACATAGAATGAACTCCGTCAGAAGGAGATACTGGTAGTAGGGCGGACATATCATCGACCACGAGACCGATACCTGGGTGAGTAGCAACTTTGGCCTCTTCGTATGTCGCCGGGTTCCAACTCTCGGGGGTATACGTGCGTCCGAGAGAGGGTAGGTCCAAGACATCACACACCGCAGCGAAGGAGGAAGTGAGCACAACGCGCTTGATTTTGGGCTCGAGCTTCGTCGCCTCCAAGATGTTCTTGGTCCCATTGATAGCAGGGATCAGCATGTCTCGTTCATTGTCCTTGAATATGCGTAGTTAAGATCCTTATCAGTCTCGAGAGCATTAGAGACGCTTTTGAGGCCTACCTCGATCTTGTACGTGTAGGGCGAGGCAGTGTGAGCAATGATGTCGCAGCCCTTGACAGCCTCGTCGAAGGCACCGGAAGCTGCTATGTCTTGGACAATAGCGTACTGGAACTGATCCTTGTACTGAGGGAACATGGCGATCCATTCTGCGGCTTTGGTGTGCGATCGAACGGTCCCTTTGACGGTGTATCCAGCTTTGAGGAAAGCTAACGCCACTTCGGTGCCGACAAACCTGAAAATTAAGACATGTCAACCGCGGTCGTTCATGACCAAAGGTACTAGACTTGCCCAGTGACGCCGGTAACGAGGACGATGCCTTTCGTGGTAGAGGACATGGTCGCCTGTGATGTATAGAAAGAAAAGAAAAAATGCTGAGGTGATTGAGGAGAAGAAAATCGCACACAGAAGTTCTAGCTTTTTATATGGGATCGGGCTGAATGTGGGTATGGTTCCGTGCTTTGCGATGCTGTAATGAGTAATGCATCCGAAGCAGTAGATATCTAAAGCATCGCACGATGACCGAGTTGACCGTCAGTAAGTAAACTGGAAGGACTGGAAATCACCATAGAATGCGTTAGTCAATGGGATCTTCGTCTTCTGCGCCTTGGTCACAGAAATAGTCTGAAGGAGTCGGGTAGTGAGCGACAATGATGTTCTTGACGAGCTAATATTATAACTGAAGTCTCCAAGAAGACCGTATGAAGTGGCCATCGATCGTCCTTCTCGTATGGCGCTTATTCTACAAGCACTTTTCTCAGGCCCTATCCGAGTATCACGAACCACTGCAATTCCACTGGCGCCCAACTTTTTCAGAGCCAGCTGCCAAAGAAAGCTCTCACGAAGGGTGTGTTTTGACTCTTAGACCAGGCAAAGAGAATTCGTCCATGAATCCCAGGTTGACACAGAGCAAAGGTTTGGAAAGGTCACTTGGTTGAACATGGCAACTTGGCAATCCTGAGCTTGCCCTGAGCTGTTGCCAGCCAGAAGTAAGTGCGGACGTTGACAGAGTTAATATTATGTAAAACCAATTGAATGGGGTTTGGTAGTGAGGCAGATAAATTAGATAGAGGCTTTCGAGAGACAAGACACGATAGTACCAGTCACGAAACCGTGGTCGTTGAAGTTCGTTCGCCAAGCCACAGGCGTTTGAACGGAGTCATCGGTGCCACGCCGGTTCCGTCCGGAACAGGCATCTCGGCCGGGTGAGATGGTGTGGTTCAGTTGCGGCTCTTCGAGTTTCTCTGTTTCTCCCTATGGTCAACCCACGATCGCCCTCAGGATCTTTACGAACACATCGAAGGCTACTCCTGAAATGTTTTCTGATTGATAATAGTACCATAGATCTTTTGATCCACCGGTAAGTGCTACCGATATCATATGTAAGTACTCCGTTCCACTCCCACAAATTGCGCACGAAGTTTCGGTTCTCAGGCTACCCAGTATTAAATACCTATAGGTTGCTCTGACAAACTCGATAAATGACCGCCTCACAGGATGGATTAAATATACTCAGAACTACGACATATCATCGATACCGCCACAATTATAGAGCGTATTCGTAGATCGTAAAGTGCTCTCTCAAGTGTCGCTCGAAATCAACAAACGCATTCAGATGAACCTGGCTTGTGGATATGCCCAAGGTTTTGTTTCTCCTTTCCTGCATACACTTCACTCTGTAATTTTGCTTCAAGTCTGCGGGGGATAGCACAGTATTTTTCTACCCATCCTCTATTTCAACATCTTCATATCGCTCACGCAACTCTCGTACATCCAGGTCGCTTTGCGCTCTAGTTCACGGATTGCGTCACGTCTGAATAGGTGATCTCCTCAGCGAATAGTCTAGTATATCTAATTCTATCCAGCCCCTCGAAGCGTTGACCATTTCGGCGCTCGACCATAGCGTCAGAAGCGATTGGCCAACAGGCTTGGATACCTGACATGCTGGCAGGGAATTCAGGATGACCCTCGTCTGACGAATGCAGAATATAGGACTGGCACCCTTCAGCAATCGAAAACATCATAGGCCTCGAGAATGACAATGATAGCGACACGTACTCATGTTCCCTGTCTTCCTTGGGCTGCAGTTCGTCCGACTGGTTTTCCGACGAAGATGGCTTGGCGGAACGGCTTGACCGGCTCTGGAGTGCAGACAACTACTTTTTGAATGACGCAGTGACAGGTAAGCTCTGAGCTCGCTGTTCCGTGTATAGACCAGAGCCGACTTCCGACTAAATGTAGGTCGTACCAAAAATGCTCGGAATTAATCCTAAATCCTCTATCCGAAGATAGCTATGGAGCTCACCCATCAGCACCTTGAGTTATGTACTGTGTTTACCACCCAATAGATTCGTGAGCGGTGTATCGGAAAAAGCTTGTTGTCTTGTCCTCTACTTTACGCTTTGAATATTCGTAAATTCCTTGGCGCGCCACACTCGGCTCGCCACATTGTTAAATGCTTACTCCAGAACATCTTCTTGCCCGACGGGACCATACAAACCATATGTAGACACCGTATATCGTATTCTGTTGAACGTTCTAGCAAAACAAGTCTCTACATGAATGTCGAGGCTAGGTGGAGTGTCCAGTGGCGAAGGCGGTGTGGCGCAGGCTGCGCGGATCAGCGTCATCGCGGTTCGGGATAAGGAGCGTGCGCCTTAGGCTTGTCTCTCGACCACGACAGACAAAGCTCGAGCTCATCGTCGTCCACGATGACAACGACCCCTCCCGCCGCTCTGCCCACCATCGACGCCCCCAAGACCGAAAGGCCTACCGGTCCAGGACGTCTTCCGTCGCTCAATCAGCTCGCTGCCCGCATCGGTGCGAACGCCAGCGCAGGGTCGCCGTCAACGACACCGAGCAACCGTCCCCGTTTGGCTGCTTCTCTCCTTCGTACCGGCTCGACTACTTCTCTTTCTACCACTACATCTGCAGCCGACTCTACGACCGTCAATGCACCCATAACGCGCTCGACGTCACCCACGGCGCTTTCGACTTCGCCGCCCCATTCGACAACGGGATCCGTCAATGGAGACGCTGCCCAGGGCGAACCCCTCACTGTCGACAAGGTCGAAAGACTTGCACAGGAGACTTCTGAGGCGACGAAGAAGAAAACGAAGGGTTACAAGAACATCCCGAGCTTGGACGCCATCACTGCACACTATGCTCGGAATAGGACTTTGAGTGTTGATGGGACCGCGATGCCGCCTGAGGCAGAGGCCATTCCTGACCCTCAGACGCCTGGCTTGATGACGAAGCCTCAGGAGCATCCTTTGCAGTATACTTGGTGAGTGTTCTGTTACACGAATCGATATCTGGATGCGAGCCTGTGCCAGGATACAGGGGTATAACGATCGTCGAGACGACGCAACCATCTTCTCCTTTCTTGACTCACTGTCACTCCCAACATGAAAGCTCACGTTTCCAATCTTGAACAGGACAATCTACCACGATACAAAGACGAAAATCCCCTTCACCCCCGCAGCTGTACCTGACGCCGCATCGCATCCCGCGCCAGCCGAAGCAGGCGACTACGAAGCCGGCCTGACCACGATAGGCGAGTTCGACACCGTCGAATCTTTCTGCAGATACTTCAACTGGCTCAAGCCTCCGTCAAAGCTCGACAGAAACTCGAACTACCACCTGTTCAAGTCGGGTATCAAACCGATGTGGGAGGACGAGGCGAATGCGAATGGAGGAAAATGGGTGTTGACGATGAAGAATAACCCGGCGTTGTTGGATCGGTGCTGGCAGTGGCTTACGATGGCGCTGGTGGGTGAGGAGCTGGATGAAGGGGACGAGATTTGTGGGGCGGTAGTGAGTCTGAGGAGCAAGGTGGACAGGATACAGCTGTGGACGAGGTCGAAGGATGATGTGGAGAAGATGAATGGGATCGGGCGGAAGTTTGTAAAGTTGCTGGATGTATCGGAGGCGGACGGAATTGGGCTTGAGTTCCAGGTGTGTTTCCCTGTCATATCTCCAACAAATCGTTCAGATATTTACGACTGCTTCAGTACAACACAGAAGACCGTCCACTCCCAAACAAATTCCTCTCCATCCAAGCCGTTCCCCAATCCGGCTTCAGACCGTCCTTCCACTCCAAATCAGGAAGCGTCACCTCCCCCATCTCAGCCGTCAGTGATGCCGGATCCGCTATCCCTTCAAGCGCTGGCCCCGGCGGTGCATTCGGAAGTTTCAGTGTGGGTGGCGGTGGCGCTCTCGGAGGCGGAGGCGGAGGCGGAGGAGGAGGAGGCGGAGGCTGGCGCACGAAGAGTCGCGGATAGGTCGCTCGTTGCGTTGCTCTTTTTGCTCTTGAATCATATTCGGCCATTCGATCTTCGTCCAGGACCAGCTTCTGTTTCTCTCTTTGTCCCTACTTGTTGTTTTGTGCGGATCAAGTCTGCGGGTGCAGCCTCTGCATGCTTCGTTTTTCGTATCAATGGAAGCGAGAGTGAATGTCGAGAAGTCTACGTGTTTCCGGGTTGGCCGTTTGGACGTTCGAAATCCACCTCTACTGTGTAGCTCCAAAGTTGAATTGTAGGCCTCATGAATCAAATGTACTGCTATCAAGACGACCTCGTCGTCTCTGAATTTCTGAATCTCTAGCTTTTACCTGGTCTCCTTGGCTTCGAGTCTCTTGTGCTTCGCGAGGCTGATTGTCCCTCTGCATCGATGCTTGACATGATGGCTGATGTATTTGTACTGCTCAATAACAGGGACGTTTATCGCTGTCGTTGATTGACGGATGCGTCTCGACCAACCTTCCTTAACTCTTCATGCTGATCGCTGTCACCGTGGCTAATTAGGTGTTACCTCATCAGTAAGTGCCATCCTTTGTTCATACAATTCGACCTTCCCAGCCAATGTACTTATTGACCTTCCGTGCATGTAGTTCTACCGGTGGGCCATGCCTCTCCGCTCCCGGAATGCACACCCTGGCATCCTCAAATATTCTGAACCCCTTATGAAGAGCTCGACGAGGAGGACCGGCATCCAAATACTGCAACAGATTCGCGGACTGCTCTTTCTGCTTCTCGCAGCCCACGATCGAAAGCTCAATCCATAGATTATTCGACTCATCATGCTCGCCATAATCTTCGACCAAAAGCCGTATCCAATAAATAACCGATAGTCCGTGAAGAACGTGAATAAGTATACATTCGTCATCCTCCTCCCTCCTCCTCCTCCTCCTCACATGCTCTTCACGCTCGTATTATCCAAAACTTAGACAGCCTTGCTTCCACGTCCCCTGCTCGAGCAGCACTGCACCATCGCGCCAGTGTCGACGCTGTTACCGAAGTGCCCGCCGTAAGGCTGGCATTCCTTCTCCGCCTCGTTGAAGTACGCCTGCTGGTTGACGGCGGCGCAGCAGTCCTTGGTGACTTGCTCGTCGGTCTCGCCGGACCCGTCGAGGTTGGCGGTACAGATTTCTGGGCCACCTGAGATGGATTGAAAAGTGGTCAGTCCTTGGTCAATGGGAGGCTACGGCGTTGGGGGAGATGCTCGAGTGAGAAGATGAGTGTATACCTCGCTTGTAGATGGCTCCCTCTAGAGAATGGGAGGACAGTCAGCATTAAGTCTACGAGACGACGTTTAGAAGAGGTATTGCGTACCAGAAGTCTCAGCAGCAGGAGAAGCAAAGACGGCGAGGGCAGAAGCCACGACGGTGAGGAGGGCGATAGAGAAACGCATGATGATTATAGAAGGTTAAGTGTGGTGAGGGGTTTGAGTGGGAGTGGTCGTTATTAAGTAGATGAGTAGTTGAGTAGACGAGGTGGACAAGATTGACTTGATGCTGAGACAAGGTCAACTCACGAAGGCTTTTATACCCGGAGGAGTTCTTCCAGCACTGCCCAGACACAGCGGACTTCGTGTTTGAACGACAAAAGACGAGGTCACAAGTCGTACTGTATGCATGGTGTACTGTATCGCCTAGCGTGGAGCATCTTTCCAGAAATTTGGGGTCTTCCTGCTAGCTCGTATTATTTCACGGAGGCGGAAGGAATGCAGACTTGACACGCTCGTGGAGGTGGGGCGAAATGCTGTGGCGCGCCACTCAACATCAACAATTTGATGGATCGTAACGAAGGGCCAAGAGAACTTCACCGCAGATCAACCTGGTAAGTTAGCCTTGCATTGTTAGCCGATGACTGGTGACTCCTGTAGGCCTGATCGTTGCCGACTGGATGAACTTAGCGCCACAGCTCTCTGCGTTTTAGAGTCGGTGTTTCCTCTGTAAAGTTGTGAGTGCACCAGTGGTCACTGCAATGGAAGTACGGTTCGTTTGACGCCAGTACGGCACCGTATAGATCCTGGATGATGTAGAGTAAACTAGTAGAAGTCTTGGCTGAGTAGGTGCGCTGGTGGAGGTCTCCGTCATCCCACAAAACTGCGTGGTCTTGGTGTGGCTTGCATTCAGAGGTTGACATCGAAGTCTTGCGAGTTTTCTCGCTGGATGGTCATGTATGTTGTGAATATAGCAGGTCAATATGTGAGGGATTGCAAGGTAGCCGCTCAAGAGAACGCGACAGCAGCATGTCCCAGTAGACCAAACCTCTCGCCTCCGTGAAAGAGAGTTCAGTAAGTTGTTTCGTCGAGTGCGTATAGCCTCTGATCCGTTATAATTAATCTATCGGGCCCGTTTGGAACCCTCAAACAGAGGAGAGTGAGGTCGGGACTCTGCAGAAGCTCTGAAAATGAACCGCTAGAACGACGAAGCAGTGATGTACGACTCTTCAATCACGTACCGAGGTGAACGACATCACACCTAGGACATGCTGGTTTTGTCCGCGATATACTTATGCTGTGCGACACAAGGCGAAGTCTCGGAATAAGATCGAGCTGGTCAGTTGATCATTTGACGACTTGGCGCTGTGTTCTCCACTGATGGCGTTGATGGTGTCTGTCAATAAGCGCCGGTGAAGAGAAGTCAGTTCGAGGGACTACAAGACGCACGTCGACAAGAAAATGGCAGTCGCCTTTCTATATGTGTACCAGAGACCTAAACTAGAAATAACGAAGCGCATTCCATGAGGGTACGTATTTTCCAAAATTTTGGCTAGAAAGAAAACCGGCTTATTCCTGTCCTGTGCAGGATGATTGCGACGTCATCATTGTCAGACAAACAGCACTTCACCGCCGCAAAAGAAGGTCGCTTTACGTGGGTCTCCAGTACCATCACGAGCGCTCATATTTGAGCAGATGCCGGGACTCATCCAAAGTGGACACGACTTCTCTGCCAGGCTAACACGGTGACAGCAGGCTCGGTGCGATGTGCACTGCCTCTAGTAACGATGGCCATTCATGAAGGGTTTGGGGTAAGTTTGGTGCAATGCATTAGGGCAACCTGAGCATAAGGTCACAAATTCATGCGGTAACAAATACCGTCAACTAAGTGTAGACGCCCCCGAAGAGGCTGGTCATTCGACCTCGTTCAACCTCGTTCGTGAGGAGTGGGCTCAGTGAAACAGCACAGCAGTCGTGATGAGATCAATCATTCTCTCGATTAGGGCTTATATGTTAATAAAAACTTGGAACTTTTTGCGAAAGCTCATTGGCGGATCGGACAGATCTTCCGCCAACGAGTTCCAAGTAAACTTGAAACATATAAGCCCTATTTGGAGAAATTATTCAGGATTGAAAGTGCTTACCGAACGATGTCACTGCAGTGGGACGGCTGCCGGTGTTGTCAGTACCCCAGAATTAACGAAAGATTGAGTTGGGAGTGTGCAGTGCACGAGATCCGTGTGCGGAGAGCTCCTATACGAAACGAGTTTAGAGGGCAAAGGACTCAACCAGTGAGTATGAAGTCACCTTTCAAAGACGAAGTACGCATCCGGGCTGTTACCTATAAAGAGGGGGTCAGTTCGCTTGAAGTCCTTCATCACCCTCCCACTCATCCAGCCACACACCCACTACCCGTTCTACATACCTCACACCGTCAACGATGTTCTCCACACGCTTCATGCCCACCCTCGCCGTCTTCGTTGTCTATCTGACAACCCTAAACGTTGCTAGTAAGTATAGTCCACCTAGACCTCAAATATGTACGAAGCAGTGACTGACCACCATTGATTTTTCAGATGCATCCATCCTCCCTCGTGGTAAACTATCTATCCGCTCTCGTTGAGGTCGACCCACGCTGACTTGATGTGTTTTATTAGGTGGACCAGAGGTCTGTACCGACGCTCTTGACGGCACAGGATGCACCAACTACCAAGTCACGAAGGACTGCTGCGCCGCCGTCAACCAGAAGGCATACTTCAACGAAGTCTCGTACGAGTGCTGGCCATACTCTGGCCCGGCAGGAAACAGCGTGGACACGGGAGGAATGGTGAAGTGCTGCTCGAGCAGGGGGAAGGGGAGCGCGGCGGTCGACTATGTCAATGCTCAGCTTTGCTGAGGTGGAGATTTCGTGCTTTGCATACGAGGATGATTGGGACGATGGTCACGATTTTGATACCAGACCTTTGTTTATTCACGATTAATTTTATATTCTGACTCGGCTGCGAGCTACATCGAGTATACAGTCGAATACCCTGTTGGGCTGACACTTCAAAGAATGTACTTGGGCGAGATGATAAGACACGAAGAAGAGACTCACTCAACACAAATGACGCCCCTGATAACACACGACTCGGACAAGAACAGACTTCAACCAAACGTGGAAGACGATCAGCCTAACTCGAACACAACCGCAAAAAGACAGAGAAAAAGCTCACCTATAAAACATCAAAGAAAGAGGCGTTATATGGAGGATACGGAGCCATCTCTTCTTCCATGTCTCCTCCGTCGGACCACCATTCGGAAGAACCATACTCTGACCCGCTTTCTCGAGAGGGACGATATGAAAACGCGCTGCAGTCGCTGTCGCTTAGGCCGCACGTCTCCCATTCGCTGTCTTCGCTACAGTCATCTGCCGGTTCGACGAAAGAATCCCCGCCGTCGAGGTATCGACTCGCGACGCGCCCGACCGGAGGAGCGAGGTGCTGTCGCCATTCCACGACTCTGACGGAATCAGCGATCGTCCAGTATCTCGGAACGTCCGCGACCGTCGACGTACACTGAGCCAAAGATTCGTGGGGAGGAAATATGAGAGGTAAATCAGGGAATAGTAAGAGCGAAATGTCGAGGCGTCTGCATCCTTGAAGCGACGGGAATGAGCGCATTCTGAGATCGTCTGGAATGAGACCGGGCATGGATGAGGGTATGGTGTCGATGTCGAAGGAAGGGACCCAGGCGTCGATCCATCGCAAAGATTTATGGCTTTTGATATTAATGAACGCTTCGTGGTCGTCGGTAGCAGCGATAGGGGCGACAAAGTGTTCGAGATTGGGACAGAGATCGAGGAGTCCTTGGTAACCTTTAGTATCCTGGTCGGCCCAGCCCCATTCACGGTCGAACAGATCGTCATCGAGGCGAACTTTGCCGTCGTACTGTAGAAGATGGAGATACGAAAGCTGTGGTCCCAGGGACTGTAGAACCTTGTCCATCATCACAAAGTAATCGTCGAAGTCGAATTTCGTCCCGCCCCATGATGACACTAGACACACCACCAAGGATCGCAATCCAGGAAATGACGACCGACGGCAAAAATCGACGAAAGAAGCTTGGGCTCGGGGTCCAACCATAGCTTGAAATTTGACTAACGATGGACAGATGAGAGGCTCTTGGGCGGGCGAGATAATCGAAAGGAATGGCAGAGTAAGGGAGACGAGGTTATGCATGGAAGTGGGATGAATGACTCGACAGATGAAACGTATAGATGTTCGGAAGAAGTCCCTGTGTATGACGTTGATACGAAGGTCGGATAGACGAGGAGTGGCAGTTTCCAGCCAGGCCTCCCATTCATGAAGGTTTCTGATTAACTTTCCATCTCCAGAAAACCAACAACTCATACTTCGGAGAGAGCTGCAGAGGGCGACGACTTTGGTGAGGTGCTGGCGCGTTATATGTGCGGTAAACACCGGAATGTACAGGTAGAGGTCTAGTCGCCTAACAAGACCGCAGAACGATGGTTGAGAGTTGAAGGTGGTCAACAAGGATCCTAATTGTGTGAACGAGTCGAGTACGATGTTGGAGTAGAGGATGGGTAAAACAAGGCTACGCCATCCTTTGGATACGCGGGACAACGAGCCTCCAGTGCGAGTGACTTTGCGCCAAGGAGGGGCAAATCCCCAATCAAAAGCCGGGTTGAGGAAAACGTCGTCGCTGGTAGCAGCGCAAAGACGAATGATATGTACGATGATCTCGAATGGCAACTGGTTGAGAGTGATCGTGGTTGTCGTTGACCCGCCTAAGTTGCTGGCTTCGTAGGAGATCTGCCGGCATCTCGAAGCGTCGTCCATGGAGAGATACTGAATAAAACATTTTGTCATTCGGCCATTCGTTAGATCCCATTCGGGTTGGAAGAGGTCTGATGATATGGCACTGACAACTATGCCGAAAGGTTGTGACGATCGTAATTTAGAACTATGGTTCCGGGGTAGGCTACCTGTTTTCGTCGGTGAAAGCAAGGTTGATAGCTGAGCGCAGAGTGCTGAAGAGGCACGAGTTCGAAGTATACTTTGAAGCTTGGGGTTGTCGAGAGCAGGAGATGGTAAACGATCAAGGCGCGAGGTAGTGGGCCGGATCGGACCGCCTCGCCCTGGCCTATATCGTGGCAGTCGCACGGATTTACCATGATTCTTATACGGAGATTCTTCTCGAGATCACTGGATGGTTGTATGACATATATGCACTGTAGTCGGTCTTCTTTTCTTTTCTTCATCCCCAGCCTTCTGCCTGGTTCCGCTCTGTGCCTCGGTGGCGCGAGCAGTTGTCTTGTACGTAGTGAGTGTACGGCGAGACAGGTCACTGTACGGTCATCTGGAGTATTTATGGGCAGTATCATACAATAGTGATTTATCGCGCGACAAGAGGTGCACAAGAATTCGATACTACACAAGGTTGCTCGCTGTGGGCGCTAAGTAGTGGCCGGCGGCGGGATGCGGGGCCGCTCGTTGATATGCGGTTGTTTGTCCTTGTTAGGATCGGAGGTCGTTGGCTTCCGGGGCACAATTTGTAATTCAAAGCGCTGGCTTCGCAGATTCGGCCCTTGGATGAACTTCTCCCGAAACTCCTGTCATTGCTCTCTGCTGCTCCACACCGCTCAACAAATGTTTTCTCAAGACGAACCTCGTGCATCGTATTCTTTTGAGTCCTCGCGCGTGGTGCTGTCCTCGCTGGTGCTCGCCGCGCCAAAAATTGTCCCGCTAAGGAGGCAAGCGTGATTGCAGCTGCAGACATTTCGACCGATACGTCCGTTCGCAGCCCGAATCAGTCCCGAATCACCTTTCAATTGACAGCAGGGCAGCATTCGGGAGAGTCCGGTTTCCAGAGGGATGTATCGTCGGGGAGCCGTGGCGAAAAGTGTTGTTGCGCTGTGGTCGTTTTGGGTGCTCGTTCTCTATATTTACTGACTTTATCTCCTTTTTCTGAGCAACACAGCTGGTTTCGGTGCCACACGAACTGTAAGCTGCTTGCTCTCCTGATGGTGCCTGTTATTGATCTCTTCCTCAGGCCTCCGAAGCACGCCGATCTCCCCTCCGGCCAGGTCCGCTGCGCCCTATCCGTGCGCGGATTGGTTGGAGATTGCTCCTGGAGAAAGAACATGCGGGAGATAAGATGACCTCCTGATCAAAGCGATCGTCATTGAAAATTCCGTCCCGCGTTCGGAAGTAATGCGCCGACTACAAGTAACAAGCTCTCTCCACCCGCCCTCTTCAATTTTCACTACCACCTCCTACCACCATCTCCACCTCCCCCTCCTCCACCAACGCCCACCATCACAATGTCTAATCTCCCCTCTGAGCCCGAGTTCGAGCAGGTATGTCCAAGCACTCGTCAGATCGTTCACTACTTTGTACTGACAAGCGCTTTCCATAGGCACTTAACGAGCTTTCCGAAAGCTTGAAGCCTTTCCTCTCGGAACACCCTGAGTACGCAAAGGCCTTCGAGATCGTCCAGATCCCTGAGCGTATCGTTCAGTTCCGTGTCGTTTGGGAAGACGACAGCGGTAAGGCTCAGGTCAACCGTGGCTTCCGTGTTCAGGTCCGTCTTTCTCGTCGAGTCATAACTAGACGCTCGCTCATATTTTGTATGTAGTATAACTCTGCCCTCGGCCCCTACAAGGGCGGTCTCCGTCTTCATCCTTCCGTCAACCTTTCCATCCTCAAGTTCCTCGGCTTCGAGCAGACCTTCAAGAATGCTTTGACTGGTCTCAGCATGGGAGGTAAGTCTTTCGACTGTCTTCCTTCGTCCTGTTTCCTTTCTCTTCATCTCTCCTTGTATCATATCTCTCCCTCAAACACCAGTACTTACACCCTTGTCTTTATTTTAGGTGGTAAGGGTGGTTCCGACTTCAACCCCAAGGGCAAGTCCGACAACGAGATTCGCCGCTTCTGCAACTCCTTCATGGCAGAGCTCTCCCGCCACATCGGCAAGGACACCGACGTTCCCGCAGGCGACATCGGCACCGGTGGACGTGAAGTCGGTTTCCTGTTCGGTGCTTACCGTCGTGCGCGTAACGAGTTCGCCGGTATCCTCACAGGCAAGGGCGCCTCGTGGGGTGGCTCGCACATCCGTCCCGAAGCTACTGGGTACGGTGTCATCTACTACGTCGAGCATATGATCAAGAACTCGTGCCCAGAGTTTTCGCTCGACAAGCCCTCGACTCGCGTCGCCATCTCTGGTGCGGGTAACGTTGCCCAGTTCACGGCGTTGAAGGTTATCGAGCTCGGTGCTACCGTCGTGTCGCTGAGTGACTCGAAGGGTGCGTTGATCAGCAAGAGCGAGAAGGGTTTCTCGAAGGAGGTTGTGGAAGCGATTGGAGAGTTGAAGCTCAAGGGTGGATACCTCGAATCTTACCAGAGCTTCGCGCCGGGTGGCGAATACGAGTACCATGCTGACAAGCGCCCATGGACTCTCGTTGAGAACGTCCAGATCGCTCTTCCTTCGGCAACGCAGAACGAGGTGTCGAAGGAGGAGGCGGAGGCTCTTGTCAAAGCTGGTGTTCGTATCGTTGCCGAGGGCTCCAACATGGTGCGTTTCTTTCTCTCGTCTCTGAACGTGATTGGTTGTTTACATCTGTTATCTCTAGGGTTGCACTGCTGAGGCCATCGACGTCTTCGAGGCTACCCGCAAACAGGGTAAGGGTGGTGTCTGGTACGCTCCCGGCAGTACGTCATACTTTTCTTTTTCACGTCTCCTTCTACGCATGACTCACGTCAGTTCTTGTATCGTCTTGCATCTACAGAGGCCGCCAACTGCGGTGGTGTCGCCGTATCTGGTCTCGAGATGTCCCAGAATAGCCAGCGTCTCACCTGGACCCCCCAGGAAGTCGACTCGAAGCTCAAGGGCATCATGACTGACTGCTTCAACGTACGTTCGGAGCTCCGCTTTTTGCTTTTCTCTCGTCTGATTTTTTTTCATCGTTTCGGGTATGCTTGTCTGGGAATGTGGCGTACTATAGATCTGTCTCGACGCTGGTAAGAAGTTCTCTGGAGAGGACCTCTCTGGTGACGTCCTCCCATCTCTTCTCTCTGGTGCCAACGTTGCTGGGTTCATCAAGGTGCGTCCTAATCTTCTGTCTTCGTGAAGATATCCACATGGCTAATTTCGATTGTCGCTGTAGGTCGCCGACGCCATGAAGGCCCAGGGCGAATGGTGGTAGACGCCTCACCCTCCTTCCGCCTCACACATATCCCCTCCATCGTCTTATCCCCCCACTCATCACCATCCTAAACGCAAAACCAAAACGCCTCGGCTGAAGCGACTTGACTTATTGTTAGAGGTGGCTGTATCTTTACATATATAATCTTCTGTCTTTGGCCAGCTGGGCCGCGGGAATCCCTTTGTATACCGGTACACAACTACTTTACTAGAGCACTACACTCGGAAGTGAGGAAAGGAGCGCTATGTGGAAGTTTGCATTGTATGTACGGCGGCGTATACTTATGCATCTATGTGAAATGTAATGATTATGGATTCATGATGGATAACGTTTGGTTTGCCTTCGTCGGATGGTTTTTCCAGAAGTGCGTAGATTTTGGTGGTCCCTAGGTGCTGGTGAACACTCTGGGGAAGGCCCCACATGTGTGCCCTGTAACTTTCACTTTGCTGTCAGGGAATACTTGCGGGCCGAGACGGTGAAGCCAAACTTGCGCAAATATGGACCACTCGGGTGACACGTTCGCTTCATGCATGTTCTGCACTCTGGCTAGCACCCTCTACGCGTTGCCGTCCTGAGGTACGATCAAAGTATTCATTTTATTCATCAGCCCCTCGTATCAGCCATATAAACGATTTCAACCGTGATCGTAACATTCAGGCCATTTTGATCAGAGAAATATCTGTTCCACTGTTCAGATGTTCCTCGCGAACTAGCACGAAGATTTCTCTGCTCGCAGCTTGATGGGGATCTTTCCCCTGGTGAAGTATTTCAGATCGTTTGATTAGAACCGCTAATTGGCTGATTGTTTAACGCAAACCAATCACTGCCCCAGGCAGTACTAGTGCGGCAGCATGCTGCAATAAATAGGCTCTCACCTCACCCTATCCGTCAGTTGAAGTTTACGATCCCATCATTGCTCAGTTGATGCTGAAGTGGTTTGCGGACCAGAGCAGTCGCGAGCAGAGGCCATCGTGCGCCACAGCCCGATTCAGAGGGAGTTTGAGAGGACAAATGTGTTACCGACCCGGCCGCGGCCGGGTGTTGCCTTAGTCTGGTGGGGGCGACACTTCGCCTGGACACTGAGCAACACACTGCACCGAAGCATCAATATATATGAAACTATGCCTTGTCCACGCATCATTTTCACTTTTTGTCCCTCCACGCCCTTGTTCTTAGTTTTTGACGAAGAGTAGACGCACGTACGGCCTTGGACGCTCGTCGTTGAATTTAAGAGTGCTTTGGCGATATCCCACCATCACTCCAACATCCCTCTGCGGATTTTTCGTATCTCATGGCTTCAGCTATGGCCACCACGACAGACGTAAAGGTCTCGCAGGATGGACCTTCGACCCAGACTCCGGCTCCGGCGACTTCGACGATGTTTAACGAAGAGGACTACTTTATTCATGGCCACAAACGAACTGTCGTTCTCATTGGGCTTGGTCTCGTCCTCTTCATCTCTGCACTCGACTCTACAATCGTCTCCGTCGCTCTACCAGTAATTGGCTCGGACTTCAACGATTATACGAAGGCTAGTTGGATCGTCACGGCCTACCTCATCACATACACGGCGTTTCTTCCCATCGTTTCGAAATTCACGGACATCTTGGGTCGAAGGCCCGTACTAGTGTTTTCGTCTCTATTCTTTATGGTGTGTACTACGTATTCTCTACTTGTTTCTTCGATTGACCATTTCTTGACGCCTTTCAGTTGTGGTCTGGCGCATGTGGCGGCGCGAAGACTATGATACAGCTCATCGTGTTCCGTGCGATTCAAGGCATAGGTGGTTCCGCCATCTACTCTGCGGTCATCGTCACAATATCTACCATGGTCCCACGGGTACGTTTGTTCTCTCAGACTGGAAATTCTGAGCTCGTGTATTGACAGCTTGTGCTTCACAGGCTGAGATATCGAAGTACACACCGATCATCGGTGTTGTCTTTGCTTCAAGTAGCGTTGCTGGTCCTCTGGTCGGAGGGGCCATCGTTTCGAATATTCACTGGGGTCAGTTATCTTGTTGATGCTCTTCAAAACCCATCGTCTTACTTCCCTCTCAATCAGGTTGGATTTTCTTCGTCAACCTACCTATTGGAGCGGTTGGGACCGCACTCCTCGCTTATGGGCTCAGCGACCCCCATCGTGATTCTCTTACCTGGAGCACAGTTGCACGGCGCGTCGATTGGGTAGGAAGCTTCCTCATGTTGGCGTTCAGCGTCCTTCTCGCCTTTTCTGTAAGCTTTTTTTCCCTGTTTTGAATCATCCGGCAGCGCGACCGCTCATCTATAATCACAGCTCCAAGTTGGTGGCGTTGAATTTCCCTGGGTGTCCGCAACCGTCTTGGCCCCTCTCATCATATCCGCCTGCATCTTCCCCGCCTTCCTCTACGTCGAATCCCTACATCCCGAACCCCTCGTCCCTCTCCGCCTCTTCCGTCAACGCAACTTCATCTTTATCATTATTTTCACCCTCTGCCTCGGCGCCGGCTTCTATACCCTCACGATCTTCCTCCCCCAACGCATGGAAGTCGTCAATCTCCTCTCAGCTATCACCTCCGGTGTCCGAATGCTCCCACAACTTGTCCTCATCGGAACCCTATCTCCATTTGCGGGAGCTGCCGTCGTACTCACGAAGAGTTACCGTCCGTTGATGTGGTTCGCGTCGGCTTTGGGGCCAATCGGCGCAGGGCTATTATCGATCTTGAAGGCGGACACGAACTTCTCGCAGCAATACGGCTTCGAAGTCATCGTTGGCATTTCGGTCGGAGTGACGATCACCGTCTCGACCATGATCGTCCAGTTCTCCACGGATCGTCCCGACCTCGCATCCGCGACAGGGTTCCAAACCTTCGCACGTCAACTCGGAGCTCTCATCGCTATCGCCATATCCACAGCCGTCCTCAACAGTCGCGTAGACTCCAAGCTCGAACTCGCTGGGATATCTGAGGAGTTGAGGAGCGCGATCACGGCTAGTCCGGCGACTGTGTTGAGTAGTGGGCAGTTGGATGATAGCACGAAACTTTATGTGCAGGAGGCGTATAGCGATGGATTCTCGAAGGTTTTCGTGGAGGCGGCTGCGTGGTTAGCGGTGGGTGCGTTGGCGACTTGGGGGCTGATCCATATCTTACCGAAAGAGATTGAGGAGAGGGGGAGGAAACCCAACGCAGAGCTGGTAGCTGGTACGGACCTGGAGTTGGGTGTGCAGCCTGAGGCGGCAAGGGTTGATTTGGAGAAGGGTCCTATCGAGGGTGAGGGTGGGCCGGATACCTCGAGGCTATCGAGCGGGAGGGATAGTGGGTATAGTACGAGGAAGGAACCACCTGTCGAGGGTGTTGTAGCACCTGAGACTACGGCGACAGAGTCATCGAGGACTCTGTGATCATCTACTTTCGTCTGATAGAGACTCCTGGTACGACCTTTACGAACATTTGTAGCGACGGTACACTAGCAATCTTATTACTACCTATTTCGTTCATGAGCACTGTACGAATCTATTCTGCGACCCAGATCTTAAATTCTTTCGTCGAGGACTATATTTCGATCAGGGGACGTGGAATGTACGAGGCGCTAGAAGAGTTCGTGTTGAGACGAACGTGGTACTGAGACCCCTGACGGATAGAGAGGACCCTAGAGGCCCTAAGTGCCTGAAAGCTCGTTCTTCGCCAAGGTACGACAGGGCGTACATGGTGTATCATGAACGGCCGGAATTGACGAGGATGCTCCTTTCCGCGGTCTCGATTAGAAAATGTGATTGCTTGGTGTAGAATACGTGTAACATAATCGTTCGTAGTTTGTAAGATACGTTGTAGTAAACCAATAAAGTCAGAGAAACGATCGTTGTCCATAAGCTCCCCCTTCTACAACTGAGCCTTCTTCTCATTCGCACTGAACACACCATGGAACCCAACCGGGAAGACCCCCTCCATCTCCGCCCTCCCCACCTCCTTCATCTCTTTCGCATCCACAACGACCATACTACTCTTCCCTTTCACCTCATCCAACACCACACTCAACAGCACCCCGTCATCCTCCTCCGCCGCTCCCGGTCTCGGAACGAAAATCGGCTCAGAGGGAGTATGATTCTCCTTGCGCCACGTCTTCGCAACGGGGGAATCGGCCGCGGAGGCGGACATGTCGAGCTTGATGAGACCGTCGGCGAAGGTATGGTGGTGCTTCGGATCGAGTTTGTTCATGCCGTAGACGTAGCGGTAAGGTTTGTGGTAGACGGAAGGAGCGACAGTGGGGAGCTCGATACTCGAAGATTGGGGGAGCGTGAAGTCAATGGTGGCGTCACGGGCGGTAGGAGCAGTAGAAGGAGTGGTGGGGGATGAAAGACGGAAACGACGAGCACGACCCATGAGCATGTGGTTATCGTTGTTCAGGTTGCGGAGTTTGTCGAGGGCGAGGAGGTTGATGACGGAGTTGTCCGGGTAGACGGACATGTCGATGACAATATCGCCGGTGGAGGGGTCGTCAAAGGCGTTGAGGTGGTGGAAACAGAAGAAGGGCGGAGTCTAGAGGAACGAAAGCGGCGTTAGGATAGCTAGGGCAGTTTCAGCTTTGCGATGAAGGAGACAAACCTTGTACTTCGCCACAACGCCACCATTGTGGCGGTCAACGACATAGAAAAGGGTATCCGCCTTTGGATTCCATTTCTGATCGATGGACTCGGCTACGTTCTTGTTCCAGATGATGGACATTCCATACCTGCAGCAAAATAGAACACGTCAGTAAACGGTTCGTCGAACTAAGCAAAAAGAGAAGAACGTACTGAGTTATGTGGGCCTGCCAAACGCACAAGATAACGAAGCGGTCCGTCATCGCGAAGGAATGGATGTACGAAGCAGGCGCGTCCTTGACTTCGGCTAAAACGTCCACCTTTCCATCCTTCCCGCCAATCCGGAAGATCTTGTATGTTGGGAACCGCCCTCCGAGTTTGCACGAGTAATTATAGAAGTCTCCGGTAGAGTGATCGCGGCAGGAATGCGCCGCAGAGAGTTGTCCGTCGAGTGCTGGATTAAGATCCTGGTAGCGCGACGCGGCGAGTGGTTCGAGAGTGGTGGGATCGAGGAGCTGGAGAATATCTGCATCGGTCTTCGCGACGAGATAGCGAGGGCCAGAGGAAGAGGGGGAAGGAGCGGGAAGAGAAGTGTGGTGTTCCCACCCAGGCATGTTAGGCGTCATGGTCACAGAGGCGTTGATACCTGCCGGGGTCATCTCCGTTGCTCCACCGCGAAGCGTCTTGAATACGGTGAAGAACTTGCGGAAGATGCTCTCGCATGGGTCCGCCTGCTGTCCGAACGAGAAACCAGGGTAGCTTCCAGTTTCGGAGATCTCTCGCTCAAGATCCTCCGAGCCTTTTCGAGAGCGGTATGAGACGCGTTGACCGCCGGGGAAGATCTCAAAGCGATGGTGTAGAGCAAGACCATCGAACCAGTGGTTGATATCGACCGTCTTGGATGGATCTGAGGCAGTCGGGATGCGAGTAACACCAGGACCTGCAGATGTGATGGAGAGAAGCTTTAATTAGTGACCGTGAAGACAGAGTGAACCAGAGAGGGTCAAAGTCTCCTACCCGTTCGATAAAGAACACCACTCAGCCATGAAGGAATTTCTCCGTGAATCTGAAGGTCGATGGGTGTACGCTGTTCAGATGCATTCTCAAAGCCAGCTGCACAAGAACTCATCGTTCGTCGAGTGACTGAGGAGATACGGGGGGTGATACGAGGAAGCATGAGACAGTATTTTCGTGTTCGTGACGACTCTTCACTTGAACTTCTACACGTACACAGATTCCATTTACTCTGTCGCCTAGGAGGTCCATAGCCATTGCGTTCGTACCTTGTCTAGACCTCAAGGCCGCATACTGTACTGCCTGAGAGATCAATCAGACCAATCCAAATGTCGCAAAATGATGCTGGAATCTTTGGGTAAGTTATGGTCCCGATGATCGCTTTGGGGGAATGTTAACGCGATAATAATTGTGCGCAGAGCTTGGCGGAAGGAAGTCGGACTGGAACGTCTGGTCAGTTCCGAACATACCAGCGTGGGAATTGATGCGTACATGTATGCCGTATTGGGCATAACCTCATTTTTTGTTCGCCGTCATCGGCGTCCGCCCTCGTTTGCGAACACAACTCTGTCCCTTGAACCTGGCCGGTTGTAGCATAGTAACTCTCGAATTTCTTTCCTCAAATGTTATACGCTCGTATTCTGGCCTCATGCATCGTCCTCGATGCCCAAAGGCGAAGAACTTTCATCACAGCAACTCGTCATCAGTAGCTCAGGTCTACGGGCACATCCTCGAGGCGATGATCTGTACGTACTCCACTCAGTATTGATCCGAAAAGTCAAGTTGAGACAACTGGTTGGAAGCTGTCTCTAAATTGCTTCTATGTCAATATGTCGCCTGATCGCAGCGCAGATGCAGTCGATGCAGGCTGATGTGAATCCTTCCAGTCCTCCTTTCAGTCGCCCTTGAACTTGATGGGATCTCGTCGAAATCTCATTTCAAAGATACCCTATGATACATTGCAGAACTGGTGAACGGCGCATGCGCACCTCCGTCCTGATTGCGTCTATAATGGGGGCTGTGGAGGCCTGCAATTGGCATACACGTTCATCTGCCATCTAGTCCAATCCGCAATCAGGAATCCTTTGATTCCTAGTCTCAAAGGTCTGATTTTCCGTTAGTTTGGGAGACAGCAGCCCGAAGACAGCCCGGGAGAAATCGCGGTTCGTCCAAAGTTAACCATTCTCGATGTACTGTTTTCGAGTTATGGTGCAGAACCTGAGCTGCTCGCGTATGGACCATATGCACATATCACCGTCGGGTGTAAGACGGTGCTCATGTGCACTACAGCATTGGCAGGGACTTGGTTGCAGGAACAAAATGTTGTGAATAGAGCGCTGATGGCTTTTCGATCGCGCTTCGCGGATTTTTGTGGATAAGCTCGTCAGACTGCGGCAAATGGTGCCCTTTGAAAATACTCCACTCACTGAGGTCTCGACTGTAGCTACGGTGCGATCGTTGTGGTCCTCTTCGATCAAGACATCCGTCGCTGCCGGAACCTCATTGATGCTTCCAGGAACAACGACAATCACCATCATTCTTTGAATACGGCAAAACGGTTTGAGATCATTATTCGTTTTCACTCTCGATTGTTCTTGCGACCAAACACGGCCATCATGTTCGCCACGAGCTGCCAAAATATTGATAATTTTACATTTCCACTCAGCGCCCAATGTACTATCCAATCGAGCGGGCGTATATAACGATTTCACCTTCCCGTCCTCGATAACACTCACCCTCATTCTCTCCAAGTCTGTCTCTTGTGCTCAACCACTCAGACCGCTCCTCTTCGCTCCGGTTCCACTTCCTCCTAGACTCTCATATCCACCGCGAAATATGACATCCAAGTCAGCCCCCAGCTACTCCAACCCAGACCCTCACGCTATCGCCGTCGTCGGTGAGCATATCCCTTTATCCATCCGAGACTCCCCAGTGTTCTGACTTCATTGTCCTTCTGCCAGGTCTTTCCATCTCTGCCCCCGGAGGTGAAGCTCGTGGCTTGGACACGGAGGCCTTCTACGAGTTTCTGAAGAGTCGTGGCTCTGGTATCATCACCGTCCCTGCTGACCGCTGGAACGCCGAGGCGTACCATGGTACCGCTCCAGGAAAAATTTGCACCGTACGTTCTATGCCAGGTCTTGACACTTCGTCGACATCCATGACGCTAACATTACATCTTCCATTCACAACAGACTAAAGGCGGGTTCATTCCGGAGTTCTCTTACGGCGATCTTCAGGAGTTCGGCATCACTCCTGCGGAAGGTGCTCAAGTCGCAATCACTCAGCTCGTCTCGTGAGTTTCGATTCTCTCACCATCGTATGCATCTCTTAATGTCATGTCTTCAGGCTTCACCAAGCGTTCAATGCCCTCCAACGGAGCGGCATCGATTATCGTGCCTCACGTACTGGCGTCTATGTCGGGTGTGGTATGTACCTACGCTTCTTCGTGACCGTAGTATACATCTGATATCGATATTGCTGGTAGCCGGTGGAGGCGCACCTTTCGAGATGGACATTACGCAAGCTGGAGGTATTTCTGTTCCACTCATCTGCCTTTCCACCAGCGTTCTCATCCATTTATCCTCTTCGCAGCGTACTATATGACCGGTACTTCCCTCGCCATCACTGCCAACCGCATCAACTACGTCTTCGACCTTCTTGGTCCTTCCCTGCCCGTCGATACTGCCTGCTCTTCCAGCTTGACCGCCATGCATCTTGCCGTTCAAGCCATCCGGAACGGCGAGTGTGACCAGGCGGTCGTCGCGGGCATCAATTACATCATGACGCCATTAGAGACTTCCTCCTTTAGTCAACTGGGCGTCCTGAGTCCCGACGGTATCTCCAAGTCGTTCGATGATGGCGCGAATGGGTACGCTCGTGGTGATGTTGGTCAGTGCAGATCCCGTCAACTTGTTGCTGGATGATAGGTTGCTCTAACACTGTTTACATGGCTTTCTTTCAGCTGGTGCTGTGGTCATCAAGCGTCACGATATCGCCGTGCGCGATATGGACTACATCCACTCCACCATCGTCGGCTCTTCCCTTACCTCTTGCGGTTCTCTCATGGGCTCCCTCACTACCCCGAGCCCCGAAGCTCAGTCTCAGGCTATCAAGAACGCTTACCGCGACGCCGGCCTCAAGCCGAACCAGGCAGATTTCGTGGAGTTGCATGGGACGGGCACGGTTGTGGGCGATCAATTCGAAGCCAATGCTGCGGGAGCGTTGTTTGCGGAGGGGAGGGAGGGTAGGGAGATTTTGATTGGCTCGGTGAAGAGTAATGTGGGACATGGAGAGATGGGGTTTGTGATTCATCGTTTGATTGTCATTATAGCCCCAAGCTGATTAACCGTATTCTTTCGTAGTGCATACATGAGCTCCTTGGTCAAGGTACGGTCATATCTTATCTGTATGGATATTGGGGAAGTAAGCTGATGATACGTCGATATGATAGGTCGTCATGATGTTGGACCGTAAGCAAATTCTTCCGAACGGCTACTTCAAGACGCCTTCGAAGAAGATCAACTTTGAGGGGTATAACCTGCGCGTTCCGGTCGAGGTCGAGGACTTCGTTCCTTACGACAAGGAACAAGGCCTCATCGCATCGATCTCCAGTTTCGGTTTCGGAGGTTAGTACAACTTTCCTGATTGCATCTATCCTATTCACTAACTCATCTCCGTGACAGGTTCTTGTGGACATACTGTCCTTCGAGGCCACGAAGCTCGCCCTGCTCTTTCAGACACCGAGATGCTCAAGGACGGGCCTTTCTTGTTTGCCCTTGGTACGTTGTGCTGCGACTACCTACCCCTGGAGCTGTCAGCTGAAGTAGACATGACATAGGTGCCCTCTCGCCTAAGGCATGCAACACCCTCGTACAGAGTTACAAGGACGGATACTCCTCCATGGACCCCCTCGCTCTCAGCGCTCACCTCGGGGGTCGCGCTCGTCAGATGCCCTGGAGGACCTACGCCGTCGCCGATTCTTTCGCCACCGCCACATTCCCCGACCCCACTATGGTCGGTAAACGCCCTAACCCTCTCATTTACTGCTTCTCCGGTCAAGGGCCTCAGCACTGGCAACAGGGCAGAGACCTGATGTCGACGTTCTCTGCCTTCCGCGAGTCTATCTACGCTTGCGACAAGGTTCACGAGGAGTATACGGGCAAGTCGTTCTTGGCGGAGACGGGATTGTTCGTGAAGGATGCACCGAAGGACTCGCCCCTCAAGAACCTGAAGCTCACTTGGCCCGCAGACGTCATCTCTGTCGCTATCACTTTCTTCCAAGTCGCACTCTTCGACCTTCTTACATCCCTCGGTCTTCGTCCGGATGCGGTCGTTGGTCACTCCATTGGAGAGACTGCAGTTCTATATGCCTCTGGTGCTATGCCTCGTGACGTAAGTCTGGTGTTTTGGTCGTTTATTGAATCAGGTCTGAGACTGAGATACTCATGCTATTTTCGTTTTACAGATGGTCGTTAAGATCGCCATCGCTCGTGGTCGGGCTCTCGCCAAGGTCGACAATATTGGTGGCGCCATGGTCGCCGTCTCAGGCTGTGATGCCGCCGCCGTGAAGGACTACGTCGATGCCGCTTCTTCTCTCGCCGACCTCGACGAGGAGGAATCGAAGAAGCTCTACCTCGCTGCCTTCAACAGTCCTACCGACATCGGTGTCTCTGGTTCCGAGAAGCTCGTCGACATCCTCACCAGTCACATCGAAACCTGGGTTGACGGAGTCATGGCTAGGAAGCTTCGTGTCAGCACAGCCGTCCACTCACCCTACGTCGATCCTTGCGAGGAGGTATACCGTGCAGAGTTGGTGGAGATCTTCAAGCAGTACGAGGGCGGCTCATTCGTTCCGACTACATTGACGATGTCGACTGTTACTGGGGAGTTTGTTTCCCAAGAATACTCGATCGACTACCTGTGGAACAATCTTCGCAAGCCCGTCTTGTTCTCCACTGCCATTCCGAAGATTGTTGAGAAGTTCGGCGAGGAGGCGACCTTCGTGGAGATTGCTCCTCATCCCGTTTTGTCTCAGGTATGTCTATCGCGGTTCCGCCTTCTTTCATGACGAGCAGATGTACTCATATCTTCGAACAGTACATCAAACAAATGGGTGCGTTCGACTCGTTGGCAGGTAGTCAACGCCCTCCTTCTGCTCGTCACCTCAAGCCGGGCGCTAAGCCGCCCACCGAGGTGCATACACTTCTCCAAGCGCTCGGTCGTCTGCTAGTTTGCGGAGTCAACTCAGTCAGTATCGCTCCACACTGTTGTTTTCGATTGAATTCTAAATTGTAATATGCACACCAAAGATCAACTTCAACATCCTATCCGGAAGCCCAGCCACGACTTTCGAGGGGCCTCAGTACCCTTTCCAGATGAAGTTCTGGCCATTCGCTGCCAGAGAGGCGTCTTATCTCAAGCGTCTTCTCCCTGCGGAACGACCCCTCAACTCGTCTCGTCTTCGCATCAGCCCGAACCTTCCCGAGCCGTGGATCGGGCACCACATCATCGACCACGCCGTACGTTTCCGTATGACTTGCATATGATACAACCCTGCTCATACTTATCTTCTGATTTATCTCTCAGAATATCATCCCCGCCGCTGCCTATATCGAGATGGCTCTCGAGTTCCCCGGCGTCACGCAAGTCTGGGATTGTCGCTTTGAGGCCGCATACACCCTCGACGAATCTTCCCCGCCAGGTACTCTCGAAGTCGCCAGGGACGACAACTCGTGGTGGGTCAAGTCGTCCTCGTCACTCCTCACCATGCAAGGAGACCTCGAGTGGACGAGGGTTGCCCCCGAGTTCGACACCCTTCACGCTTATGGCAAGCTCGGGTATGGGAAGCCGGAGATTTCGACCGGTGCACTTGAGAAGGTCGACGTGGAGGCGGTGCTGGCGAGGTGTTTCCAATCGCACGAGAAGGAAGAATTGTACGCTGACTTGGAGGGCATTGCGCAATTTGGGCCTGAGTGCGTTTTTATCTTTGCGTTTCTATATCATTACTTATCGTTTAATGGTGTAGGTTCATGCGTGTCGAGAAGGCGACTTTGAACGAAACGGAAGCAATCTGCTGGATGCGTGGTCACGTCGATGGTCTCAACGAAACAGACTACCATTTCCATCCTGCTCTGATGGACGCTACCTTCCAGGTATGTCATCACGCTCACTCTCCTTCACTAGATCGCTCACGTTTCTCATCTTCCTTAGTCTGCTATTGCTTACAACCTGGTATGTTCGCGCGCTCTTGGCACAAATATCAGTGCAACTCTGACCTCTTCACCATAGCTTTGCGACAAAATCAATGTCGCTGGCAAGGACCGTGCATTCTTGGTAAGTGACCACAAATCTTGAAGTCGTTTAAGACTTGCTGATTATCCTCGGATACCTGATAGCTCCCTCACTCGCTGCGTCGCGCATACCGTAACGATGGTAGCACGGCGCCCCTCGTTCTCCCAGAACTCTTCAAGACATACTCTATCCTCCAGAGCTGGTCGAACTCCCATTGGACCCTCGATATCTACATCTTGGCCGAAGACGGCACGGTCCTGTTCACGTTTGAGGGTAAATACTCCAGCTTCGTCTTTCAACAGCTCCTTGTCCTTACTATCCCATTATAGGTCTTCACTTCACCTTGGTCGTCCAGGATAACCAATGGCCAACTGAGCGCTACAACATGTACTGGCAGCCTCGTGCCTTGCCGTCTACCGAGTTGGAGGGCGCGGTAGTCGTAGACGGGCCTGCGGCAGGTTCAGAGACGGAGGACGTCCTGCATAAGCTTGACCTTCTTGCCTTGAAGTACACCAGCGAAACGTTGAAGTACGTATCTAATTTATTAAAACCACAACCTCATATAACTTCTTTTTCCTCAGATCACTCCCTGCAGACTTTACCTCGGAGCTCCCTGATCGTAAACGCTATCTCGCATGGGCTCAAGAGCAGACGAAGAAATTCGGCGCATCTGCTATTTCCGACGTGGATATTTCTCCTGCTATGAGGGAGAAATACAGCAGCCTATTCGAGTTGACTGAGCGTGTTGGTGGCGGACAGAAAGGTATGTTTGCTGCATATGACTCTCGTAGTGACATTTCTCACCGTATGTCTATAGATATTATGGTCTCCTCTACCGCGGCTGTTGAGCTCCTGTTCCGCGACGACATCATGAGCAAGATCTACGAGCATCCTCCCTTCGTTGGCCCCGTTTTCGACAAGACCGTCAGCTCGTTCATCGACCTCGTCAAGAGCGCTGTATCCGCTGGCAAGCGCGTTGTTCGTGTTCTCGAAGTTGGAGCCGGTACTGGCCGCTTCACCGCGCTTCTCGGTCAGGCTATGCTCGACGCTGGGCTCGATAAGGTCTGCTACGTCGACTACGTCAGCACCGACATCTCCATCTCTCTGGCTCAGGAATCGACCGCCAAGTCCCCCTGGCTCACGATGACTCCGATGGCGTTCGATCTTACCATCCCCATCGAGCAGCAGAACCTCGACCCTGCCAGCTTCGACATCGTTGTCGCATTCGACGTTCTCCACGCTACCTCGAGTATCTCCAGCACCCTCAGCACTCTTCATGATCTCTTACTTCCTGGGGGCCATCTCGCGATTATCGAGTTGGATGGAAGCTCCTTCTCGAATGGTGTGGTCGGTACCATCTGTAAGTTGCTCCCTGCGCTCTTCTCAACACGTTACCTCATCACTCATAATTCCTCATGCTCATAGGGATGGACTACATCTTCGGTTCATTTGCCGAATGGATGGGCGTCCTCGAAGCCCGTCCAGGATCGACTCACTGCTCTCTTTCTCCTGCTGAATGGAAGACTGCGCTGAGCGCAGCTGGATACACCGACACCCTCCTCATCACATCGTCCGGATCGGCCATATCACATATGGCCTACATCTCCCAAGGAGCACTCGCTCCTGAACCCCAGCAATCTTCGCCGTCTTCGCGCACTCCTGCTCTCACGTCCTCCGTCGGTTCTGCCTCCCCATCCTCTGAGCTCGTCACTCCATTCAACGAGGAATCGGCTGTCCCCGTCGTCGCGATCGATGGTCCCGTGGAGTTCATGGACGCCTTGGCCCAAAAGAGGACCATGGACGGGAAACTTTTCTCGCTGCCTGCGAAGACAGAGGCCGACGACGCTTCGTCATTCATCAATGGAGCGCTAGCCGAAGACTTCACCGTCGTTCGCCGTTTCGATGCCGGTGGCGAAGTCGAACTTGTTCACTTCCTTTCTGGCCTCGACTCGACAAAGCCCTACGTGTTCTGGTTCTATACCGAGACCGAAGACGTCAACACGACCCTCATCGGTATCGTCCGCTCCATCCGCCACGAGTTCAGTCTCTGGAAGTTGAACATGGTCCTTTTCCATCCGTCCTGGAGCCACTCGCAACAGGAGGCCTTCGTGTATGGAAGGCTGATGTCGTTGAAGTGGGTTGATGCGGAGGTCATGGTCGACGAGAAGGGCGAAATGCGCGTTCCTCGTGTGGTCACCTCGCTCGAACCTCCGACAGTCGAGCTACGTGGCGACCAACCCGTGGAGTTCGATAGCACCAGGGTCTGGCGTGCTTTCCCGGCGGATATTGGCGAGGATGATGTGGAAGTTACTGTCTCGTTCTTCAACCTTTCACCTTCGTTCCCGGGCTTTGCCGAATTCTCGGGCATCGTCAGTGCCGCGGGGGCCTCCGTTGTCGGAGAAGGCCTCGTAGGGAAGCGGTACGTCTTTGATGGAACGGTTATCATTGCTCGAGATACTGATTTATCTTTTCTGTAGAGTATTTGGTGTGGCACCTTCGAAGCCAGGAAGCGTCGTCGTCTGCAAGCGTTCCCTCGTCTCCGAGCTCCCAGAGGACCTACAATCCTCCACAGCCGCCTCTGTTGTCGGCCGTCTTGCCTTCATCTCGTCCATAGTCTCCAAGACTATTTTTTCTGCTGCCGTCAAAGCTCCTCGTGTCCTCATCCATGCCGGCCTCTCTTCGCCCGCCGCAATCGCCACCTACGCATACCTCAAATCCAAATCCCTCGATGTCATGGTCACCGCGACAGACCCATCTCTTGCTTGCATCGATGCTCAAGTCTACTCTTCCAACGAGTGCGATATCTGGTCGTTCCGCGCTCGCGAGTGGGCTTCGAAGGGCGTCGATGTTGTGTTCAATTTCGATACCGAGGCTAAAGTCGCGAAGGAGTCCGTCCAGATTCTCTCTAGCAGGGGTACACTCGTCCAAGTTGGCTGTGATCTTCCTCGCCAGCTTCGCCGCGGTCAGAAATATGTTTCGGTCGATTACGCCAGCTTGCTTGAGGACGAGGAGATGGTCCAGTCCGCTCTGGAAGTCTTCTCTTCGGGGATCGCGCCTGCGGTCGACACGTACGAGCTTCAGGATCTCGCGGCCGCACACGAGAAGGCCTCTGAGCGTACGACTCATGACCGTGCGGTGTTGTTGGATCTGCGCAACGTCGACCCCAAGCTGTCTATCACAAGGGGTGGTGTTATTCGCGGCACCTCAGCATTCGATCCTCGCGCCTCTTATATCATTATCGGGGGTATCGGTGGTTTGGGAGCGAGCATTGCTCGGTGCTTGGTGGAAAATGGCGCTCGTCACGTCGTGTTGACTTCTCGCTCCGGTGCTAACGTATGTGCTCCGTCAAGGCATCAATTATCGTCGCGTACTCACATTTTTGGGATGCAGTCATTCACAGCCGGTCGTCTCATGCGCGAAAAGAAGATTCTCAACTACCTAAGCGAGACTCCTGGCGTCACCATCGACCTCGAGGCGGTCGACTGTCTTGACGCCGATAAGACGAAGGCACTGTTCGCCAACTCTCCTCGTCGTATTGCTGGTGTTTTCTACGTTGCGGTTCGCCTCAACGACCAGCTGTTCACCAACTTGACAACCGAGGAGGATTGGAAGACTGGTAAGTTCACGCTCCGGTATCATCTCATAGCACTCGTTCTGATGCTCCCTTTCTAGTCTATGATGTCAAGGTCAAGGGTCTTCATGTCTTGCTCGAGGCCGTCAACCCCAAGGACCTGGACTTCTTGGTTTTGACGAGTTCGATGGCTACGGTCAGCGGATCTCCAGGTATGTCTTAGACGATTCCTGTGCTGTCGCACCTTTCTCATGATATCACTCTTCAGGTCAAGCGAACTATTCTGCTGCTCAGACAGAAATGGAGTCGATTGGTGCTCATCTATCCAACACTGTCTCTGTCACCGTGCCTCCCATCGTGAGCATTCCTTCACCTTTTACTGTCTCGCGCAATATGCTGACCAAACCATGGTAGACGGACGGTGGTGTCTTCGTACGGAGCATGCCCGCGGGCAACGCACGCAATGCTGCTTTAGACAAGGTATGTGCAACGTAGTAGTGTCCAATCTTCGCACGGCATCTGAGACAACTCATCTAGTACAAGACGCTGGGAATGTCCGGTATCCGACTCGCCGAGCACTGTGTCGATGCTATCTGGACCTTGAACACTCCAGCCGCAAATCCCGTGTACATCCCTCCCATGAACTGGAAGAAGGTCGTCGAGCGTACGTCCCACTCTCATTTGTTTTCTCTCGAATACTCACATATCCGTCTCACATTATCACAGTTGGTGTTCCGGAGTACCATTTGTCCTCGCTTCGCCATCTTCTCGTCAAGGAGACAGCCGATGCCGCTGCCGCCAATGCTTCCACCGAGCAGACTATCCAGGCTGCTTGTGCGATGGTACTCTCGCTTTCTGTCGAGGATGTGGAGGAGAACATTCCGCTATCCAGCTACGGTCTTGATTCGCTTACTTCCGTCAGGCTCAGTGGTATCTTGAAGCAGTACTTTGACATTACGGCGACACAGTTGCAGTTGTTGAGCAGTCATATGACCGGTAAGCACTCCCATCACCCCTCAACAACTGTGCCGCGATTCTGATCCACTTTGTTCAGTCGCAAAGCTCCATGCTATGCAAGACGAACAGCGCCAAGCCGCCTCCCTCTCCACCGCCCAATCCTCCTCCGGCCCGTCATCCACTGACGCTTCAGCATCTACTCTCGAAGCCGATATGGACAAGACCGTCATTCGTCTCAACTCTGTCACCACTGGGCGTCCTCTCTTCGTCGTTCATGGCGCTGGCGGTGGTGTTCTTGTCATGCAGAAGATGGCGAGCAAGGTCAACTGTCCATTGTATGGTGTGCAGGACACGGCGGATGCACCTATCACAGGGACCTTGGAGAGGCTTTCGGAGTTCTACTTGGGGAAGATCAGGGAAGTCCAGCCTGAAGGGCCGTACAGGATCGGTGGTTTCTCATTCGGTGAGCTGTTTTGTATTGTGTCTTCGATTCCCGATTGCTTACGCAGAACGTCGGCTTTCAGGTACTTGTGTGGCCCTCACGATTGCTCAGCTCCTCCAAAAGGAAGGAGAGACTGTTGAGATATTGCTCATGATGGACGGTTCACCAACTCTGTTCCGTCGTCCCAAGTTTGTCGAGCAAACTAAAAGACGAATCACCGATGGGACGCTTCGTCAAGACGTACGTTGGCTCCCCTACCCCCTACTTTTGTATGCCATGTGCTAATCATATCGTATACCGAATAGATCATGGACGTCATCAACGACATGTCGACCAGTGGTTCCTTGGATGATGCCGAAGAGGTGTCGCATCAGTTCTCCGACCACTTCCAGAAGACAACTGCTGGTGGCTCTGGTCCTAAATGGGTTGCCCGATTCTGCAAGGCCTACGTCGCGCATGGTATGTCCCGACCCCTTGATCAGTTCTTTGAACGATTATATTTGACTACCTACCGATGCTGACCATCTTTGTCTCTAGTTCTCATGGGTGTTCGTGCCTCTATGGAAACTCTCAAGCTCGAACGCTCGGGCGCACTGGCTAACCAAACTTGGCCCGCCGCCCGCACCGTCCTCGTACGTGCCTCCAATGGCGTTGCGGCCCAAGAGGTTGCCGAGGGTGCCTCGAGGGCTTTCGATTTGGAGGCTTGGGCTCCGGATGTGGAGTTGCGTGAGGTTGAGGGAAGCCACTTCGGTATTTTGAACCCGGACAGCGGGTTGAGCAGCATTTTGAACGAGGTGTTCGTGGCTTGAACGATTGGGGATACTTGTGCGTGTATGTGCGGGAGGCGGAGACGTATTGATACGGTTGCGAGGCTGATGTGAAGTCGTGGTGGTATTTGTTTCAGGACATTGGACATTGTTAGATTGTACTTTTACTTCTTGGGTCGTTATTGCTGTATACCTTTTATAACTCTCATCTTGGGTCTCATGCTTAATTTATTATATTTGCTTTTGGTCTCATTCTCTCCCGTGCTGGCCGAAGTCGAGACATCAGTATCAACCTTCACAGAGCGGTACTGATCCGTGGTCTGGCTGCATAGCAGGGCAGGCCTCAAAACTTGTTTATATGTGACACACCGAGGACGAAAAGATCACTTGGGCTCGTTGGTGTTAGTAATCGAAGACATGGTTCAGTGATGTGTAGGATAAGTACTGATCAAGCAGCGGTTCGTTTTACTGTCCCGGTGATTGAGTCGAGTTCAGCAAGTGACCCCTACATGTCCCTCTGCTCGTGGATGTATACTTGCTGAAGTCCTTTCTTACGAGCTTTGGCGACATGGATGTTCTGATCACTTGGGAGACCACTTCGGGACAATCATCCTAATGTTTGGATAGTGAACGACATATGGATAACTTCGTAGACAATCGCAAGGAAAGAGAAAAATAATGTCCTCAAAAAGGCCGAGCGGCTTCACAATCCATACTCGGCCTTCACAATATCAGCCGCTCTCTCCGCGACGGCATAAATCGGACCAGAAGTATGAGCAGCTGGTAGCCTCGGCTAGGGTACACCGAGAAAAAAGGAGCATCGTCAGTAGATTGTAGTAAGTACTATGCGCCACATTCATAAGTGAAACCACTCACGATAACACTACCGTCGACGATCCTCAATCCGTTCACTCCCTTGACTTTCAAGTTCACATCGACAACCCCAAACTCACCCATCGCCGCCGTCGCCACAGGATGGAAGAAACTGACCCCGTTCTCTCTGATGTACGCATCCAACTCATCGTCGGTCTCGGCAGTGTTCAGGGCTTCTAGGAAGTATCCATCCCAGGCTTGCGCAGCGATAAAGCGGCGGGAGGATCGGATTCCCTCGCGAAGAAAAGCTAAGTCGACAGGCTCAGAGAGTAGATTAGGGTTGATGAGTGGGGTCGAGAAGGGGTCTGAGGAGTTGATAGTTATAGATCCACCTGCAGTCAAAGTAGAACGACTGTCAGTGAAATGAGCGGAGAAAACGGATCAGAAAGACATACGAGAGGCAGGGGAGACCATGCCAACAGGAAAATTGAAGTAATTTCCATCAGTGGTGACACTGGATAGTCCATTCTACCCAACGAAGCATCTTAGCCGCTAAGACTGAGACGAACCAAGTTCGTCACCTACCTGGAACAAAAATTCGTAATGCGCTGTTATGTTCCCCGCCGCTGGATCGCCGTACGTACTCCACAACGTTGAGTTCTCAGGGACTCTTAACCACGCAGCATGATTCTCGCTTGTGTCTACCATAATTCCCGTCTTATTCCGCGTCCACTGCTCCACCAACTCATCCTCTAGCGTCTGATTCCGAAGGACAGTGTCGAAGGTTAAGGTGGAGTTCACGCGCCATGTGGACGAGACACCAACGTGATCCGTGAGATTCTGGCCTACGGCAGGGAGGTCGACTAGTGTCGGAATATCGAGGGAAGATAGGAGGGTGGAGTCTCCGATGCCAGAGTACATGAGAATAACGGGAGTGTTCACAGAACCGGCAGAGAGGATGACTTCCTTGTTGGCAGTGAGGTTATGCATGTCCCCTGATCAGGAGGTGAGCGCGGGGCTAGAGAAGAAAAATACCAAGGGAGAACTTACCATTGGTATTATCTCTAAACTCGATAGTGGTGAAGCTCATGGTACCATTCGAACCCCCGGTCGTATCCAGAACACGACTGATCTGAGAGTTGAGGAGAACGTCGAGATTTGAGCGAGCTAGCACCTCCGCGGTGAGATATGCTTTGGAGCTGGAACGAACGCCACGATCGATCAGTGCTTGGACCCATCCTAGAAACAAGACACGACGGGTCAATTGAATGTTGGGCAAGCAGCAAAGGGGACGAGATTATGGCGAGACGAGACCATACCGATACCCAGATGTTCACCTATAGGAACCGCATCAATAGATTCTCTTTACATTTCTGATGTAGTGAGCAGTCAACGTACCAGAGTTCCAGTCTATCCTGAATGGAAACTCAGTGAGCTCCTGCGTGGTCTCCATGACCTTCCCGTCGATAGCCCGACTCGCACCGGGAACACTAACGCCGATAAAACCGTCGAAGCCATGGAACGCTGGGTCAAACTGTCCAGAAACGTTATGGCCATCTACGGGGAAATTGAATTTTTCGCTCTGTATGTCATGAGATAAGTGAGTCGATAAACAAATTTCACCACTGGCATTTAGCAACGGAAAGAGGGGTATGATATTACCTTCATAAAGTAAGGAAGCATAGCGTCCCAACCCCAAGACTCATCTCCCGAGATCTGAGCCCAGGTATCGATATTCTGAAATGTTCCGCGGGTATAAACAAGACAGTCTGCGTAGGGAGTATAATAATACTGCTTGATTCGCTGGCCTGCAAGCGAACAGACAGATATACTCACTGACAGCTGTGGATCCACCCAGACCAATACCGCGTGGAAAGGGCAAGATCCTTCCATTCATATTATCCTGAGCTGTGGTGTTGAATCCCCAATCCCACTACAACGACGTAAGCGTGTTGATCCAGAAATGACAAAATTGAAGAAAACATACTTGAGTCTGCGGCGTGAGCCGAGTGCACAAGAGTGGAACATCAAGAGTGATATTTCCGTCATTCCTGTACGACATATAGATAGTTCCGGCATGAACAGTACCACAAGGAGTATGTCAGGAGAAGACTCACGCGCCGCCAGCCTCCACCAACAAAACCGAAACGTTCGTCTCCGTCAAGCGGTTCGCCATAGCAGCTCCCCCAGCTCCAGCACCAACGATGACAAAGTCGTACTGTGTAGTGCCTACACTCTCGGCATAACTGTTGAAGATCTTTCCCAGCACAGACCCCAAGAGGAAACATAAGATAAAGGCAAAATCGACGATCATATTCGCAGCGGCGAGTGTATGCGGAACTGCAGAAGATGATTATTCCGATGAACCTTCGACACTCTGCCCATACGCTGACTCCTGAGGCCTTTATATTCGTTGACCCACAAGCCTCGAACTTCGATACCCACGCCGTGCAGATGCTCGCCCATAGTCTTCTGACAGTGTCAGAAGTTGACACCGAGCTCGTCTCAGAATAGATGAACAGGGGCCAGTACGTTATCTGCGTCTTCTTTGTCATCAAGAGGAGAAAGTGTACATAGGCTGACTGGAGAAAGGTCCGGGAACGCACTCCCCACGAGTAGCCGGACTGAGATTTACGGACAAAAGGAACGTTCGTGTACGAACCTTCGACGCAGAATACCCAAGACGGGGCGAAGACAGCAGTGTGCAGCACACGACTGAAGAGTAAGTGTCACGAGGGTCAAAAGATGGATGCGGTAGACAATCTCGAACAACGAAGCAGAACTGGCTTGAGCCTGCGAGTAAAAGCTTAATTGTTCTCAGAGGACATCGAAAAGAAATGAGGTATGGGTAGACGTTACAGTCCTTGATGGTTGTGAAGTTGTAGCAGTGAATCGTGACGGACCAGAGCAATTAATATTGGCGCCCGGCGAACTTGAGAACTCCCACGAGCCCATAATTGGACGCCACAAGGTTAACTCATTGCAAGTCCAATGGGACGCCACTGTGGAAAGGCAACGTTGTGTTCCTCAAAGAGTTGACATCAATACCCGATTTTGTGCGCCGACTATGTCTATTATTCGCCCTTGGACTGTAATATTTGTGCGCACCGTAGTTGAATTAACTGGCCCAGTTGCTCCATCATCCGTGCATAGAACAGATACGAAAAGGGCGATTTTATATCACATCAAGCCGATACGTGCTAAACCAAGATAAATATCGTAATAGAGTTATACTGCTACAAAGAGAAGAAACGAAGACGGGGAAGAATACAAAGGATAAGTTATGTATGTGCGGTAAAAGAAAAGCGAAACATATACAAGTTGAACTAATACTGCGTGGACCACTGCTATCGTATACGCATATATCCCCGTGGCGAGCCTCGACTACGCCGCGACGTCGACTTGGATAATATATGTACATCATCTCCGCACGAGCAACTGCCAAAATCACCACTGCCGTCGCAACCGAACATATCACCAACACGCCAAAAATAGTCCGATATCGACACACCCCAACCACCCACAAACAACCATCCACACTACCTACCAAGTATTCGCATGACGTGGCACCATCGGCCTCTTCAATGCCGATTTCTGTGGTACTTTTGGTATTAGCCTATGCTGCATATCGATCTTGGTCCCGTCTTCGTTCATCCATCCCTGACCGACTTCGGGATAGAAGTGTAGGTCGCGGGGGTATTCTTCGCCTGGCATGGGTGGTTTGTAGGAGCCTGAGTTGGTCCAGAGCTGGTCACTAGAGAAGAGTGGGAAGATACAAGTCAGCAAGAGGGCGAAGGCAAAACAGGGGGGCGAAGGCAAAACAGGGGGGCGAAGGGGATACGAGGGCGAAGAGAAGGAGATGTGCGTGGGATGGTGGAAGGAACGGGAAGGGAGGGAGAGGAATAGACGTACCCTCGGCGATTGAACCACCCTTTTCTTCGTTCTTCGAGCGGGACAGGCGATGGACAAACGAGGTTATGATCCCACCTCACATTCCTCGTCGATATTGACATCAACCTCGGCCTCCCACTCGAGTTATTCGAGACTGGGACAGGATTTGCTCGGGGGTCCTGGGGAGATGTCCGTGGCGAAGGAGGAGGAGGCGGACGAGTATCGACAGAGTTACGGCGAGAGACAAAGGCTGCGTCTGGTGGTGATCGCGACGCAGGAGGGGAAACGGAGAAGGAATCTCGCCGGGGGCGTTGAGATGGCATAGGAACGCTGGAGGCAGAGGAGGGAAAGTAGGAACCGTTGGTGCCTGGCGGTGAGGATGAGAGTCCGGGCGGTCTTCGGTTGTACGAAGAGTCAGAAGCAGTGTAATGAGTAGGGGAAGTAGACATAACGGTCTCGCGTGGTGGAGAGTAAGAGGTAGAAGGTTCATGAAGGTTAGAGTACATGGGAGAGGAGGGTCGAGGAGGATGGGGGTCGGAGGATTGATGGTGGTGAGGAGGGAAAGAATTTTGGCGGGGACTGCCTGGGGAGTCAGAACGATAGGAGCCTCCATTCGCGGTGCTGCTGTCGCTTTCTGAATCCGATACAGAACCTGGGAACAAAGGAAGATCAAATCAGTAGATGCGGGACAATAGAGTCTGAAGGAACTTACCGTCAGGAAGGGGAATGCCGATAGGCGAAGAGCCGCCCATATGGGCCTCAATAAGTGCAGAGAGGTGGTTGTCGTGGGTAGGAGAGCCACTGTCTGAAACATCTAAGACAGTAGGTGGAGGGGAAAGCGTGCTTCCAAGTGTCTCTAGACTACTGCTGGCGAGAGCCGGCGAGTGGTCAATGGTGAAGGATAGATCAGAAACCGAGTCCGGGTCAGGCTGACGTTTCGGAGGCTGGTCCGAAAGGGAGAAAAGGTCTGACTTGGACGAGATGGACGGTTCATAGACGAAGGTGTTTCGGGTGGCACTGGGAACTATGGCAAATGATTGATTCTTCCGTTCGCGAGAGTCTTGAGATCCGTGCATGGACTTTTCCCGAGAGTCCATGTCACCAGGTCCGAGATCAAATTTTCCGGAACCGTAGTAGGCGTTGGAAGAAGACTTGGGAGCCTCGAAGATACGGCGCGAGAGTCCTTTTGGGATACCGAAGAAGTAAGCCTAGAGGGGGGATAATGAGCTTCGGAAGAATGAACGATGAGAGTGGTTGCGAGGGTAGGCTTACCATTGCAGACCTGCCGCAAGAGAATGTTGACGATGACGAGCAGAGGGAAAAGTGCAAAAAGTGGATGGCGCTGAAGCACAACAGGATAGAGACGAAATCGAAGGGTATTTATGAGTTTGCGGAGGGTTCCTCCGCCATTGACGAAATGACATGTCTTGATGCATGCGCCTGCGAGATAGTGTTCGACATGCAGGTATGGTGAGGCATGATCGGAATGGTTGGGAATGACCCTTCCGTGCGTAAAGTATGTGACGTTGGAGCGCGTGCGAATGGCTGGCATGAATGGGCAGTGGATCATGGCATGCTGGAAGGCAGGAGCTACATCAACCGCAACCAGATGTAAGGCAACAAGTGGCCGAGCCCCACGCCCTAGTGGGGAAGAAGCAAAGGCGAGAAAGCCGCTTGTAGCATGACTCGATCTAAAAGCTTCGGAGTTGTAAGTCAGTAGAGGCGGCCAGCCTTCCTTGGAATGCCGTGGGCTATTCTAAGACTGCAGTAGTATGATCGGCGAGTGAAGAGGAACGACAATGCTGAGTGGCAGGCGCTTCAGAGCTTTCCAGACTTAGAATCTCCTCCTCCATGTACAAAAGACAGGGAAATCAGTATATATTCAAAGGTATGCAAAGCGTACATGCATATGATGGCGCTCGGGAAGATGAACGTTTCGTGACGGTTCGTCCATATGTCCCTCAAGGAACCTTTCAATTGATCCACCAAGCAGCGAAATCATGTCGAGCAATCTACGTCACTGTGATACAGTTCCTGGAGAGTATCGCTATACCCACATACCTCGGCTCTTTACTCGACGTTGTTGCCAGAATTCAAGCGCAAACCGAGAAATCGGGGGACGGAACTTCCGGAAGGCTGAGAGCGCCACTCACCTCTAACGATCGTCGAACCAATATGCCTTTCAAGCATATGCGATGATTCCAAGATATAAATTCTTATCCAAGAGCTTCGGGATAGTGAGCAAACAGAGGCGGGGTAATAGCGCAGTCGTCGAACGTCGTGGACGTGGAGCTCCGAGGGCAAGCCATATCGTCGGTGCCCGAATAGTTTTGAAGGCCGCGCGCGCTGAGTTTGAATCACATGTCGCACGCACTGCGTGGCGTTGTGTTTTGCGCTTGTCTTCCCTTCCTCCGCCATCATCACATTCGACCATTGCTCAACTCGTTGAATTCGAACCCACAATTTCTGTGTCGGAAGAGACGACTGTTTCTAGTGATTTGAGGTGTAAGAGGGTCAGAAACTCGTCTTGATTTCAGGGCTTGGAATAAGAGGTATGTTCCCGACGATTTTGTGTATCTCTGATGATTTGGATGGGTACAACGCGAGGCCGTCCTTCAGTCTGCCAGGTTAACTTAAGGGCATGACTCCCATACCATAGCTTGTATAAGCTCATGCAATTTTGAGGTTTCTAATGAAGTCTCATCTACAACTGTCACGGAGGCGGCTCAGTCGCGTGCATGGCTTGTGAGTGGTGCCCTATGTTGGCCAATGTCAGAGTCGCAGACATAGAATGGTTCGCAATGAAACATCTCAGAGCGTTATGGAAGTCAGGATCATGCTCGAATACAACGCCACGCACCCCCTCGTCTAATTTCCCCTTCTACCCATCCGCACATCTATACTCACCTTGCTGACCCTGGTATATAGGTTGACGCTCATGCATGCATTACGCCAAGATATCTTATCCCCAAGTGGTGTAGAGTTCGTGACATGTTTGAAGTTGACTCCATCCACCGTCAAACCGAAACCTGACAGCCAGAAGGCCCTCCCTCTGTTCAACTTGGTCGTTGCACGTTCTAACCTCCTTCGTATACTTGAGGTCAGGGAGGTCCCTACTTTAAGGCCAATTCACCTGGACGATGAAAGGGAGCGTCGGGGTAATGTGAGGAAGGGGACGGAACCGGTTGAAGGAGAGGTCGAGATGGACGAGCAAGGGGAGGGTTACGTCAACATGGGCGCTGTAAAGGTGATTTGGATAGCTCACTCATGTCCTTTGCACAGAGCAATACAACTACTTTGTCCACCATCTGAACCTAAAACTTCGTCGGAACTGACGCTGATTGCGCTACTGTTCGTTATCTTCAGTCAACCGCATCCAATGGGGCGCCTCGCCCAACTGTTCTCCGCTTTTACTTTGTGCGAGATTATCGTCTTCATGGAACTGTCACCGGACTGGAGACTGTGCGCATCATGTCTTCGTTGGAAGATGAAATGGACAGACTTCTGGTCTCTTTCAAGGATGCAAAGGTCTGTCTAAGCTTGTCGCATCACAGAGTCTATCTAACGCTTAGGTTGTAGATTGCCCTCCTTGAGTGGTCGACTGATACTCACAGTCTCTCAACGGTCTCGATCCACACTTACGAACGTGCACCTCAACTGGTGAGCAAAGCTTCTGGTCGGCAACGTTCTCGATCTCAACCGACATTACGTGTAGCTATCTCTGGATTCCAACATGTTCACAGCGCAGCTGCGAACAGACCCATTGTCGCAATGCGCGGCCTTATCTCTGCCGAAGGATGCCTTCGCCATTCTGCCATTCTACCAGACTCAGGTCGATCTCGACGTCATGGATCAAGACCAAACTAGAGCTAGGTAAGTCCGTGAACTTAATCTGTTAATGTTGCGTCGAGTCTCACTCAATGAATGGGTATAGGGATGTACCTTACTCGCCCAGCTTCATTCTGGATCTTGCCGCGGAGGTCGATGAACGAATCCGGAACGTGGTCGATTTTGTCTTTCTTCCCGGCTTCAGCCATCCTACGGTCGCCGTTCTATTCCAGGCTCAACAGACATGGACAGGGTAACGGTCAAGCCCTCTTTCTACATGCCTTCGAATTTGCTGACTTTTGTGGGAAACCGTCTTTCTAGTCGCTTGAAGGAATATAAAGACACAATGAGACTGTTCATATTCACTCTCAATGTCGTCACTCGAAGCTACCCCATCATCACTTCCGTCGAAGGTCTTCCTTACGATTGCCTCTCCGTCGTTCCTTGTCCAGCGGCATTAGGAGGCGTGGTCGTCCTCACCAGTAACTCTGTCATACACATCGATCAGGCCTCTCGTCGTGTAGCACTCGCAGTGAATGGATGGATGCCTCGCGTGAGCGACATGCCTGTCACCGCCCTTGCCCAAGGAGACCAGGGCCGTCTCGAACTGGAGGGATCTCGAATGACGTTCGTCGACGACAAAACCCTGTTCATCGTGCTGAAGGATGGGACCATCCATCCTGTCGAATTTTTCGTGGATGGGAAAGTCGTATCGAAGCTGTCCATATCGCCGCCTCTGGCCCAGACGACGACACCGTCGGTTATCAGGAAGATTACGAATGAACACTTTTTCGTGGGGAGTACCGCTGGTCCCTCTGCTTTGCTGAAAGTTTCCGGTGTAGAAGAGGACATACAGGATGACGTCGAGGAAATAGACGGGAAGACGGCGCCCGCGGCCGTGGTTGACTCTGTCGATGGGATGGATATAGACGATGACGACGGTGAGCCTAGTTCTATTCTTAATCTAAAAACCACTTCTTATTAGACTGCCAGATCTGTACGGGTCGTCGAAGGCCGACCCTACGCCCACCGCAAATGGGAATGCTGTCGAAACCACCTCTACCACGAGGAAACGCACAGTCATACATCTATCTTTGTGCGACTCGTTGCCCGCCCATGGCCCTATATCAGATATGACCTTCTCCATGACCAAGAACGGGGTGAGATTTCCCTCCCCTCCCCTCTTACCTTTCCCCATCCTTGCCTCTCAGCCTTTTCATTTCCATGCCGTGTGGTCGCTCATATCTACCCGCGGCTTTAGGATCGAGCTGTCCCAGAGCTTGTCGCAGCTACGGGCTCAGGTCTGCTCGGTGGCTTCACTTTATTCCAGGTAGGCACATCACGTCACACTCGCTCTGGCGAAATACCGGTACAGAGACCGACTCACTAATCCGTCACCGTACGCAGCGCGACCTTCCCATCCGCACGAAACGAAAACTGCATGCTATCGGTGGCGCGCGGGGCGTGTGGTCTTTGCCCGTACGACAAGCCGTCAGGGTTAACGGTGTGTCGTACCAGACTCCCCAGAACCCGCTTCGGTCAGACAACGATACCATCATTATCAGCACTGACGCAACTCCCAGTCCTGGAATCTCACGGGTGAGTGGCCGTCGTACCCACGCCCCACACCTTTCTCCCAGCCCTCTTCGTCTCAAACCTCCAACGATCAACGATCGAAAGGAGACGAGATCGCGAGATCAAGTTTTCTTTTCCGGGGTAAAAAGACTTACAAGGGTTTCTGCTTTGTTTTGGACCATGCCCGTGTGCCCAGATCGCCACTCGGTCGTCCAAGACGGACCTCAATATTACCACGCGTATCCCAGGTGTGACTACGGTTGGAGCCGCACCCTTCTTCCAGGGCACAGCGATCCTGCACGTGCTGAGCAACGCTATTCGGGTGCTTGAGCCAGGTGATTTTTGCTCACGATCACAAGTTTTTCGACGAGTGTGGCCCTAACCTCCTTACTACTTCCAGACGGCTCGGAACGGCAGCCCATCAAAGACATGGATGGAAATAACTATAGAGCCAAGATCAAGAATTGTAGTATTTGTGACCCGTACGTCTTCGTGCTCCGGGAGGACGAGACCATAGGGCTGTTCATTGGCGAAACGGAGCGAGGCAAAATTCGACGGAAGGACATGTCACCAATGGGAGACAAGGTGAGCTAAGCTTGTATCTATCTCCTTTCGGCCCCAAATTAAGTCCTGCCCACCACACAGACCTCGAGATACATCGCCGGATGTTTCTTTTCCGATACCACCGGCACATTCCAGGCGCATGTTAACAGCAGTCTCAACGGGTCCAACACGACAAAGCAAAACGCCACATCCACGCTTCAGTCTGTGATGAATGCGGGGCAGAAGACTCAATGGCTACTGCTCGTTCGACCGCAGGGTGTGATGGAAGTCAGTGCTTTCTGCCGAGATCCAACCTGAATCTGAGCGTATCGGTCGTTCGGAACTAACACAATGTACTTTTCTTCGTAGATCTGGACTCTACCAAAGTTGACCCTTGTATTCTCGACGACGGCATTGGCGACGCTCCAGCCCCTCCTCGTCGACTCACTGGACCCACCAGCACTATCATCGCTCCCTCAAGATCAACCCCGAAAACCTCAGGAGTTAGACATCGACCAAATTTTAGTCGCACCTCTAGGCGAAACTTCTCCGCGTCCTCACCTCTTTGTAAGTAAAGATTGCTGCTCAGCTGATAGAACAATCGTTATCACCTGTTCAATGCGGTTGACTTGTCTGCTCACTCCCATGCATGATAGGTGCTGCTTCGGTCAGGCCAATTAGCCATCTACGAGGCGGTGTCTTTCGAGCTACCCACAGGCGACCCTGAGCCTGCCTCTCGACCCTCGATTCTCCCCGTGAAGCTCGTGAAAGTCCTGTCTAGAGCGTTTGATATCCAGCACCCGGACGAACAGCCCCAGGAGAAGTCTGTCCTCGCGGAACTGAAGAAAATACAGCGGTTGTTCATCCCGTTCGTTACGTCGCCTGCGCCAGAAAAGACATTCACGGGCGTGTTTTTCACGGGTGACAGGCCATGTTGGATTTTGGGGACGGACAAGGGAGGTATCAGGGTGCATTCTTCGGGGCACGCGGTCGTGCATTCGTTCACGCCGTGTTCGCTCTGGGACTCTAAAGGCGACTTTTTGTTGTATACTGACGAGGTACGTTTTCCAGCTACGAAGAATGCCAAAATGATGCCAACTCTTTTCGCGCATGTTTTTCTCATGGTATAGGGACCATGTTTACTTGAGTGGATGCCGGACGTACAGCTGCATACAGAGTTGCCCTCGAGATTTATGCCACGTTCTAGAGCATATACAAATGTGGTCTTTGATCCTTTCACGTGTCTCATCGTAGGAGCGGCGAGCTTGAAGGCGCAATTCACCTCTTTCGACGAGGACGGAAATCAGACCTGGGAGCCTGATGGTATGCCCAGCGAACTTATTTGTTCATCTTTGCCCGCCTAATTCCAATTTTAGCGCCGAATATCTCATATCCCACGACCGATTGCTCCACTTTGGAACTGATTACGCCTGATGCTTGGCTAACAATGGACGGGTACGCCTCTAGCTATTCTCACCTTTAGCACCTGCTTGACGAGAGTATCCTACAGATATGAATTTGCATCCAACGAAATAGTCAATGCTGTCGAATGTGTCATGCTCGAAACTCAAAGCACAGATTCGGGCCAGAAGAGTTTCATCGCTGTCGGTACAACCATCAATCGAGGCGAGGATCTCGCAGTCAAGGGAGCGGTATGTCATCGTTTGTTTTTTTATAGCATGCCCACTTCTGAAGCCATGTTTTCTCGTACCTTAGACCTACATCTTCGAGATCGTCGAGGTCGTACCTGATCCATCCTTCGGAGTCAAGCGTTGGTTCAAGCTGCGAATGCGGTGTCGAGATGACGCCAAAGGTCCAGTCACTGCTTTATGCGGCATGGATGGATATCTCGTTTCATCGATGGGTCAAAAGGTGTGTACTGATCGTTGATTATTTTGAATGAACCCGGTGTTTGTGAAGCACTAACGATCATCTTCGCGTAGATATTTGTTCGCGCGTTGGATCTGGACGAGCGGTTGGTCGGCGTTGCATTCTTGGATGTGGGGGTATACGTGACGTCGTTGCGCGCTTTGAAGAACCTGTTGATCATCTCGGATGCAGTCAAGAGTGTTTGGTTTGTCGCTTTCCAGGTATGTTTATCGCCTGTCACAAGGTTTTCAGGATATTCATTTAGTTATGTTCGCAGGAGGATCCTTACAAGTTAACGGTGCTGGCGAAAGATGCACAGCAAGTCTGCTTTACTTCGGCAGACTTTTTCTTCGCCAACCAACAGCTGTCCATCGTAACTTGTGACGAGGAAGGTATACTTCGGATGTATCACTACAATCCGCATGGTAAATCTAGCATCGCCAACCGACGAACACATCGCTGACGATTGTCGCACCCAGATCCCGAATCGAAAAATGGCCAGCGCCTTCTCTGCCATGCAGAGTTCCATGGCCAAATAGAGTATCGGAGTTCGCTCACCATCGCTAGGCGGACGAAGGGCCCAGATACGGAGATACCGCAAGCTAAACTTATTTGTGGTAAGCGTCACTCCAGATTGCGCCTCAGGATGTGGTGTTGACATGTCATGACAGGGTCGCCGGATGGATCATTGAGTGCATTGGTACCAGTCGAGGAAGCGGCCTTCAAGCGATTGCACCTCCTACAAGGACAGCTCACACGAAACGTCCAACATACAGCAGCTCTGAACCCTCGAGCCTTCCGGTACGTCGAATTCCGCTGTCGGCCACCATTGTCCTCTTGATTACTCATCTTGCTTCCCATCAGGGCTGTGCGAAATGAATATGTTTCTAAAACTCTACACAAGGGCTTCTTGGATGGGCTTCTTCTCAGATCGTTTGAGGATCTCCCTGTGTCGAGACAGATTGAGATCACACGGCAAATAGGGACAGAGCGAAGGCTTGTATTGAAGGATTGGGTGGCTTTAGGTGGCCCGTGGTGATCATCTTCCTTTGTCGGTGACTGCTATTGTACATTATGCTTTTCAGCTACTTTTCGAGAGCAATACACGCCCCTGTCGAAAAGTTGACCACTGTGGAACTTGCATTCTGTGATGATTGCAACGTTGCGGGCTGACGTAATAAACTGTAGGGCCACAGTGGCGAGATGTTTGGTCTTGTTAGGATCCGAGGCCTTCAACCTCAACACCAACTTGACACCAACCTCATCAATCTCTCTCCTTTCGTTTGTGCCGTCTTCACGAAACACTATCGGCAGCATTGGTCCTGGGCATCGAGCTTGGCGCTATCTGTAGACAAAGGGTCAGTAACGCGGTCGCTATACTACTGGCAGCTTCGACGCTTTAGCCCTTGACATACCGACACACATTCGATTTATAACATAGTGAACTCTGTCGAAGTACTGGTTCCACTGTACCATTACGCATTCTAAGAGGCCAGTCATTGTTAGTATTACCTACTTGGACACAAGCCGGATTCTTCGTTCGCGTTGCAATTGTTCACTATCGGCGTTTCCTTCCCACGTTACGTCAACACGCGTTTGTGTCAGTCCTTTGTTCTCCCGCGGCCATAAAGGTTTCTTCAATCCCCCCAAGTCCCTTGCCTCCCTCCCCTCAGAACCTGCAGCGACCTCCACCATGGTCTTCTTCACCGACCTCTCCACTGAGATCATGCTCAGCATCTTTACTACACTCAAAAAGGACGTTGAAAGCGGTCCCTATGACGAACGATACAAAGTCCTAAACACCCTCTCTCTCGTTTGCAAACGCTTTAATGACGTCGCCAACTTCGAGATCTACCGCACATACACACTCGCTCTTCGACCAGGCAGTCATCGCGCACTATACGGTGAGAGACCCAACCGACATCGTAAGGACTGGGAGGACACGACCTGGGACCCGAAACGCATCGCTGCACGTCTTCAGCATTTTAAAGCTGTCGCACACTGCGTTCGACTTCTCATCATCATCGATCATGAAGTACGCGATCCATGGACCCGAGCGGATCAAATGCATCTAAAGCCACATGCGTTTCCTGCGGAGGTCATGCCTGCGATGATGGAAGCTTTGGAGCGCGCGACTCGCGTCGTCACGCTCAAAATCGTGGCCAACAACACTGGCACGACTTACTGGCGAACGCGGTTCCCTCCAGAGCTTTGGAAGTGGATGCAGACGCAGAAACCGAACGATGGTATACACTTCCATGGCAATTTCGAATTTAGCCGGTGTGTCGAGTTGGGGCCTATCCGTGATGTTGAGGAATTGACCGTCAGTTACTACGATGAGCATACCGAATGTCTGCTTCAGGTACGAATTTAGCTCACAACTCATCTATGTATGTTGAACCTTCTTAAACCCTTGATTCTTCGTCAGCTTGTCCCCGATGCTCTTTATTTTACTCTCGAATTTATCAAGCCGATGCCGTTCAAGCTACCTCCTAATACTTTATACATTCATCTGGTCATAATGCATATTGCGAAGTTCCCCGACAATTTCATCGACCTCAGGTCCTTTCAAAAGGCTCAACTTACGGTTGACTTTCCGATGACACATGGCAAGCGAGAAATTGTGCGCATTGTTGTCTTCGATCCTCGATTTCTCAATTAACTTATTCTTTCAGTGGCAATGGCTCGATATCAAGAAACATCTTCCTCGTGTTATGGCGGACGATCTTTCCACCTACGACGTCAAGTATAACTGGGAGAAAGAGGTCCTTGTGACTCGTCCCTTTCCGAAACCTGAGGGTCCCAGACCATGGAAACCTGAGAATCAGGATCACGCCGAGGAGCCTACTCCCTGGGAGGAAGAAAAGATCGCCGAGGCCAAGATGGAAGATCGCATAGACGAGGTGCTGGAGTATAAGAAGTTGCTGGGGCATTATCACCCTACGATTTCGGGTATACCTCTGAATTTGCCGGAAAGGTATGAAATCCAGCGGGAGTTAGAGGAAGAGGACGAGGGGGCACAGGAAGCTGAAGGGGAACAGGAAGTTGAAGGGGAACAGGAAGTCGAGGGGGAACAAGAAGTCGAGGGGGAGGGGGATGATGCGATGGATGAGGAAGATGACTAACAGAGCTATAGGTTACAAAAGAGTACACAGACGAAGAGTCGAGCAGAACGTACTAATGACCGAAAAATGCTGCCGTATTCGAAACCTGTCCATAAGGATAACATTGTATCTGGTACACGCGCAATACCACGCCCAACATACGAAGTGTTCGAGTCTTGAATGGTAGTGACAAAATTAAAGGGTGAACATTATTCTAGTCCGAAGAAATTTCTATCACGTCTGATTGTCCAGCACGCGAATGGTTTGCCTTTTTGCTTCCACCTCCGGAAGGCCGTCCCTTTGACTGGTGACCAGTCCCCTTCATATCATACGCCCAGTCATCCTCCCCACTCACATACTCCACTTCATCGTCACTAGGATCTTCGAAGTCGAACCCTATGGGTCTCCTTGTGTTAGTGTTCTCTTTTCGACGCGCTCGCGACGTACGAGGAGTCTCCTGCACTTCGTCATCCGCGTCGTCCACGATGTCTTCTGCCTCCGAAACGACAACCCCTCGCCGCAGTGGGTTTCGGTTCCTGGACGGTCGCGGTGTCCGGGCACTGGGACCTTCTCCAGAATCCTCAAGCACGAAGTCTTCATGGCCGTCAACCTCCATAGCATCTTCCATCATCACTCCATCATCTTCACCTTCATCCTCATCCCCTTCGTCTTCCCCATCCATTTCTATCTGCTTCCTCTTCACCCCCCGACCGGCTTTGGCGGTCTTCGAAGAAGTGGGAACATCCTTGCCGGACGCGTTAGTCCCCGACTTCCTCGACTTCCTCTTCTTCTTCACCTCCTTCAAGACGCCCATATTGATACGTTCTCCCCGCCCATTCTCGATGTCCGTCCTGGATAGCCTCGTTATCGGATACGCTTTGGGGCCAGTGGTGAGGTAGATGTTTGTTCGGTAAGCGGTTTGGACGTAGGCCTCTTTGAGATAGCCTCTCACGACGAGGGTCATCACAAGTGCTTCCGTCTCCTGTGATGGCGGTGGTGGCCCAACAATCGATATCAGCACAGCGCTAAACACATCGAGCAATTCGGAGACGCACCTTCTCTGACATTTCGACTTTATCGACACCGCCACTACCACCCACGGCGGACACTGAATCCACTCTCACTTTCTTCGCCTTTGATCCCGCGCCACCCAATCCCCTAGCCGCCTCTACCAACTCATTCATCGTAGCTTTGACTTTAGACCCGTCCAACGCTTTCATCTTTTGAAGAACTCGCCAGGCATCCAGAGTGACGTCTTTGTTCTCGACTGTGGAAGGATCACGAGTGCAGTTGTCGCAGTGGCCGCAGGGTGTGAGGGAGTCTTTGCTGTCTTGCGTCCATGAGTTGACTGCTACGTATTCGATTGAGGAGAAGTAGCTGGATGGGAAGCATGACATCGATGTGATTAGCGGAACCGCGTAAATATTGTGGCTTTGGCCGGTTTTCAATCGAAAGGCGTACCGAATGAACTGGATCTTGCGACATTCGAGAACATCTTGGGCAAATTGGACCATACCATGAACTGTAGGGTGGAAATGCTATTAGGCTCGCTATAGATAATGAGCGAAGTGTGGCCACGGTGCGTACTTTTCTCCACACCGCCGATCTCGTTCGTGTAGACCCCAGTCAAGCGAAAAGCATCCTGTGCTCTATAAAACAGGACGCATTCGGCATCATCGCCGTCTCTTCCTGCGCGTCCAGACTCCTGGTAGTAGTTCTCTAGTGATTTCTACGAGTGGTGAATATCAGTGGCGACGAAAAACGCATACGCGCAAGAAACCCTCACCGGTAACTAGATGAAGGTGATCTGGTTAGCATGTTTGGCGTAGGGTCCGACGGGCGTGTAGAGCATACCGAATGATGCAACACAAATCGAACATCAGCTTTATCGATACCAAGACCGAATGCTGTTTGACCAGTCGTGGTCAGTATCAGGAAAGACTATGAGGATAAATTATCTGATAATGAACTAACCGATAGTCGCAGCAACGACCTTGACCTTCCCAGCCCTCCACGCCTCGTGCAGTCCTTCCTTCTGGGGTTCGGGGATGGAAGCATGATACACGCCACACTTGACCTTTCCTTTACTTCCCTCCTGCACGCCTTTCGCGACATCTTCGGCATCCTACAGTACGGTGAGACAGAGTGAGACACGAGATATATCGCAGACAAGGACAACGATAGCCCAATGACCTGAGAGAGACTTACCTTCTGCGTCAAACAGTAGATGATTCCCGTCTTTCCTGGATGTTCCTCTTCTATGTACTGTATAATCTGCTCAATAAATGCTTTTGCAGATTTGGGCTTCGGCAGGACTTTATAATGCAGGTTCTTGCGGTACAGCGGACTCGTCAGGTAAACGGTACCATCGGCGTTGGCCTCTGTTCGTTGAAGATCGTGTCATATCGAGGATCAGCATCAGAGGGAAACTATCTGAGATTTAGGGCCGTGACTTACGCTTGAAATCAGTTACGCGGTTGAGACGGAGAATCTTGAGGACGTCTTTGAGAACGTTTGGGGGGCATGTGGCGGAGAGGGCCAGGATGGGCACATTGGGAAAGAGCTGGCGAAGCTTTGAGAGCGCCTTATAATCGGGTCTGTAGTAGTTGTCGACTGAGTGCAGCGCTCGAATAACATCTGAAGAAACCGAAATGCACCTGAAATCGTGTCCCAGCTGAGACACGCAGTGGGCCTCGTCGATAACAATCCTGGCTGTGTTTGGCCACAGTCAGTATATATGCCACATGCGAGAAGAACGGAGATGCGCACGAAGCCGGTTTCTCTCCGCAAGGGTCTCGATAATCGCTAATAACGTCTTACTTTTCGCTACTTTCTCAGGCTACTGGTTCGGTCCCAGTCGTCAGCAGGAGTAGAGGCAAATTGGTTTATATCGACGTTCGAAACGCACCGTAACGTAGCAAAGCTTGATCTCCTTAAACTTTCTCCCTTTCGGGTCGCTACCGCCCTTGACTTTGTTCGGATCCGCAGTGAACTGGAGACACTTGTAGATGTAACTCTGGTCGTCCTTGGAGGTGGAGCCTGTGAGCATGACAGCCTCCACTACGATGTCTGTCAGTAAAAGGTGATGACGTCAAAGAGGATAGAGATGCCGCACCACCGGCTTCCTGAAGATGCATGATCTGGTCTTTGATCAAGGAAAGTAGCGGGGATATGACCAGAGTACATCCGAGCGCAAATAGTGCCGGTAGTTGATATACAATAGACTTTCCGCCACCTGACCCACGTCTAGTCAGATTGTCGTTACGAAGGCTCGTGGATTGAGCGGATAAAAATAGTACCTGTGGGCATGATGCAAACTATGTCGCGGCCGTCAATGTTGGCGTTACAGGCACTGAATGAAAATCATATAGTCAACACCCGTTGGGCAGAAGAAGGTTTCACTCCAAGATTGTCAGTTTAGCAGGCGGCAGCGGCCTGGTGACAACTTAGGACTAGTGAAATCCACACTCTGCAGCGTACAGTTTTCCAAACGAGCCTCGATAAATTCTGGCTCCGATTTCATCGCTATTGCGTATGAGATATGTCTCGCAGCGGGATCTGAAGACGTACTGTACGATGCAGAGAGCGTGACACTCCACCGAGAGACCACTTACGGCTCCTGGACGAGACGGAAGCTCGAGATGTCAAAGACTTTCTTTAGCTGCAGGCGCAATTGTGGAGACCAGTCGAACTCCTCTCGATAGTCCCGCATAACAGCTCTTGCCTTGCCTTTACCGTTCCCATCTTTCAAGTCATGGTGAGTGGGAGGTGCTGCGCGTGTAAGCAATTCTTCTTCTAGTACTTCCACACGAGCAATTTTCTGTTCCAGCAGGGCTTGGAGGATCTCAAGTTCTTGTTCAATCTCGGGAATCTGAAGATGGAGAGCGTCAAGTTCAGCCTCGGGACTGCTGTACTGGCCAGGGTTTTGGTGAGATTTTGAACCGCCTGCTTTGGCAGGAAGAATTTTGCGTTCTGGAGTGCAAACGAAGAAGATGGTTAACATGAGCAATACAGCGGTCAACACGAGTAGTATGGCCGAGTGGCCCTTATGCAAAAGTGATACTGCGCAGATACTTCCTAAGCAAGGCGATGTACGATCTTTCGCGCAGTGAATGTGGATGCCCTCGAGTGAGGTACAGCAATGGTCCATCGCTAACGCCCGTTTTCGGCGAAGCTCTCGTCTGGTGGAGGACGAGAGCATGGATATGATGTGTCAAGCTTACCATTCTACATGAATTATCAGCTTCAATGATCTAATAAGTCTATAAGATAGACTCACAGTAGCTGCACCAGAGAAGTAGTTATCTAGACGATCTTCCATACTCAATCCACAGAACACCGCGACGATTCTGGAAAAACGGTGTGGCGACTCGGATCCGAGTCGAAGTTGCGAGCGAGTTGCGAGGTAGTGATGCCGCGGTAGGCACTCAGGTTTTTGGCCTCGTAACCAGTTGTGCCTTCAACACTTCAGTAGCTTAGCTATTTGAACGCCGGAGATTATAATAGTGTCTTTCACGTACCATCAAGCTCCGATAAGATTAGTAAGGTTGGATTGACACGGACAAGTTTGGCCTCGTAATCCAAGTGCGTGGCTTGCCGCGCGGAGCTCACTTTTTTTCAGGCTCCGACGTCTTCCGTCCGAACCTTGCGCGACCGCCGGCCGTGACTGGTCGACGGCTCACAACAGACCGAAGGCCGACCGTGTGCGTGGTCTGTCAAATCTGTAACCGTTAGCGGGGGTATTCATCGCGTTGCTTGTGGTGGGTGACGAGCTCCATAAGCAAAAACGATGTCTTCACCAGCAGCCTAGTTCGAAGATAGCCTACCCCGCGCACGTCTTCGTATTCGTTGAATTACAGTCGACGATGTGGAACGAGGGGGAGAAGACCACGGAGACCCTAGAAGATCTCATGCGGCTCCCTGCGGCTCCTCCCCTCACCGTTCCCCGCATTTATCATACAGCCGTTGGCCAGAGGCCAGATCATGCCAGAGCTTGTCCGACTGCTTCTTCTGTCGTGACATCTGGGGTTCCTGACCATGGAGTGTGCGGATGTTTCTATTTCCAAAGGCTGGCCGATACTAGGTATTCTTGGAATCGTGACCTCATGGAAGACCCAACTCTATTTGCTTGCATGCCCATTTTTCTCGGAGTGTTTTTTGAACGTTCGCGAGCATGTCTGGGTGTGGTTCTTTTTTCTTTTTTCGCGGAGAAACATTCCTATGACCTCATCTTGGACTCGACCGTTATTTTGCTTTGACGAGCGAAAGATCTCTCCACTCCTTGGCTGTCTCGCTTGATCTCAAATCCCTGACATGTCCGATCCGCTGGTTACCGGCGATCTACGATTTTCGCCCGACGGGGACGCTGTAGTACCCTGACACCGGCTGCGATCGACTCGCAGTCTCTTTCTTCGGAATCACGATGCTATAAAGACTCTCAAAACGAGTTTCGTCGGTGGTGAACGAATACCCCCTTGTTTCGACTTGGCGCTCGAACGCTCTTCCTCTTCAAACCGCCATCCTCACAGACTCTGCCAGCTTTGTCGTCCCCGCAGTCTTGAATTGACTCGATCATGGTGGAAGTGACTGTGGCTGCCGCGAAGCTGACGATTGGGGCTCTGGAGATCTCGGTTTTGGTCGGGACATTTCTCTACGCTATCACTTGCGCTCAAATATACGTGTACTGGAGGAGCAATTTCAATGACCGCTTCCTCATCCGTTTGTTGGTGCGTTTAATCTACCTTGATGTCAAGTACGCAGCGTGGACTCATTGCTGGCTGGGGCGCGTGTAGATTGCGGCTGTCTGGTGCGTCCTCCTCTGTGTCGATGTCGAGCGTCTAAGAATGACCTCTATCTCCATTTGGTAGGCTGGGCGAGACCATACATACTATTTTCTTCTGGATTCATCGATACCAGGTGACCGTCACCTATTACGGCGAACCGAATTCCCTCACCCTGAAAAGCTGGGCTCTCGATTATTCCATCCCGGTCCATGGCATCATTAGTGCTCTCGTCCAGGTACGTGCTCTATAATGTAAAACACCCGTTCAGGATCTCACGCACGCCGTTTTCTTCCCGAAGATGTACTATTCCTGGCGTGTACGCGTTCTGTCCGGGAGAAGTCTCGTCACGATCATTAGTTGGATAGGTTCATTCCTTGAGGTCGTCGGCTCTATCACCGTCACCGCGCTGCTCGAGATATATGGACCTGTAACCCACGTGAATACCGTCACCTACGCCGCAATCGCTACCATCTCGATGGACGTCATCGTGGATATCATAAACACGGCCGCCTTGTGCTACTGCTTGCATAGGAAACGAACGGGATTCCACAAGTGGGTGACCTCCTATCAATTCTCCGTAGATCAATGTGTTGTCCGTGTCCTGATATGGCTATCCATTCCCCAGAACCGACACGCTCATCAATACCATCACTCTATGGACCGTCGGTAAGTCACCATCTTATGATGTCGGCTTCTCAATTTACTCATCAGCCCCTTTCTACAGAAAGCGGGATCATCACCTTGTAAGTTGGCTATAGTTCTGTCTATGTGAGTGGTCCTAACTGGAAACGTCCAGGATTACGGCCATAGCTATGCTCATCACCGTAAGCCGTCAGAACTCCCTTTCGTGCTCGCAACCCTACTGACTATCGCCTTCCTGTAGTGTATAGTGATACCGGAGACAGAAATCTACGTCTCCCTGACCGCTTTCTATGCCAAACGTAAGCCCCTAAGACCCTTTACTCTAGCGACGTGTGTATTCACAACTAACCGCCCTTATAGTGTACTCGAACTCATTGATGGCATCGTAAGTCTCATACATCTTGACCCCCCAATTGTGTTCAGGATATTGTAGATCTATCACCCTCTAACGATCACTTCCGTTCCCAAAAGATTCAACTCCCGGGGACCGTTGGGACCAGGAAAGTTCACGTCAAACGACTTCGACGGAAGCTTGCATATCAGCGTCACCACCTCCCAGGTATGCCCTTTCGTTTTCTTCATCCATATGTTTTCCAGCCTAACGCCCTCAGATCAAGACCCAATCCGCCTCCCACGTCCTTCCCCGCTTCGCGCCCTGGCGCGGCCCAACCGACGTCGACTCCTACCCCCTCACCACCCGCGGCGTCAACGCCTCCAAAGACGATTCAGACGACAACTCCGGCGCGCAAGACGTCGACGCTTTCGATTCCACCGACAAAGCCACTGGCCTTGTGCGCGAGACGTACATCGACGGCACGGGGCCGGGGCCGCTGCCGCAGAAGAGTTCGAGTTTGAAGGGGCATGGGCAGGTGCAGGTGAGCAGCACTACAGTGACGGGGCGGGACGAGAATGGGATACCTGGGTTTCTGAGGAATTCGCATGTAGGGCTGAGGAAGGACATGAAGAGCGTGGATGAGTCGGATTGTACGACCATTGCAGAGTTGAGGGATGAGTCTGGTGAGTAGCGCGCCCCCTCGAGTGTTTCATAGCCAGTCACCCATCCCATCCCATCCCATCCCATCCCATCCCATCCCATCCCATCCCATCCCATCCCATCCCATCCGTCCATCCACCCATCTGCCGTATCACCATGTTCGTTTCTCGACGGCCGAGTCGACTAGAGAGGATGCGCTTGCTGACCACCATGTTTTTCTTTCTTTTGTTTGGTCTGACAGGCAAATAATGCCTCGCCCGCGCCGTCAAAATGACCACGGTGTCGTCAATCCTTCCCGCGGTCCTTGTACCTACTGTACTAGTAGTCAGGCTTCAATGTACGTTCCTACAACACATACTGGCAACCGAGGTTTATTACTACCATTTCTTCATCACCGCCTTCGCCCTTCGCCCTCCATTCACCCCCACTCTCCACCCTCCACCGTCCTTTCTTCCTCTGGTTTCGAATGGAAGTCGACTGTCCCACTTCATTCAATCTTCGTTTAAATGGTTGTGTCTATACGGTCTTTTCTCCGCTGGTTTCTTTCCCTCCCCACCGGTATATGTCAGGCCTCGGGTTAGGCTCGAGTTTGCGTTTACGAAGTTACAGTACATATACATCACGGTTTTAAGTTGACTTCTTATCTACGCGTACGACGGTGGAATGATACGATATAAGCTCGTTAGGAGCGTTTGTTGTTTCCTCAGGCATGCATCGAACGCTATTGAGAAAGGTGAACCTAGGGACCCTGGTTCGCTATTGTAACGCGCCACTACTACATGCATACCTGCCCATCGTTGAGATCGTGCAGAAATGATCTCCAAGACGGTTCTACCCAATGAAAAACCTCTTTCTCGTACAAGCAGCTTCAATATGAGCACGTCATGATTCATCGAAGTGGTAACGACGGCACCCCACCGCCACCGCCACCTCTCTCCCGTATATTCAACTTCCTACCCTGCGTCCCACCAGCACCCTCACCCTCACCCGCACCCGCACCCGCACCCGGCCCTATCTTCCCCTCCTTCTCCTTCTTCGCCTTCTCCACCTCCCTCCTAACCACCTCACCCTCTTTCCTCCACTCCTTCCTCTCCCACGCATCCCATTCATCCCGCGCATCGATCCATCGCTCCTGCACGTCGCGAACGTCGCTCATTTTTCCTTTTAGGGGGCCGGCGGCGGAACTTAAGAGAGAGTATGTGTTGGGGTGTTGGGTTAGGGGGGCGGTGGGGGGTGGGGGGATTATGTCGGGGTCTCGGTCGGAATTGGAATTTGAGTGGGAGTGGGGGTGGGAGGGAGTAGGGGTGGGATTGGAGGGGGTAGGGAGGTAGACGTAGCCTGTTGCGCGGTCGATGGCGCGTGTTAGGTGTAGCATCGAGTTTTTGTCCTAATAGCGGATGAGTTAGGTCATGAAAAGGACGACTGTGGTAAAAGTGGGGCGTTACCTCGACGGCGAGCGTCTCGAAGCCTACGAGGCTGAAATCTTCGATGAGACCACAGATGGCCATGTTGAGCGCTTGGAAGCGCGGTGAGGCCGATGAGAGCGCGGTTTCGAGGTACGATAGGTCTTGGACTTCGGTGTAGTAGTCCAAGTTAAAGTCTATGGCCTGTCATCGTTAGCATACCACACCAGACTAGTTCGCCACGAAGATGTGAAAGGAAACGCACCAAGATCACCGTATTGTGAGATGAGGTCGACTTTAGAGAGGACGTTTATATGTGGGAGTTCGAGGTGAAGCATCGTTCGGAGGGAGAGAAGGAGGACGGAGACGTATTTAGAGGCGTCTGTCACGTAGTGTGCGTCGCAGAGATGAACGGCAGCTAGCTAGAACAGCTCGTCATCGTCGCACCCAACCCAGCGCCATCTCACCAGTAAAAAAACTTTCAAAAAAACGCACCCTAAAGCCAGTCTTGGCCAGCCTCTTCACGATATTCTTCAGACTCCCATGGTTCGTGCTCAACTCGACCTGCCCAGGCAAATCAAAAAGCACATACGCATCCTTCCCCAACTCTCTCAACCTCTCCTCCAACCAGTCATAATTCGCCTCTAGATACTCCATGCAATAGAGCATGCCGCCGTTTGGACCGAGCCCGTGTTCGGACATTACATCCTGGAGGGTTATGAGGGACGAGATGTCGATGGCGCATGGGTAGGGGATGTTGTCGTTGGCCGGGTCGAGGTTGACGATGGAGATGGGACGGGTGAGGGCGGTGAAGAGCTGATGTTTGCCGTAGCAGTAGGTGGACTTGCCGCTGCCAGGCGAGCCGACTACGATTTCGCCAAAGGGCATTGAGGGGACTGTTCTGCAGGAAGATGAGGGTATGCGATGCGTGCCACTACGCCACACAACTAAAAGCTTGTAGTGTTCCAAACTCCGCCAGACTTTGAACGTTCGACCGCTGCCGGCGGTACTGGTGCATACCTCCACTAAAACTTGTTGTGTTGCTTTCATCGAAATTCCAACGATAAAGACCTGTCCGTCATTTAATTTATACTGGCGTAAGGATCTGAGGAGCGAGGTCGTCTATCGAGGCGGTCTAGAGAGACGAATATGAAAAGCTCTAAACCAAATGAATGATGTCTATTCAAAGCACAGCTCCAAAAAGACACAGGTAGTCGGGACATCATCCCAAAAAAAAGTCTCAAAACCTCAAACCGCAACACCACCCCTTCAAGACGCCGGCGGCCCACCGACCAAAATACTCTTCGTCCCCGGCGTATCACAGAACCCATTCTCCAACGTCGTCCCACAGCTCGAAAACTGATTACAACTGCCTCCACAGCTGCCTTTATCGCAGAACCCGACGTCCGCCGTCGCGGCGATACAGGACGTGCCCGAGGCGTCGAGACACGTGGGACCGCCGGTGTAGACTTGGCAGGTCCCGCCACAGACGGAGTCGACGCGTTTGGTGCAGTAGGTTACGGTCGTGTCGCGGCGCCCGAGGGTGTTGGGGACGCGTTTGGAGGGTGCGGTGCCGATGTAGGTGAGGTTGGCGGCTGTTGTTGAGAGCCAGTTGTCCATTTCGTCGTCGGTGAGGATTGTGACCTGAGTGTGGAGGTCAGTGATCAAAAGCCGTGTGTACTTGCGATGAAGGGAGAGTGGAGTCTTACCCCAGTAGGAGAAGAAGAACTACCAGCGCTCGGTCCAGCCGAATCCCTCTTCAAAACGTCCTGAAAAGACAATAATGTATGCCCGTGTTAGTACGAAAAAAAATGACAAGCTTGACAGTCTAAGAGGGATGCACTGACCATACCAGTGGGCCTCGCCTCGACGGTGGCTACCAGAGCCAGAGCAGCGAGAGCGATGAAGGAGAGAGTGAATTGCATGAAGATGAAAATAGAAGTAAGAAAGTGAAAAAGTTGATGAAGTTGATGCTTGTACTGCAGCCAGGTCGACCTCCCTTATATACCCAACGCAGACAGCACTGTGGCTAAGGCTTCTCGAGCTGCAACGCTCCCGAAGGCTGGCTCTGTCTGTTCAGGTTGAGTACGCATCTGAGTATGCCGTCAAAAGCTATGCGTGGAACTCCAGGGCAAAGATGTTGGAGATGAAACGAACGAGGCTATCTCATCTACTAACTGAGGGGACGTAGCGCATCAGAAATTTTGGTCTTTGTTGAGAGTTCGTCGTGTGCTTCGCAACGTTTGACCTGTGTTTATGGGGTTTGTTTACGGCCGAGGGGTGCCTATCTGCCATTATTTGGTCGGAAGATGTTGGATGGTCAAGGTACCGCCGAAGATCCAGGCTCTAGAAAAAGTGAACGGTACTCGCCCTCCACCGAAAGGGGTGCAAAATGATACTACAGGCACTGGCAAGAACGTTGAATCGTGCAACCGAGACAACCACGTAGCCCAAACACACCTGAAGTTTGAATCGTGAACCGTTCCGTCTGATACCAGTAGGCATTTTCTCAATAGACAGCGCTTCGAAGAAAACCTTGTGGTCTGAGAACTAAACCAGAATCACCGTAACGTAGAAAATCATCCAAGGGAAATCTACGTTCAAGACTCCAAGTGCCGACCGTTAACCAAACCTCATAGACTGCACAGGACGACCAGTATGCCGCTGTGTGAGTCTCTGATTCAGATCGAAGGTGCTGGAGAGTTTCAGAAAGACGGAGCAAGGCATGGACTGACAGATTCAAGATGGCAGATGTGATGGTGCCCCGAGGCTTCGCCGATTCGGTGGCGCCCAGTCAAACTCCGCTTTAAACCGACTGCCCGGCCCTATGCACGCCGTAAACGGTTTCTTTTGTCTTTTCTCCGTCATAATGCGTGTCACGGCTGGTGAACGCGTCCACTCCTCTGTCACATCGAATTCTACTTCAGTGATGTGCGACCGTTGGCTCGCTATGCACCTCGAAGCATTTGGACAACCCAAGGTCCACAGTATTTTTGTCTGACGCTCGTGCAGGAGATCATTGACGAACATCATCATCACAGTACTGGCAGGGGCCTTGTCCAGACCCAGACCTTTCAGCTATCATGGATTATTACCGGTTCCTGCTTTGGTTGACGGAAATATCTCTCTTGCTCTGCCACTAGGCGAAAATTCTCCGTGTATCTGCTGATAAATGATGTCCATACAAGCACTTTGACGACAGTTCCAGATGAGCCTACGCACGAGGCGCGTGCCTTGACAAATCCGATATACGTCGACTGGTCTGTAGTTCTTTGGCTAAAATGGTAGTGAATGTCTTTATTATCTGTACTCGCCATCACAGTAAGGTGGTTGGCACCCGTTATTCAAGAGAGCGAAGAAGCTGGACTGCCAAAGAATTCAGACTGGTCATGATCTAGGAGGGCCATCAACTTGTCTAGACTACGGAGAGTTTGGATGTTGCACTGGATCCAGCAATAAAGCGTCTTAGTCCGGAGTAGAGACCATGCTTCATATTTAGCTGTCCTTGGTCTTGATAAGCATCGTACCTTGCCACTAAATCGTAAGACTGCTGGGACGAAAGCTCTGTCTGTTACGTTTTTGTATTCGCCACAGAGCTCTCGTATTGATCTCCACAACTGTGCATGTACTTATCATCGTCTTTGGTGCTGCATTTCTTGCGTGGCGTCAGTATGTAGCCTGGGTGGCGCAGTTCAACGACCGAAAGGGGTGACGTCGTGGCACGCGTGAGTTTAGGGCAGGCCCAACGCGCGACACGTCGGCATCATACAGTACTATCCATCCCTAGCCTTCATTTAGAACCTAGACCCCTACCTTTTTACCTTTCCCTTACGCTCCGACGACCATGAAACTCAAGGAGATTCATAGAACATCGACGTTCGCATGGTCACCACTACCGTCCATCCCGTTGCTGGCCACGGGGACCGTCGCAGGCGCCCTCGACGAATCATTCTCCAATGAGAGTCAACTCGAGATCTGGGCGCCCGACTTTTTGAACAAGCAGGAGTATGACTTGGGTGGAGAGGGTCAGCCAGGACCCAGGGGCGTGATCAGGGATACTGCTAGGTGCGTTCGTTCATACGCCTCAATCTGAGCCGGAGATTGAAGGAGAATGTAGGTTCAACCGTATTGCGTGGGGGTATGTAGAGGGAAACCGCCCGCAGGGTATCATTGCTGCTGGTATGGAGAACGGAGAGCTGGGTATCTGGGATCCAGAGAAGATTGTTGCGCAGGCCGAGTGAGTGTTCTTAAACCTCGATGTAATCTGTGTTTGTATGTTCAACGCGTCTTAGTCCTTCCGAGGCTCTCATTCTCAAAAACAATACCCATACCGGGCCCATTCGTGGCTTGGACTTCAACCCTATTCAAACAAGCTTGTTCTCTTCCGGCGGTCCTAATGGCGAGGTATGTGCCCTGTTATGATCTCAGTCGCTGGGTATACCTCGGAGTTCCGAACTATTGCGGTCAATCATTGCTGGCGATGTGAACGTGAAGTAGGCAATGGCATACATAGGCTTCTCTAGTCCTTCCTGCTGTGCTGCTTCTTGCTGCGCGAGTGGAAGGTAAAGTGGTGGCGTCGTGGGCTACTAGTACGTTTCCCGTGGGTTTGGTTCAGTTTGTTATCTGGACAGCAGTGCACCTCACTCTAGCTCCCAAGATGCTTAATGTGACCCAATCAATGCTCCCATGCAATGTGCCGTGCACCTTGTATGTCCGGAAGAACGGTCTTCCCCAAGGGAGCATCACAATTTGGTGGCGTACAGCGCTTATCCCGACCACGTATCATGACCTTTATCACATCACCAGGCTCCCTTCTTATGCATCACCATAAAACCCCTATTTTCTTAGTTCTGACATCCCTCTGATTCTGTTCAGATATACATCTGGGACCTCAAAGACCCGAGTAAACCTTACTCGCCCGGAACACGTAGCTCAAAACTCGACGAAATCACCGCCCTTTCTTGGAACAACCAAGTCCCACACGTCCTCGCCACCTCAAGCAGTACCGGGTACACCGTGGTCTGGGATCTGAGAGGAAAGCGAGAAGTTGTGGCGCTTGCGTATGGTGGAGGAGCTGGTGCTCTCGCTGGTGCACGTCGTGGCATGAGCGACGTTGCGTGGCACCCAGATAACGTACGTTTCCCTCGTCGATGTTGGTAACGAATATTTTACTCAGTTTTCATTCAGGCTACTAAACTCGTCACTTCTTCCGAGGATGATGCCTCACCAGTCATCATGGTCTGGGACCTCCGCAACGCTCGTGCGCCAGAGAAGGTACCTTCATTCCCTCCCTGCTCCAGCACCAGCACGGATTAACACATAAACCAGATCCTCACAGGCCACGAAAAAGGTGTCCTCTCCCTCTCCTGGTGTAAACAGGACGCCGACCTCCTCCTCTCCTCCGGCAAAGACAATCGCGCTCTCTGCTGGAACCCTCAAACCTCCGAAATCATCGGCGAACTCCCCTCCGCAGACAACTGGGCCTTCCAAGTCCAATGGTGCCCCCGCAACCCCGATCTCCTCGCCACGGCATTCTTCGACGGGACCATCGGCGTACACTCCGTACAGACGACAAACGAGGCTGCACAGGGCGGCGATATTCCGCTTACGACGCCGAAGCCGGATGGAGCGGACGTGTTCGACGTTCCTGGGTTCGCGAGGACGAATCAGGCGACGATTTCGTTGAAGCAGCCGCCGAAGTGGTTGAGGAGGCCGATCTCGAGCTCGTTCGGGTATGGTGGACAGTTGGTGTCGGTGTCGAATCTGCCCTCCGCACAGGGTCGTCATCAGAGCGGAGTCGTACATCTCAGGAAGGTCATCACGGAGGAGAGCATCGTCGCTCGTGCGCGGAAGCTACAGGAGGCTGTGATGGCGGGAGACCTGTCTGGATTGGCGAAGGAGAGGAGCGGAGAGAACGAGGCGGATGAGAGTTCGGCGACTTGGAAGGCTCTGTTGAGTCTGTTCAAGGCGGATTCGAGGGACGAGCTCGTCACGCTGTTGGGATTCTCGAAGGCCGAGATCGCTACGAAGGTCGCGGAGGCGGTCGCGAAGCTGAAGACAAAGGTCGAAGATGTGACCACTCCTCCGCCTAGGTCCCCCGCAGAACAAGACGTCACAGAAACGAAGCCACACGAACCTGTCGTTTCCTTCGTCGAGCCTGAACGGAGTCCTTCCCCTCCCGTTGAAGACCCGATGGCCCAGGCGACTGAGAACACGCCGTCGGAAGTCAGTGCGGGTGGCGCGTCGGACGTGACGAATGTTCCTTCTCTCGCCGGCGAGTCGACAACCACCGCGCCTAGTCTGTTCGGCGACGATAATGCTGCAGGGACGCCACAGATGGACGCTGCGGCCGACTTTTTCAGCACGATGGGCATTTCACAGACGAATAATACCGCGGCGGGCGATTCGGTGCAGGTTCCCCATACGAACTACGGATTAGACTCGTCGGTCGCAGCTACTATCGGTTCTGGGCCATCGTCTGTCGCTTCCGAGACGTTGAAGAGCAACACTTTCACGATCTACCCTCCAGACGAGTCAGAGACGGACAGGCTCGTCACGAAGGCGCTCGTCGTCGGCGACTTTGACTCCGCCGTGTCGCTGTGCCTTTCGACAGACCGCTATGCCGATGCGATCTTGCTGGCCGTCAAGGGTGGCCCGGCACTGCTCGCGAAGACGCAGAAGGCGTATTTCGAGAAGAGGACGGCGGAGTTGCCGTATTTGAGGCTGTTCCAGTCGATCGTGACGAACGACCTGGACGATATCGTGCAGAACGCGGATCTGCAGGAGTGGCAAGAGATCTTCGTAGTGCTGTGTACGTTCGCTAACACGGAGGAATTCCCGAACCTGGCGGAACAGCTTGGGTCCAGGTTGGAGTTCCAGGGTACGATTGCGAAGTCGAAGTCGAGCTCTCCGGAGGCAGCGAGAGTGCTGAGGAAGAATGCGACGTTGACCTACCTTGCGGCGGGCAAGCTTGAGAGGCTCGTCAATATCTGGATCGAGGAGCTCGTGGAGGAGGAGAAGAGGATCTTGGCGAACGAGGATGAGAAGGGTGTTTCGAGGTATACGGCGCATGCGCATGCGCTCCAGTCGTTCATCGAGAAGGTCATGATCTTCCGAGCTGCGACGAGCTACGCCGATGCCGATCTCGCATTTGATAAACCATCCGCAGAGGGAGAGAATGTCGCCAAGGTTTACAAGCTCTCGAACCTGTACGAGCGCTTCTTCGAGTATGCGGACTTGCTGGCGACACAAGGACTCGTCAAGGATGCGGTGGCGTTCTTGAAGCTCACCCCAGCTGGGTATACTGGCACTCCAGGGTCGGGGATAGATGTGGCTGTTGGGAGGGAGAGGTTGCTTGTTGCGGGAGGTCAGGCTACTGCAACGCCTGGTGCTGGCCCGTCCAACATCGCTTCGACATCGCGCGTTCCGACACTTCCTTCGGTCCCTTCGGCTATGGCTTCCACCAATTATTCGTCATATGGGCAATATGCGGCGCCTCTCCAACAGCAGGCTCCTGTCGCGCCTGCATATGGCACATATGCTCCCGCGGCCACCGCCAATAACGCCTACGCCCCTGCGGTCTCAGCCACCAGCGCCCCTCCAGTCAACAACCCGTACGCACCATCCCAACCTGCGGTCAGCCAACAACCCTACCAGTCCTCTGCACCTTCGGCGTACGGCCCCTCCGGAGGGTGGAACCCTCAAATGAACAATAACTCCGTCGTCCCTCCACCTCCTCAGCCCATCACCGGCTCCACCCCTCCTGCTCCTGGACCTGCTCCCCCGCCCAAGCGTCAACAACAAAACGGTGGATGGAACGATGCTCCTTCGTTGCTCGATCGTAGGACACCGAGTACCTTGGGGGGCAACAACGCCAACAAGCCTTCAGCGATCACTTCGCCATTCCCGAACGCTCCGTCGACTCCTGGAATCGGCGGTGGACCAACACAGTTCATGGGGATGCGTGGCCAGTCGCCGCAGACGGTTATGCCTCCTCCAAGGCCTGGGAGCGTGCAGAATAGGGCGCCTGTCGCGCCTCCGCCCCAGGGTCATAGGATGGGCATTCCGCATCCGGGACAGCAGCAAGGACCATATCCTCCACAGGCTCGCCCGCCTTCAGGCCCTCCTATGAATATGATGTCACCACCTGGCCAGCAGATGTCTTCTCCCCCTCAAGGGCAATACGCTCCTCCCCCAACTCAACGTGGACATGTCCCTCCACAGATGCAACAACAAGCTTCGATGTCGCCTCCTCCACCAGGTCCTTACGGTCCTCCTCCCGGCGTCCGTGCTACACCACCACCTGGCGCTCCCATGGGTCTTGGAATGAACATGCCGCCTCCTGGACCTGGTGGACCTCAGCAATTCGGTCGTCCGGGACCGCCTCCACAGCAGCAGCAACAACATCCAGGAATGGGAGGACAACAGCTACCGCCTCCGCCACAGGGTGGGTTGAGGCCGGGTCCTCCGGGGGGTGTTGGGCCGCCGGTGCAGTCGAGGACGCCGGGTGGGGGGCCGTCGAGCGTGCCTCCGCCAAGGGGTCCTCCGCCGCCCAAGTATCGTGAGTGCCGTCTTCATGAACTAGTGTTGGAGGGCGAAGTGAGCTGAGTTCGTGGAATTTTGGTAGCTGTGGGTGACAGGAGCCATATACCGGAGAGGTTGCAGCCTGCGTACGCTATCATCTCGGGACAGTTAGCGATTTTGAAGCAGACTACGCCTGTACGTCCTCTCTGTCACTTGATCCTTTCGTTCTGCTTCGAAGTCCAGGCCGCTCACTTTTTGTCTTCAGCCACAGCAAAAGCGGCTCGTGGATGACCTCGAGAGGCGAATCAATCCGTTGTTCGACGCACTCAACTGCGAGACGCTCTCCGCACCGACGGTGGAACAGCTGCTTGTACTTACCAAAGGTGCGTTTTCCTCCTCTTCGTACTCTCCCTTCTCTATTTTGTTCTCGTTTAACCATACTGATGGATGTGTAATGTGTAGCGATGGAGAACCACGACCGGGACGCGGCGCTGCAGTTGCATGTGAACATGCTGACGTCGACGAGCGGGGATGACATTGCGCTTTGGATGTCGGGGATCAAACAGCTGATCATGCGGTTGTAAGTCTTGGGTGAGAAGCGACACGGTGAAAACGGCCAGGAACAGATTGTATTTCCCTGGTCGAGTGGCTGGATGGAATGGAGGGGATGAGATTGTCGGGGTTTATGTATGGTGGGGGGTGGGTACAAAAGTGGAAGGTGAGGATGAACGCGATGATGGGATGGATGTGGAAATGGATTTCTGTTCTGATGTGTTCAAGATGGTTCTGTGTGTCGTGTTGAAATATGGACATTCCGTTTATTCGCCTTTGCCGGAGTCGCCACGGTATAGCGGTACCCTTGAGAAGGAGGTGTACACCAAAAGTTGTGACTATTGATTTCGACAGGTAAAAATTGACTGTGGTTGATACCAGATTGGGAGGTAGGGCTCTGGCAATTCCGGCTACATGATTGCGTGACAGCGGCGCATCAATTGTGTGCTATGCTTGTCGGTAAATATCCTGGAAGCCAGGCCAGCTTGAAATCTGAAGGAGGCAATGTGCGCAAAGAACATAAAAGCGGGAAAGAGCAAAAACAAGGAGATCAAAAAACGAGAATGAAAATCGATGGACACATCCGGAATTGAACCGGACACCTCTCGCATGCTAAGCGAGCGTGATAACCAACTACACCATGTGCCCTGTAAAAACGGGCGACACATTTATTATTATCAATTTTCACCGATTGTGTCTATTCCCCCGAAACGGCGACTCCTGTGTGATCCTTGCGCCAGCCGGTTGAAGGATTGGCTACTCGGCTCTGGTAGGAGACTAGCGACTCCTGTCAAGACCAAGTCAAGTCCACCGTTTGCAGTTGTCCGGTGGCGAGAATTGCAGCACCAGATGGACCAAAAACGCCAAAATAAACGAGAAAGATATCAAGGTTCTTTTGAGAACTTACGCCTCCGTTTTGGGTCGGATCGTTCTTCAATCGTTAGGCTGAATTCCCTTCGCAGCCCAGTCACGACTTTTAGAGGGGTCAGGGTAGACTCTTCAGTGGTACCTAATATGATCCATGCAGCTTTTTACTACGCAGCGGCATTCAAGGTTAGTAGTCAACGCCTCGATTTTAAGAAAAGTAAGAATAGACACCAGACACCTACTGAGCCATCATAGTCGCACGGCAATTCGACTCTGAAAGAGTTCTAAGCAATGAGTTGAGGGCGATAGATATGAAACGTACATGACGGACATGAATACAAATACAGATTGGAGGTAACCACAACGCAACCCTCTAGAGTACCCAAAGTCCACGAAAAGAAAGAGGCAGAGACGATCGGGCCGCACACATCTGGTCAATCCTCGTCAGGCGTACCCTGGCCTTCGCCGGCTGTACTGCTCTCTCCACCCTTGGCGTTATTGGCGGTAGTTGCTTGATGCTGTGAGCGAATGGTCAGTAGCGAGTTCCAATAATCAGCAGACAATGGATCGCAAACAACGAGAACTAGGAACACCAAGTTCGCACGACCAACAGAGGGAGCAAAGAAGTACCCACCTGCCTCAACTTCGCCAAATGAATCTTCAACGTCTCCACGTAATTCTCAAATCCCAATGAGACCATAGCATAAAGGATATCCTCTCCTCCAATTGTCTTCCGCTTCTCCAACTGACATTTCTCCGCCGCCTCGGAGGTGATGAAGCTGATGAACTCAGAGACGCATTCTTGGACCGTCTCCTTCGCGTCTTTCGCGATTTTGGCGGTCGGTGGGACCGCGTTTTTCATTATGCGCGAGACATTGGCTATCTGACATATCACATCGTACAGATTATACGCACCAAACACGAGATGAAGAGCAAAGTTGTTAAACAAAGACGCGTCGAAATAGAGCGACAAGGTTAGTGGTGTAGATGAGAGAAGACCCAGTGGGACGACACACTGGTAGGTAACGATCCTGTTCGCGATATTCGCCGACTTCTTGTTCTGTGATCGGTGCTGGCTCCGGAGCTTCTTGTTGCGAGTCTGCAGCAGCGCCGGACGTGTCCGCCGCTGGTTGAGGCGCTAGGGGCGCGATGGGGGTAGGAAATTCGGACATTTCGTCGAGTCTCTAGGCGATGCGTGTCCAAGATATATGGTACAGAACACTTCAGACTAGCTTTATTGAGAAGAAGAGGCAAAGAGGGCCGTTGAAGCAAAGATGTGAAAGTTGTAGGCTTTATATTCTGTTACAAGCGTGGGTGTTTGCGATCAGGAGAAGAACGCAACCAAGTCGTGCAACTTTTGACGAACGGACTCCGTCCGGGCTCTGTACGGCAGTGTACGGCCCGGTCTGTATCGTATCTTGTCTACGCCACCCGACTTTGATACCGCAAGGTGCCTGGTGAACGCAAAAAAAACAAAAATAAGCAGCTGCCGCAAGCCTCTCAATCCCACACCACCATCTAGAGTTGCCTCGACTTCAACAAATCTGTTCTGTATGTCTCTCATCCGACTTTGATAACACTGATAGCTCGAAACTCTCAAGCTGACGGTGCCTCGCGTCCCAGACAATTGTGGCACCTGATTACAACAGGTCGCACAACACGACTTGCTCTTGACGGACTCACAGGCTGGAAGGAGCACTCTCCCTAAAGCTCACGATGGCTGACATGGGTACGTGGTTTCTCTTGCGCAATGCATCTTCCTGTGACCTGACAATCAGCAATCCTCACACACCATCATACCATGCTCATCGGCACCAGCATCCCCTAGCACCGATACAGAGAACAACGACGGCAACACAGCGTCCACTCCCTCTTATCTCATTCGAACCTCCATGCTCCCACCCAATTCCGGATCGCTTTTCTCTCACCCTCTCAACCCAGTAGTGTATCCAGGACCGTCATCCAACTCCAACTCTCAGAACGGCCCTATCATCCAACGTAATCAGTTCTCGCTCGGAGCCGAGACGAACCTCATTCGCACGGGTGTACATCTTTGTGCGTTGGCTCCTGGGAAGGAGAGTACGGTGTTGCACTGGCACGTTGCGGAAGATGAGTGGATCTGGGTGTTGAGTTGTGGGGAGGGTGCGAGGTTGGTCACGTACGACGAGGCGGTGGGGGAAGAACAGAGCATGGAGTTGAAGGAAGGGGACTTTTTAGGGTTCGCAGCTGGGTTGAGGGTGGCGAGGAAGTTGGTGAACGATATGGATGCGAAGGAAGAATTGAGATATCTTGTAGGTGGAAATAGTGCGGAGATGGATGTGGTACATTATCCGACAATTGGAGGTGGTGTCGGTGGAGGGAGAAGGGCGGTGATCGAGAGAACGGGGAATGGCAAGGATTGGTGGGTCGATGAGGACAAAATCGATAAAAATCTCAGTTAAGATTGAAAAGCCGTAATAGTCAATCCTCCCCTTTGATTGTATCCGGATCATCATGTACACGGTTTTGAGACTCGTCATCTGAGTCGTGTATGAAAAATCCGGGCCCATAGTCAAGGAAGAGCTCTTCGTTTGATTCAATATATCTCGCTGCTCAGAATATAGCATTATTCAGGGTGAGATCTCAACCAGCCAAACCAGCAGGGACGTACCTGCGAAGATACCAATCCTATGCTCCCCGTTCACGAGGAGTACTATCGAACCAACACATCAGCGTAAGAGCAAGAGCGAGCATGTGAGGGGCTCAATGGGGCCCCGTAGTCTCATTAATCTATTAAATCAGACGCACCTTCAGCATTACAATTGGCCAGCCTGCTGGGGGCATGGTTTATGAAGCGTGCTTCGTTCCCGACACGGCTGGCGTCGATGTTGAGGGTCTCATTTAGCCGGTAGAAATAATTCCGGCCGAGGTATTTGGCTACATCTCTTTTCGGAAAGGGACGGTCAGTATAGCACGCATGAAGACGGTATAGAAAGTTTGAGTTCGTACTGCCGAGACTCCGCTGTTTCATCGTAGACCAACTCTCCCACATATTCTGCATATCAGTGCGCCAACAAGGACATTAATGGTTGATGCGAAAACAGGAAGGGCGGAAGGAGGCGGGTTTGACTGACCCATGATGTAGTCTCCTTCTAAGGCAGTCTCGTCTGCGGCAAGAAACAGACCGAGACCGTACGTCGCGCTACGCAGCTCTGTGCGTTTGATATGATTCTGCTGGATAGCGATGTTCTTGCATTCGTCATCGAACAAATCTTGGAGAGGTATTCAGTCTTTATGCCTTCATGATGGGTATCTATGGAGCAGGGAGGACATACAACTGATCATGGACGTTATCAGTCTCGTTGCGCAGGATAACATGAGCTGGAAAAGTGGACTTACTTGGCTCCACAACGAGTACATAACTCAGGGTCACACTCCCGGTGAGCTCTCCAACACGGACAATCATTCGTCCGACAGAGGTTTCGCCTCTTGCTTTTCGAGCACGTACAGCCTCGCCATCGACGTTTGCCTAACGTACATCGGACCAGATTCGTCAGCCAGGGGTTGAGAGCCGTATCCTCAGTACGCTCATCAGATGAGTACTCGGTACGTACACCTTTTTGAACAATGACAGTTACGTCCACAGTGAGCATCGTTTTTGTAGCATTCGCAGTTGGACTCCATGCAATCGCCCTCGTGCGTGCATGGGTCATTTCTGGAGGCCAAGTAGGCGCGAGAAGGATCAGTGGAAATGAAAATGACGATGAACGTGCAGAGCAAGCAAAAGAAACACACGGTGTCCACTCCTCGGGTGGCTCAGTGTCCTCTACAGCAAGACGGTTCGCTTCAGCATATGCGCGCAAGATCGAATGACAGTGGTGACATACTGAACCTGGGAGTTTGTTTGCTTTGCCCCTTCTTTTTTGCCTTTTCGTCCACTTTGGAAAGAAATAGTGGGCGTAGGGCAAAGCACTGAGAACACAGGTATGAGTATTAGATGGCACATCTGTCATTTCGAACATAGAATAGTAAGTAATACCTACCTCAGCGCACGGCTTCCGTATCATCACAGCCAAATCACAAGGAAGAGCGTCTGCGTCCATTCCAAGGACAACGCGCAACTCATCCGTGGCGGTCTCATCCCATGCTATGCCATCCTACGCCGCGAGGAGGGAATCAGTTATGAAGATTTGAACTCAGTAGAGGTTCACGGAAAGTGAAGAAGTGAGGGCATAAAACTTACAGCGTCTAGGAGAGGATTCGAAGAGAAGCATGTACGCTTGCAAGACTGCTTCTTCCCGCCGTGCGATTCCATCCGATTGAGAAGGTCATTCTGGGAAAGTTTGTTTGAATACTGCAGTGGAGGTACAACATTTCTTGTCTCTTTGGGAGATAAGTAGCAGCACACCGAGTGATCAGTAAATGGGACTATGGGGCCTCGTAAAACGATGGGAAACAAGAGATTTACGATGTGCGGGACAAACCATATCGATACAGTTAGGATTAGGACAGAAGTATTTGAAGCTGCTCCTGATCTGCCCCATCATGTCATACTCGTCGGGTACCATGGGCGCGATTACTGCATCAACCAGGGCATTGAGTTTATTGGGTGTGAATGTGGGCCACGGAAGAAAGTCTCTGTTCAAACAAGAACCTCAGCATACCAACTTGACGCACAAGGGAGCGTATGAACCTCTTGGTAGCGCGGTCGATGATACCAGAATATCCATCGATTTCAGAGCAAAGGTTGTACCAGTTTGAGTCAGAAAGGACGCCGGATTCATCGACTTTGTATGGTGTGATGCCGTACTCGAACATCAATCGGTATACCGTTTCCAGGAAGACGATATCGACTAGTAGGATGAGGCGGGTCGGGAGGTAAGCTAGTAAAACCGAATAATATCACTGGAAGAAATAACAAACTATCAGGGTCAGGCATCTGCGTCTGCCACCTTAGATACATATGTCGCTCCATGTGTTTTCTGTAGGGGAACCGACGGGTCTGGGCTGCATATCCAAAGAAGCCATACTAAAAAGAGTGCGACAAGGATGAACTTAGTAAACACTTACTGTTAGGGGATTGTTCGCTCGGTTCTGCAGAATATTCGTCGATCTCATCGGCGAACGGTATGAAGGGAAGATCGTCCGAATCGTCGCCGGTGAATATGCTACGGTTAACTGATGCGTAGGTCTCGAAGGCGGGATCATCATCATCACCATCAAATAGCTGTCCTGCAGTCTCATTCGTCGCCAGTGTTGTAGAGAACGTAGCCAAATCACGGCTATCCAGTCCATCCTGAGTTTCATTGACGGTATAGACTTGAAAAGTACGGGTTCCATTTACTCGAGCGCTCGGGGAAAAGCAGTCCATGTCCGAATCATCCAAAAGCGGTGACGAAGATTGTGGAGAACTGTCCGATTCAGGGGCATCCAACGATGTCTCCTGCCCGAATGATAAATTATTGACACCTAGGTCGACCAGTTGGTCCTCATTCCAACCTTCTCTCCAGGAATCGAACTCGTCCCAGACTGCGTTGAAGACTGAGAGGACAAGGCTCTTGTCCTCTTCGAGCATATCTGTAACGCGAGCATTTAAAGGATCGACAGTGTCTAGAAATGGATCATCATCTAAGAAGTCGGGATGAGAAAGACCAGTTTCGCTCTGATCTTCAATATCGGACGCGGGGTCGACTTCATTGTGGGCACGTTTGCGGTTCATGCTGCTAGACGAAGTCTTCAATCATGCAATTGAATAGCTAACGGGAAAACTGCTCACCGCACGGGACGGGATTGTCTTGGAATCGATAGATCGCGCTGGTATAATCCAGGTTCGAAGTTCATCGCGTCCTGGTGGCCCAACAGAACGCCAACTCATCGGCCGCGCCACTGACTAATTCTGTCGCGTTTTGAAACTCCGCTCAAACTCCCTCTTGCTCTCGACGTCGAGCACGACGACGACGAAGCAGACGCCGACGACACTCTCTACCTCTTACTATCATGTCTGGTCGACCAGCTGGAAAGCCTGACTTGTCCGGATACAATTATGGCGCCATTTCCTCCCTTGTCTTAACAGCAGATCGCTCTGCTCTTCCGCGACGCGACAAGGAACCGGATGGCGCGCCTACCTCTCTCGTCGGCCGTATCGCCCCAGGGGAGATGGGCTCTAGAGTACAGAGAGCAGCTCCGAAGGATATGGATAAGAAGAAGAAGAAGGCTGCTGAACAGGACCCTTCAGAACGACAGCTCGCGAAGCGAAAGGCTGAGGCGGCTGGCTTTGGGTACACGGACATCATCGAGGCCACACAGGACGTCGAGGGGCTGACATATCGGCCACGGACGGCGGAGACGCGCGAAGTCTATGAGCTCATCCTCTCCAGCGTACACCAGGCGCTCGGGGACCAGGCTCAGGACATCGTTCGCAGTGCGGCAGACGCAGTTCTCGAGACGCTGAAGAACGACAGCATGAAGGATTTTGACAAAAAGAAGGAGGTCGAGGAGATTACCGGCTCCATCTCCAACGAAGCGTTTTCTCAGCTCGTCAACCTCTCCAAAAAGATCACCGACTACGGCGCGGAAGATGAGGCCATGGTGGACCCAGATATGGAGAGGAAGGACGCGGAGATCGACGAGGAGATGGGTGTGGCAGTCGTGTTTGACGAGGAAGAGCAGGAGAGTGAGGAGGAGGAAGGGTTTGAGGTTAGGGAAGAGTCGGACGAGGATGAAGAGAACGAGGGTGCAGAACGGGAGGATGGCACACCCGATGATGCGGACGCTGGTGGGGAGGAGATGGTCATCGGGGGTGGTTCGTCCTCACGGACGAAGGCGAAAGGCAAGGCCGACAAGGATATCGTTTCTCCACACGCTATCGACGGTTTCTGGGTTCAACGTCAGGTCGCAGAAGTCTATCCCGACCCCGTTACCGCTGCAGACAAGACCGCCTCCGTCCTCTCGATTCTCGGATCCGAGTCGAACCTCCGCGACTGCGAGAACCAGCTCATGGAGCTCTTCGACTACCAAAGCTTCGACGTTATTACCAAATTCCTCAAGAACCGCGAGGTCGTTGTCTGGTGTACGAAGCTTGCTCGTAGCGACGCTGACGAACGCGTTAACGTCGAAGTGGCTATGCGGGAGAAGGGCTTGGGATGGATTTTGCGCGACCTCGCTGGTGACAGGCAGGCGAAGGCTCGTGCTGCTGGCGGAGATGAGATGGACGTCGACGAGGACGTGAAGCCTGCAACGGTGCCCAAGACGGCCACGCTCGCGCCTGGCTCTACCGTGCAGCCGAAGAAGACCGTGGATCTGGAGAGCATGGCGTTCAGTCAGGGTGGGCATCTAATGTCGAACAAGAAGTGCAAGCTTCCGGACGGGTCGTTCAAGCGGGCAAAGAAGGGCTACGAAGAGATTCACGTCCCAGCGCCGAAGAGTAAACCGACGGCGGATAGTACCTTGGTGCCCATCTCCGACCTACCCCTATGGGCTCGCGACGCTTTCCCGAAGATGCAGTCTCTGAATCGCGTTCAGAGCAAGCTTTACCCCGTCGCGTTTGGTACCGACGAACCCATCTTGCTTTGTGCGCCCACGGGTGCTGGTAAGGTGAGTTGTGTTCTGTTCAACTTTCCTGATTCTATACTAAAGTCTTTTTTCTAGACCAACGTGGCCATGTTGACCATTTTGAATGAGCTCGCGAAGTACCGTGACGAGACTACTGGCGCGTTCGACCTGGACGCATTCAAGGTCGTTTACGTCGCACCGATGAAGGCTCTCGTTCAAGAGATGGTCGGGAACTTCAACTCGCGTCTCAACGTCTTCGGCATCAAGGTCGGCGAATTGACCGGAGACTCGCAAATGACCAAACAGCAGATCGCAGAGACCCAGATCATCGTCACGACACCGGAGAAGTGGGACGTTATCACTCGCAAGAGCTCCGACACGAGCTACACGAACCTCGTACGCCTCCTTATCATCGATGAGATTCATCTTCTCCACGACGAGCGTGGACCTGTCCTGGAGAGTATCATCGCGAGGACCATTCGGCGAATGGAACAAACCAACGATTACGTTCGCCTGGTCGGCCTCTCTGCCACACTTCCGAACTACGAGGATGTCGCCACCTTCCTTCGTGTCGACGAGAAGAAGGGTCTTTTCTACTTCGACTCCACCTACCGTCCTTGCGCCCTCCAACAACAGTTCATCGGTGTCACTGAGAAGAAGGCCATCAAGCGGTACCAGGTCATGAATGAGGTCTGCTACGAGAAGGTCCTTGACCAGGCGGGTAAGAACCAAACCCTTGTTTTCGTCCACTCGCGGAAGGAGACGGCGAAGACGGCGAAATTCATCCGCGACATGGCCATAGAGAAGGAGACCATCACCCAGTTCGTCAAGCCCGACTCCGCCGTTCGTGAGATCTTGACCGAGGAGGCGAGCAACGTCAAGGACCCCAACCTGAAGGATCTGCTCCCCTTCGGATTCGGTATTCACCATGCTGGTATGTCGCGCGAAGATCGTGCGCTCGTTGAGGAATTGTTTGCGGATGGTTCAGTCCAGGTTCTCGTCTGTACGGCTACTCTTGCGTGGGGTGTCAATCTTCCAGCCCATACCGTCATCATTAAGGGCACGCAGATCTACAATCCGGAGAAAGGTCGTTGGGTGGAACTTTCGTCGCAGGATGTATTGCAGATGCTCGGGCGTGCAGGAAGGCCACAGTATGATACCTATGGTGAGGGCGTCATCATCACGAACCACTCCGAGCTGCAGTATTATCTCAGCTTGATGAACCAGCAATTGCCGATCGAAAGTCAGTTCGTGTCGAAGTTAGCGGATAACTTGAATGCGGAGATTGTTCTTGGGACCATTCGTAACCGTGATGAGGCTGTGCAGTGGCTCGGATACACTTACCTGTAAGTCTTTCCTCTCGTTGCCTCCGGAAACTTTTGGTGCTCACGACATTGACCTGTTTCTAGATATGTGCGGATGCTCAAGTCGCCCGCACTGTATAGCGTCGGTGTCGACTATCAAGAAGACGACCTAGGCCTCGTTCAGAAGCGGGCCGATATCGTCCACACCGCCGCCGCTCTCCTCGAGAAGTGCAATCTGGTCAAATACGAGCGGGCTACCGGTCGATTCCAGAGCACCGAGCTCGGTCGTATCGCCTCGCACTACTACGTAACCTACAACTCCATGGCGACATACAATCAGCACCTAAGGCCGACGATGTCCATGCTCGAACTGTTCAGAGTTTTCGCCCTTTCGAACGAATTCAAACTGATCCCTGTTCGTCAAGAGGTACGAGTTTGTTTAGCTCTACTGTTCGACGGCTTTCTAATCTTCGTTTCTGTCTTCAGGAGAAGCTCGAGCTTGGGAAGCTTTTGGAGCGTGTTCCCATTCCTGTGAAGGAGGGCGTTGAGGAACCCCCCGCGAAAATCAATGTACTCCTTCAGGCCTACATCTCGCAGCTGAAGCTCGAGGGTTCGTCTTTCAGTGCCCACCCACTCCGCAGATACTTACTTCTCTTGAACAGGCTTTGCCCTTGTCGCCGACATGGTCTTCGTCCAGCAATCCGCAGGGCGGTGCGTCTCTCTTTTCTCATTCATCGTCCCAGAACAATACTTATCATGCCTTCAGTATTCTGCGTGCCATGTTCGAGATTTGCTTGAAGCGAGGCTGGGCTGTCCCCGCTCGGGCAGCATTGGACATGTGCAAGATGGTCGAGAAGCGAATGTACGTCCAGTATCAATCATTTCCTTAACACGGCGCTCATGACGTCGTCACAGGTGGAGTTCAATGACGCCTCTACGACAATTTAAGGGTGTACCATCTGAAATCATCCGGAAGGCTGAGGGCAAGCAATTCGTGAGTTGGTAGTTTGTCTTCCCCGTCGTTTGTGTTATTGACCGTCTCTCTTATCTAGCCTTGGTACCGCTATTTCGACCTTGTAAGCAACATATCGTCTATGCTCATGACCTTCACTAACGTTTTCTTTCCATAGAACCCTCCGGAAATCGGCGAGCTCATTGGTATCCCCAACGCCGGCAAGCTCGTCCATCGGCTGGTCCACAGCTTCCCGCAGCTTGTGTATGTCACATTCTCGCACGTTTCTCTTGCATTCACTAACATCTATCCTAGCCTTCAAGCCCAAGTTCAGCCCATCACACGCTCCCTTCTTCGTATCGACCTTTCTATCACTCCTGATTTCCGATGGGACGAGAAGATCCACGGTGGCGCGGAGAGCTTCCTCATCATGGTCGAAGACGTCGACGGTGAAATCATCCTGTTCCACGATTCTTTCGTTCTTCGCCAACGCTATGCCGAGGACGAGCACAACGTCACTCTCACGGTGCCCATGTTCGAGCCCGTGCCACCGAACTATTACATCTCAGTCATCTCCGATCGCTGGCTCCACGCAGAGACTCGTTTACCTATTTCCTTCAAGCATCTTATCCTGCCCGAGAAATTCCCTCAACCTACACCTCTTCTCGATTTACAGCCCCTTCCCCTTCCCGCCCTGCACAACAAGGAGTTCGAAGCCATCTACTCGTCGACGGTCGAGACCTTCAACAAGATTCAAACACAGGTCTTCCAGGCGCTGTATACCTCAGACGACAATGTCTTCATCGGCGCTCCCACCGGCAGCGGGAAGACAATTTGCGCTGAGTTTGCCCTCTTGAGGCTCTGGAGCAAGCCTGAACAGAAGCGCGCGGTTTGCATCGAGCCGTACCAGGAGATGGTCGACCAGCGTGTGGCGGAGTGGCAGAAGAAGTTCGGTGGACTCCAGGGAGGGAAGGAAGTTGTCGGTTTGACGGGCGAGACAAGCGGTGATCTGAGGTTGTTGGAGAAGGGCGACGTGATCGTTTGTACACCCTCTCAAGTAAGTTTCTCCATAGTCGTGCATGCTGTTCGGAACTGATCTTTTTGGCACACAGTGGGACGTGCTTTCGAGACGTTGGCGCCAGCGGAAGAATGTCCAGAACATAGGGCTCCTCATCGCTGACGAGATTCAACTTGTGGGTGGTGAGGTTGGGCCGACCTATGAGGTCATCATCTCGCGTACAAGATACGTCTCTGCTCAGACGGAGATCAAGACTCGGATTGTGGCATGTGGCGTCTCTTTGGCCAATGCTCGCGACCTCGGCGAGTGGATCGGAGCGCCTTCACACGCTATCTTCAACTTCCCTCCAAGGTGCGCTTTCACTTTCTAAGATATGCAATACGAACAATACGTTAACACTTGTTTGTAGTGCCCGACCCCTCGACATGGACATTCATCTCCAAAGCTTTACCATCCCTCATTTCCCCTCACTCATGATCGCCATGTCTAAGCCCGCCTACCTTGCCATCCTCGAATATGCTCCAACGAAACCCACGCTCATCTTCGTGCCTTCTCGCAAGCAGTGCAAGCTTACCGTGGACGACCTCCTCCTGCATTGCAGCGCCGATGATAAAGAAGACCTCTTCCTTAACATCGAGCTCGAACATCTGCAACCACATCTGGACCACGTCACGGACAGGGGCCTCGTAGACTGCTTGAAGCATGGCATCGGCTACTACCACGAGGCTCTCAGCAAGCAGGACAAGAAGATCGTGGAGCGATTATTCCAGTCTGGTGCTATTCAAGTCCTCGTCGCCTCGAAGGATACGGCTTGGAGCATTCCCGTGGCCAGCTATATGGTCATCATCATGGGCGTCCAGTTCTACGAGGGCAAGGAGCATCGTTACATCGACTACCCTGTCATGGATGTGCTTCAGATGATGGGCCGGGCCTGCCGTCCAAAGGAAGACGATAGGAGTCGTTGCGTGTTGATGTGCCAGCAGACGCGTAAGGACTTCTATAAGAAGTTCTTGGCCGAGGGTTTGCCCATCGAGTCTCATCTTCCTACGCATCTCCTACACGATTATTTCTTGGCCGAGATCGCTGTTCGTACCATCGAAAACAAGCAGGATGCTATGGTTCGTCTTCTCGCGTCACCTTACGAGTCTTCCCTCTGATCATCCTTTCTCTAGGATATCTTGACGTGGACGTACTTCTACCGCCGAATGACCCAAAACCCGAACTACTACAACCTTCACAACGTTAGCCACCAACATCTGTCTGATCACCTCTCGGAGCTCGTCGAGAATACCTTGAGCGATCTCGTCAACTCAAAATGTATCGCGATCGGTGCGTACCCTCCCTGATTTGTTTTAGCGCTTTCACTGACTTCAAGCACCAGAGGATGAAATGGATGTGTCACCACTGAACCTCGGTATGATCGCGGCGTACTACAACATCTCATGTACGTGTTCTCTTCCATTGTGTCGACTTCATCTATCTGATCCGTCTCTTTAGATGTCACCGTCGAGGTCTACACGCTTTCGCTGAAGGAGCGCACAAAACTGAAGGGCTTGCTGGAGGTAGTTTCGTCGTCTGCCGAATTCGAGTCAATACCTATACGCCGCCACGAAGACGCTCTGCTTCGTCGTATCTACGACCGTGTACCCGTCAAACTCGATCGTGCCGACTTTGAAGCACCACATTTCAAGACATTCCTTCTCCTTCAAGCCCACTTCTCTCGCCTTCAGCTTCCTCCAGACCTTTCCGCGGACCAGGCAATGGTCCTCGAGAAGGTCATGAACCTGCTCTCGGCCTGTGTCGACGTCATGTCATCGAACGCTTGGTTGAACGCCCTCGGAGCTATGGATTTGTCGCAGATGTGTGTGCAGGCGATGTGGGAGACGGACTCGCCGTTGAAGCAAATCCCTCACTTCGAAGCTGATGTCATTAAGCGGTGCAAGGAAGCGGGTGTTGAGTCGGTGTACGACGTTATGGAGATGGAGGATGGCCAGCGAAACTCGTTGTTGCAGATGGACGCACGCCAAATGTGAGCCGCTCTTCTTTTCTCATGAGCTTCTTGGAGCTCATCCTTTTGTCTCCAGGCGCGACGTGGCCGCTTTCGTCAACTCTTACCCCACCTTGGATGTCTCGCATGAGCTCGTCAAGGGCGAGTACACCGCTGGCGCTCCCATCGTCCTTCAGGTTGCTCTTAGCCGTGACGCGGACGAGGATGACGAGGACGCCGGTGATGCCACTGTCATTGCGCCGTATTTCCCCGGCAAAAAGCTCGCGAACTGGTGGGTTGTCATCGGCGAGCCGAGCACAAAACAACTCCACTCCATCAAGCGTGTTACGGTTGCGAAGAGCCTTTCGGTCAAACTAGAGTTCAACCTGCCCAAGGGCACGCACAACCTCAAGTTGTATGTCATTTGCGACTCGTATATCGGCGCCGACCACGACATCCCATTGGACGCTATTGAGGTTGCTGAGGGGGAGGACAGCGACAGCGATGATGATGATAGTGACGATGATGCGATGGAGGAGTAGATTTTGGACTGACGCTTGTCTGGATTGCTGCTTGTGGTGAGGCTGAGATGTATCCCTACTTGTTTTGATCCCTGCTTTGTTGAGATTGTACTATATGTTCTCCTTACCGTTATACTCAGCCAAAATGGGATAACTTATTCTGCTCTTGGACCCCTGATGAGTGCGTGAGGATACTGCCCCAGAGGGCTCCGGTGCCACACTTTCGCCACAATACATGTCTCGGAAGTTGCCGGATCGCTGCCAGCAGCAATATTCGCGAAACCAACTTTGCTTCGCTCACTCAAATATTGTCAGCTTATTGTGTCTCGATTGACTTGGCTGGACGCGTCAATTGTTCTACGGATACAAACGTCGAAAGACTTGCGATGTTTGATGCTTCTCACGCTGACGAAGCTGACAATTCCGATGGACCTTCACCCGGTACTGTTGTCCAAATGCGCACGTCTCTCGACAAGTTCAAGTTCTCACCCTCGGCGCCCAGTTCTCTACGCCGTTCAGCCCGTTTCACGGCCATAAAGCAAGAAGAACAGGAAGAAGAAGATCGCCTTCCAAGTGTTGCTTCATCCTCTTCCACTCACAAGACTTCTAAGAAACGGTCGGCTTCCGAGATCACGGACCTATGGACTGAAAGTACAAAAGACTCTCCGAATGACAGAAGGAAGCGAAGTAGATCACCAACCAAACTGAAGAAGGGATATGCACTGCCAGAAGTATATGCGCACTTAGGTTGTCTCACGGATCGCTTGAGGGAGGAGCTTGATGGTACGCAATATATCCTCATATCATGGCTAATTCGTGTTCATCGCCGTACAGTCATTTTCGTGGGTATCAAGTACGATCTAATTTTTCGAAAATAATCAAGGCTGGATGATTGATGTCTGACACAGTCCTGGCGTCGAATCGGCGAAGAAGGGCGCACATTTTGCACATCCGACGAACCATTTCTGGCGATGCCTCCACTTGGCTGGTATGTTACATCGTAACTTAATTCCCAAATACTCGCTCATATACCTTGCAGGTTTTACCGACCGTCGTGTTGCGCCTACAGAGGAGCACATCCTCCCAGAGCAATTCAACATAGGCCTTGTAAGACTCTCTTATTTGGACCAAATAGTCGATAACTGATGAGACATGCATAGACCGATCTTGTGGACCGGCCATCGTCAGAGGTTCGTTCACGAACTCAATATTACTCGTCATATCTTTCACGCTGACGAAAGTTCTCAAGGCCGCTGAGTTATCCAAAGCTGAAAAGATAGCCGCGGTTCCGAAACTCCTCGAAAAGTTCAGTCGCTGTCGCCCCCGATTTGTATGCTTCGTTGGCAAAGTCATCTGGGACGTAGTCGAACCTGTTCTCAAGAAAAACAAGTGCGCTATTCCTGAACCCGCTGTAAGCCTTCCGGCTCCAGGCGATGATAGCACGGGAGAAAGCGGGAAACCGAGCGGATCTGCATCTCCAATCAGTAAGAAGACTGGAAAGAATGGAAAGTCTACGAAGGAGAAGAAAAAGGGAACTGGCAAAAAGCCGCCCTTTCCGTACCATCTGCCATTGCCCTACAAGCTTGTCCACGATTATGCTCCAGACGTAAGTATCTCACAGCCGGTCGTGTCTCAGCTGCTCATCTATGCTTCTAGTCGGCCACGGTCAAGGAGACATTGTTCTTCGTCGTACCAAGCACCTCCGGCTTGGTCGCCGGGTATCAGGTATGGAAAGCATACGCTGATTTTGTTGTTCAACGTTTCATGGTGCCCCTTTCAGCTCAAAGACAAAGCTCGATTCTTTACGGCTCTCAAGGTTTGCCTCGAAGAAGAGAAGCTAGACGTCCTCGACAAGACTCAAACGGTCCCGGTCCGCATCGCTTTCTCTTGACCTTTCCCGCCGTCAACACCCAGGACGTATGTTGGCTTGGTTTTGTATGGTGAACTTCCCATTGCACTGTTTCCTCATCGGTCGGCGTACATGTCTTCTAGCGAGAATATACCCACATAAAGCCATTCCGCAAAAAAATTAGTTGGCCAAGGATCAAATACCGTGTCATTTCTGCTCGCTCTCAACTCGATGAGAATCCTCATTATTCGACGAGGGGCTACGTCCGTTCCCTCTGGTTGGTATTCACACAAATGGCGAGCAGTAGCGCCCAATGCGCGGTAGTCGTTGGGAACTCAAAACTTGTTTGCTTATTCTGACACGACGACTTCGGTCGGCATCCTTCAGGTGTCACGGTGTTCAGACATTCGACATAACACTTGATCTCGTCCTTGGTCAAATCGCCTGCATACTTGCTGCCGCCGCGCTTTTCTGTTTCTATCTCAGCAAACTCCTTGGTCCAGATTTGGGAACCCATCCTATCTCTAAACATGGGAAACCTTTGGTCTGTCGTCTCTCATATGTTTACGTCATCACCGAAATGGGCGACAATAGACATTCCCGATCTGTCTGGGAAGGTCATGATTGCAACAGGCACGTACCTATGTTACACCATTCTTGAATGTCTATCTTATGTCAACGGAGATCAGGTGGCAATTCGGGTGTCGGGAAAGAGATAATCAAGGTTTGTGGCTGAGGCTAGCTTGTTGGTGTCGTCTTTTCACATACCTATTATTTCGTCCTTATTCCAGGCCCTACTTGAGCATAACGCAAAGGTGTACATGGCCTCTAGAAGCCCTGACAGGGCTCAAGGTGCTATACAACAGTTGAGAGACGAGACTGGGAAGGAAGCCTTGTATCTTCACCTCGACCTGGCCGATCTGACCAGTGTTCGCAAGAGCGCTGAAGAATTCCTGTCGTGAGTGTATACCCCAAGTTATTTCATTGCTCAATGCTGACGCTCACAAAGTAAAGAGACAGAACTTCATGTTTTGTTCAATAACGCGTAAGGACGGTCGATTGCATGTCATCCGGTGAAGTGGCGGTGGTGACTTCTGGCGGCTTCGTAGCGCTGTGATGGCCTGTCCTGTCGATGAGCTCACGAAGCAAGGATATGATATGCAAATCGGATCCAATGTCCTAGGTGAATGATGCCCATTTTCAGCTTTGCCACTTCGATTTCGGCTGACGTTCGCAACAGGTCACTTTTTGTTCACGGAGCTTTTGATGCCAGCACTTTTGAGTGCAGTCTCATAAAGTCCAGACAAGAAAGCGCGCGTAGTCACGACATCATCATCGGGTGCCTATCTCTGTACACTCGATTGGGAGCTACTCAAAGAGAAAGATGGCCCGCACAGACGAAGCTTGTCGCCCATGTCGCTGTATTATTAAACCAAGCTTGTGAGTACGTGTTCTTTCTGCATATAGAGTATGCCATGACCAAGCTCTTACACCTTTAGGCGAACGTCATCGTTGCCCGTGAATTGGCGAGGCGGTATGGCGATAAGGGAATCGTCTCGATATCTGTGAATCCAGGTCTGTGGTTGAAATCTCCATCAGAGTATTTGTGCTTAATTCAAGAGCCACAGGCAATCTCAATACTAACCTTCAGAAATATCTCGTCGGTGTCCAAAAATGGATCATCGTGAGTGATGGCAATACAGCAGATATTCATGGCTTTACTGATGCATTTTCATGCAAGAACGCCTTTTGTATCCGGCTCATTATGGCGCTCTTACCCAGCTCTGTGCAGGTACTTCACCAGCTACAGTGGACTATAACGGAAAGGTAAGACGATGTAATCTGAAGACCGTTACGACTATTGACGATCAGAATCACCACTAGTTTTTGATTTCATGGGCTCGTCTCGGCGAGGCTCCTGCGGTAAGCGGTGATCCGCACTCCGGGAAGAAGCTTTGGGAGTGGCTGGACCAGCAGTGCAGCGGCTTCTACATAGGATGATGGTCAGCCTATCGATGCATCTAACCTGATATGACCTTCATGGAGATGTTTTGAACTTTCCTTCTCTTTATCCGACTTACGCTCCCGCGTTACACTGCTCCCATCGACATGACTGGGCAGTCTCGTGTAGCCGGTGAGTACCAACGGCCTTTTAAGGGAGTAGGGAATCTGATCCAGGTACAAGGCGTCAACTTCGTTGCAGCTTCGTATTATACCCGGTCCTTAGTCGGGTCTCACGCAAGTCGCATGCTTTTTGTGTTGTCCATACGACCTGTAACGCAGTGGAGCCAAACGTCCCGGCGTTCTGTTTTTCTCTCGATTGATAATCACTCGTTCTTGTCGACCCACGAAGAGCTTTAGTCCGCGAGCAGACTGGGCGTCTCGGGGTGTGAGACTCAGACGCATCGTGGAAGTGGACACCGTGCAAGTGTTTTAGTGTTCGATGAACGATCGCTTATGAACTTCTGATCCTAGACATCTTCCCGCCGTCGAGACCGGGTCGTGAGTACTGCGTTGCTGAACTCGCGCATCATACCGTAAAAAGCTGGCGTCATGCTTCAGTGCTTCTGTGTATCTATGTATCGGGCGCCTTGGGTGTACAGATCTTTTATCTTCGTCCTCTCATCTCCCCAAGGCGTGGGGAGTCTCGTTCCCGCCGAATTTCCATCATGCTCCTCAGCTCGTTCTCTTTCATTCTCTTATCCTTTCTCTCGACTCAAACCGTTGAGGCCTACACATGGGCGTTCGATAATCCTCCTAGTCAATGTGGCCCACTTTCCGTATCCATCACCGATGGGACCGGTGGAAATCCGCCCTTCGAGCTTGTGATCATTCCGTATGGTCCAACTCCACTATTCAGCGTTGAAGTCCGAACGGTCCAAACGATCACATTCAATACAAGTACGAACCTGAACTTCACTTTGAATTATCCAGCTGCATCACAGCTAGTTGCCATCGTAAGTCTTTTGCTTTCACTTCAGCAGAGCACCGGCATTGACTATGGGATGATAGATGAGCGACCAAAACGGGTTCGCAACAGGGGGAACGAGCGCAGTGTGGACTGTAGAGGCTCCTGCAGCAGGCAGTGCAGAATGCTTTGACCCGAGCCAAGAGGCCGCCCAGGCTTGGGAGTTCTTTTTCGACCCGGCAGACGGCTTTATTCGCAGTTGCGAGTCCTATCAAGTTGGATGGGTTGGGAGGAATTCGAATGTCACAGGGTTTGTTCATGTAGTTCCTAGCCGGCCCCCCTATGACTCTTGACCAATTTCTACCTTTGCAGGACTCCCTTTTTCTCTGGAGTTATACCCTCCGGCCAATCTTTCAGCATCAACTCGACGTTCTCCGGATCTGGATTCAGTTCGACGGGATTTACTTGGACCGTTCCCGTCAACGCGGGCACGGACCTCATACTTCTTTCGGGAGATGAACGCGCCATTGGGACCGGGGGCTATGTCGATTACAAGGTGCAGCCTCCCAGCAGCACTTCCATCACCACTTGTGTCACGTACATGCCCTCTGCGACATCGGGTATACCGGCTGGTGGGTATCCCAATGGTGCTTCTACTTCATCGACGTCCACAAACAAGTCAGTGTGCGACTACTCTCTGCGCATACCAAGGACTGACTCAGTGTTTGCAGCACGGTACATACGCAGAACGTCGGTGCTATTGCTGGTGTGTTTTGTTTGGAAATCATTTTCTAGGACATTCGCTGACAGGGCACACTTAGGGGGTATCGTTGGCGGTATTGCGGGACTGGTCTTGGTATCGGCTTCCCTTGCATTTATCTTGCGACGTCGACGGAGACGGCAGCCAGTTGATCTGGGTGACGAACAACCAGCCTTCGTCACGGGAGAGTTGTCAACCATCACTTCCCCGACGCCGTTTGACCCGCAGAGTCTTTATAGCACCTCGCATGGTACCGATTCCGAACACCCATATTCGTTGACTGAATCGTCTCTACCGTCACCACCATTCCAAAACTTTCGTCCGATGTCAGATTCATCTTCGGCCTCACACAAGCGCAAGATCCCTGTACCGCCTTCGAATACTTCACAAGTGACCTTCGTTCGACATGTGGACTCAGGGAGGGTAGAGATGTCGGAGGCAGAGACAGAGCCAGAAACGATCGAACTCCCGCCGTTGTATGACCATAGTTTCAGAGACAGAGGCGAAGATGAAAGCTCTAGTTCGTGATTTTGCCTAAATTATGTGGGATATAGTCTCTTTAATCCCCTGGATACCACTTCCTCTTACTTTTATGAAGCACTTTTACACTCCAGTGTGTCATAAGGCCCGGACTATCATCCCGTGTTACTCGCCGGGGCTATCGAGAACTATTCACAGGGATTCGGGCGGGGTTCTCCCGGTATTGGGCGTCAAAGCTCGATCGCCAGGAAGTTTGGCTGGGCCACATGCATCGTTTCAGAGAATGTCGCAAAACATTGCACTGCTATGGATTTTCAGCCCTTCTCAGCCCTGAATCTGTTCCCGAATCTTGCAATGCTTGCTAGACGACAATCCATTTAAGCATGAATATACTTCCATCCCCATTCCCGAATACTCAAAGACCCTAAAGGGGACTTTTTGAATACCCTCAATTGACGCCCACGCATTCTGCCTATAAATCGACCGAATGTCGTCGGCCAAGGTAAGATACATATCAACTTCCTGGTCAGTGCGTTCTGATCTTCCTGATCATCACGGTAGCATATGCTCTTGCTATGTTCCGCCTACTATCGATCTGCTTCTGATACTGATATTCCCTTTGTGAGGCTAGGTACCCGTGCGCCACCGAGGCTGACGCCCAGCTCTATGGGCGACAATGGATCCATGCCTTTTCCAGGAGGAGGGGTACTTCACAAGGAACTTCTGAACGTTTTGAACTATATTGCTGTCATGCTGTGGGAGCCGTGGTTTTGTGACGGGTTCCCATGAACTGTGGCCCTGTCCACGGGGGATGGGCGCGTTCCTTTTTCACAACTTCATAAAGCGCTTCAATGGCGCTTCCACTTAACTCGAGTTTTTCGCCCTCTTCACAAGAGGTTCTCCACTATGAGCTCGCCGTTCATCCGCCTCCTTGGATGTGTGGCTTATTTCATCTCACTCTCTCATGCTTACACTTGGACGTTCAATAATATCCCTAGTCAATGCAGTCAACTCTCGGCCTCGATCGAAGGGACGGGTGGCGAACCTCCTTATAATATCTTGATTATCCCCTACGGATCCAGCCCTCTGACGCCAATCGAGGTCCGAACGATCCAGACGATTGCATTCAATAGCAGCACAGACGTGGAATTCACTCTGAACTATCCAGCGGGTTCACAGTTTGTTGCTGTGGTCAGTCTCAGTCCTTTTCTTCATCAGATACGTATATAGTACTCATGTTTGCAAGCGCAGGTCAGCGACAAGAATGGGTTTGCGACAGGAGGGACGAGCACAGTGTGGACTGTGCAGGCATCCGACGCCGATCTGTGTTTTGATCCCTCGCAAAACATTCTTCCCCCTTGGCCGTACTTCTTCATGACTCCAAACCCCGGACTTTCGGCCCAGAGCTGTGAGACGTATCGGATCGATTGGACCACGGGCAACCCGAATATCACAGGGTACGCCCTTCAACCAACCGATATCTCGCATAAGTATGTGCTAGACTGACACTTCTCCATAGCACGCCAAACTTCGTCGGTGTCATTCCCAGCGGTGACTCCTTCAACATCACTTCCACACCGACGACCGATTCTGATGGAACGACTGGCTTCAACTGGACCGTACCGGTCAAGGCTGGGACTGACCTTCTCCTGGTCTCCGGCGATCAGCATGAAACTGGTGCTGGTGGTTACGTGGATTATAAAGTTGCCTCACCTTCCGATCCCACCAATACCGCATGCTTTTCGTTTATGCCCTCTGCGACAGCAGGGACTCCTGCAGGTGGTAATCTGCCTAAATCGTCGTCGACTTTGGCAACTAGCACTCCTGACAAGTGAGCACTTTTACCTTTTCTGTAGTGTGGCCCACGCTGATTGACCGCGGCCACCGATAATCAGCGGGAAACACGGGAAGAACGTGGGTGCCATTGCAGGTATGTTCCTTTGTATGCGCTGCAGTCCTACGATATTCATGCCAGATACTGCACGTTTTAGGCGGCGTCGTTGGTGGCCTCGTCGGATTAGCTGTGTTAGTGGGCATTACAATTTTCCTGCTATGTCGACAACAGAAGCGCGATCGGGTAGACATCGACGAAGGACCTCAAATATACCTTCCGCATGATGCCACATCCATCTCTACCACGCCAGTATGGGACGGTAACGCTCTATACTCCGCTTACGACTCGTCCACAGGCCGTCCATATTCGCATCCCACATCGTACGGCTCGCAGATAAACTCGATCTCAACATCACCGTTATCCCAGGAGTTTCGTCCAATCTCGACGGTGTCATCCACGGTGGCGTCTCAGGCTCTCAAGATGTCTGGGCAACCCGTGACGGGGACTCCGGTAAGTATAATTCGGCATGTTGATTCTGAGAGAGCGGAAGAGACAGAGGGAGATGAGAATGTCCAAACGGTTGAGTTGCCGCCTCTGTACGAAAATGCTTCTCATCGCAGCTAATGCCACGGAAATTTTCTGTCTCGATTCGTTCGTACCACATACTTACCACTTACACGCTTACTTCACCCGCTGCATCTTCTTCTTTTCGTACACACAGTACATGTCTTGAACGACCTCTGATGGTGTTTTCTTGCCCCCAAGAACTCGGACGTCTTGCACTTTATCTGTGTATTCGCAATGTATTCGATACCAATTTTTGTTGCTTGTAGAGGTGCTGTGACGTTACAAGCCTACAATTAAAAGCTTCCGTTGTTAGTTACCCTTGCCACAACGCCACGGTCGCCACCCTCTCGGGTTGTATTCTCGGCCATCAAACCATTTGTTAGCTCGAAATAGGATCAGCCCTTTTCCCTTACTACTACGACGTCGACTCGAACTCTGCTGAATATATGCTTACGTTGGAACAGATATCCTTTACAACTCTTCACGACCGAGTTCTCGCATGTTGTGCTGAATTGGGTCAAGTACTCTGGCCGTCGGCGTACCCCTTCCACTTCGTTCGTAGACGATAAGCTTCCTCGAGGAAGGGCGGTAAACGTGACGAAAGCAACATCCTCTTTTCCTCAACTTTTCGGCATTTCAATCTTACGCTCATGATAAGATACGACACGCCTCGACGGGCAGGCGCATTCCCAGGTCGTTGTTCTTCGCGGGCGTCCGTGTAACGATATCTACAGCGACAGCGCTGCTCACGGTGTCTTAGCGTTTAACGTTAACCTTCACACTCACCTGTACAGACTATCATCTCTGCTTGTTCTACTTGACGATTCCTATACTCACTCACGACGATGGACTCGACGCTGACTGCTTCTAGCTCTACTGCGACGTATGCTGCTGCATCACTCGTACTCGGTGTGGCGAGTGTGGCGGGATACCACTTTTACTCAAACAGGTACGTTCGCGTCTCGTTCGTCCTGGTCTTACACAAGGATCGACTTTTCCTGTTCATTTCTTACAGACGTCGTCTCCCAGATTATCCGAAACTGACTGGTGTACCGAATCCAAAGCCTCTACCCGACTTTGATATCACCACCGCAAAGCCTCGACCGTACAGACCCTTCAGATGGGATTACCATCAGACAATGTGTACGTTCCTTCTCCACCGCTCCTGTTTTTGTGAGCAGTTGTCAGTTCGCCTGTGTGACTGATCCTGGTCCATTGTACCAGCATTGAAGAAACTGGAACCCGATTTCTGGCTCGAGCTCGAATCGACCTACGTCGAACGTATAGCGCAACGCAAAGCTCTTTACGCCCAACACGGCAAAAGCGTCATCGACGTCCAACCGGGGACCTCATCCTCCGACAACGCACTGATGACCGAACGCGCCTGCGTCGAAATTCTGCACATGTCTATCTCCTTCCTCTGCGCTCGCTACCCGGACCACTTCACCTATTCTTCCTCGACGGGCGTACTGCACAACAAGATCTTCGACCGGAGGTTCGACGTGCCGTTCGTGGGCGATAAGTGGGGCGAGGGAGGCGTGAAGGCGTTGGAAGTGTTGTTGGAGAACGTGCCGGAGGATTTCTTGATCACGTTGCCGGATGAGAAGACCGGTTTTTATTTCTTGAGGGCGGGACTTTCGTGTTCGGCCATGGGGTGGAACTTGCATTTGAAGATCGGGAAGCCTCTGAACGAGATCCACACGCCCGTGCCGGACTACAAGGAGAAGATGGAGTTCTCTATGGATAGGTATTCGTGTTTCTCCTGTTGGGCGCGTATGACATGAACTGAACAACTTGCAGGTATTTCAGCAAAATGCCCCTCGACAAACCCATCCAACGCGGCTCCTGGGGCCTCGAAATCGGCCAACCCCTCTTCTGCCAACCAGATGACCCGCACATGGCCCTCCGCTCAACCCAATCCCCCACCCTAACGCCCTCCCAAATCCACCTCCGCGTAGACTGGCAGACCCTGCGTCGTCTCCCCGCCTCGCGCGCCATCGTCTTCAACTTCAAGGCCCTCTTTACCCCGATGTCCGAGTTCAGAGACGAGCCGTATATTCCCGCGTTATTGGTGAAGATTATGAAGGAGGGCAAGAAGAATATATTGGAGTATAAGGGGACGTGGCACGTGGAGCATGTGGCGGTGCCGGTACTAGAGGAATGGGCGAGGGAGCAGGAGGAGAAGGGACTGGTTGAGAAGGGGTGGAAGGTTAGGACTTTGGATAACGATCCGTATTTTCCGGGTTGGGAGCGGAAATGGAGAGTTTGAATGGGCTGCCATTATGTTTCGCGGATGGGGTGGAAGTACTTCAGTCATTGTGTCACTCTGATCAGATACATATGCATTCAGTATGGGGGCATTTTCTGTGGTGCGATGGAAAAAGCTTCCTGGGCCATTATGCCCTCGATGTATCTGCTCACTGGAATGAACTCCTCCATCGGGCGAAGTAAAACCAAAATCGTCGGTTCAAATGGGACATCTCCCTGGCGGGGAGTCGAACCCCGCTCTCGCGCGTACAAATATCATCTTGCAATCCGGCATGACAGGCGCGTGTACTAATCCGATATACTACCAGGGACTTTTTCTGTCAGCAACGCGCTTCATTAGATCGTCATTCTTGAGTGAGACAACAAGAAACCACCATAAAAAGTCCGCAGCCTGTCCAGTCTGCATCTGAGTGAAAGGATGATTCTGAAGACCGGATCGGAGGTTCAGACAACGTTCAGTATCAGGCTGAGGTATGTTATGATATGTTACGTGACTGTCAACGGTCGAGCGACGAGCCGAACGCGCTCAAATAATTACGACGAAAAAAACGAAACACAAAGAAAGAAAGGCAAACAAAGAACAAAAAAAAAAACAAAGAAAGAGAAGGAGGAGGGGGATGAGGAAGAGTGTGAAGAGGAAGATAGCCCAGAAACATACAATGACGAGGAACCTCCGACGATGCTCAATTGAAGAACGAAAACGAAGACGATGAACAAGAAGATCGAATCTGAATCAAGAGAAAGAATCACGAACTCGCCCCTAGTAGTTCGTGTGTGTATGCGTATGCACGCCACATCCCTCCCTCCCGCGCCCCACACTGTCTATCCAACATCCACTTCCGCGAAAACCATCACAACAACGAATCCAACTTACTCAACACCTCCAAGACCGCCGCGACAAGCTCACCCCCCAAATCTTCGTCCCCCCCACTCATCTCCTTCCTAACCTCCTGCATCAACCCCAACACCGCCTCCCTCCCATTCCCCACCCCGCCCATCCCGATCCTCGATCCATTCTCCGCCCTCCTTCTCGGCGTCGCCCCCGGCACCGCTCCCGCCCCCACTACACCGCCAGGACCAGGAGCCGACCCCGACCCTGAACCTGAGCCAGTCGCGCCAAACGGCCAAACCGCAAACTCCGCCAAAATATCATCGCACCTCGCAAACGCCGCCTCCCTCTCCTCATACCCCAACCTCCCAAACGCATTATCAAGCACCGAAGCCGCATAAGCCGCACAAACCAGACACACGCTGCGCATCGTACGCATCTGCACCTGCTCGTCGCGATCGAGCGCGGTGGCGGGGACGGTGGACGTCGTAGCGGTGAGGAGGGATACGACGCGCGTGACGAGGGCGTCTTTGGTGCGGACGTCGGCGACGGGGTGGGTGGCCATGTCGAAGAGGAGGAAGTTGCGCTTTTCGGTGCGGAGGACGCCTTTGTCGACGAGGCCTTTTGCGAGCCGTTCGCGGACTTGTTTGAGCTGGTAGCCGATTTTGAGGACGTTCCATGTTTCGCCTGGATGAGGGGAAGAAGGAGAGGTGTGAGCGGGTGGGGTTAGGTATGAAGAGACATGGGTGCGTTCTCGTGGTGCGAAGAGAGAAGGATGCGTTAGGGCGATAGGACGACACAATCCAGAGACAAGTGGCATGATCCTGGCAAGTGCGATACCAATTCCGTCGATGCAAGCTCCGATATGTACGAGAGCCTTCACAAGACGGGAAAGAGTACCCATTTGACCATGGCTCATTCTACTATGCACAATGTGGTGTCCATAACTCCAGGAGGTGACGCCGGACAGCCCGTCAAGCTAATAAACATCGAGAGCGAGAACCAGAGCCGGAGGTGGGTGGACTCGACGTTGTTTCCGACGCAGAGCGATCGGTTTACCACATCGAACCCGCCGCCACAGTGATGCCATCGGAATCATTATGTGCTGTAGCATCACGACGACGACGACGGCCGACTCGTGGTTATTTCACGTCACGTCAGCAGAAGCGGAATGAAAACGACACCAATCCGACGAGGTGAATGACGTCCAAACGGTCGTACGAGCAAGTGGAAAGGAAAGCGGGGAGTAAGCTCTGACGCCACCGCTGGCAAAGCGTGAGCGCTGGAATGTTTCGGAACAATTGCCAACGACGTGTATTGTACTCCATGTAAACAGAGCATTGAAGCAGAATAAAACACAAAGACCGACACGCACCCGAAAGTAAATCAATCCATGAATTGACAGACATGCGCTCTACGGCCTCCTGCGCCTTCATCATCTTGAGCGCCTCGTCGAGCAACGTCTCGCCCGTCTGCCTGTCGTCTATCACCTGCACCAGTCGTTCCGAGAGCGGCAGCCGTCGTCGGTTCGGGTCCTTGTACATCGCTATTCTTCTCCGGAGCGAGAGCTCGATGAGTATACATCCCCGAAGCGCGTACGAGATGTTGTCGTTCCAAAACGACAGATAGCCCTGCAAAGATCAACAATCCACCAACAATATTCCAGGGATACCGAGAGACAACAGTTTATACAATGAATGAACAAATATAAAACAAAAACGAGACAGCTCTGCGCGCGCGCAACGCACCTGCCTGTCCTTCAGCCCAAGCAACAGCACTTCCTCCATAATCGTCAGCTTCGGCATCTTCCCACCCGTCCTCAGTTCCTCATCGTCCCTCTCCAAGTCTCGTGGGTCATACGCAATCTTGCTCCCGCCCGCGAACGCAGAGCCGGCGTGGACCCCTACCGGCGAAGCTGAGGATGCCGCCGCTGCGGTCCCGTTCGAACCTGAGGATGTGTGGCCATTGGTGAAGGATTCGGTGGAGTTGTCGCCGGAGGAGGGGTTGACGCGACGTCGTGAAAGGCCTGTGGATGTGCTCATCGCATTGGACGACGGCGAGGAGGGGTTCGAGGACGTGGTCGATAGACGTGAGCACTATATATTCTGCAGCGCGCAGTGGCTGCGCGGCTCGCGGGAGCCGCTCGGAGGTGCCAATAAGGCCGAATCGTCGTCGGAATGAGACATATGATGGTGCCACTCTTTCAAGCCCGCCTAGCTCAATCGGATAGAGCGTCAGACTCTTAGTCTGTCTCAGGCGGGTTAATCTGAAGGCTGTGGGTTCGACCCCCACGGTGGGCTAGTATTACATTTTTTCTGGGTATATTTTCTTGTGTGTCTTGCCTATATCAGCGCCCATCTACAACAACATCTTCTTTGGTTCAGTACTATGAGCTGTCTAATTTTGAGCTGCCTTCAGTGCCACCGAGACATTTCTTCTTGTAGCCTAATTCGCTCCCGCTCCGAAATCAAGTGCTAGCACTCGGCTTGGTCCGTACTGCCAGGACGCGATCCCCAACTCTTGTCCAACTCCCTTTGAGTCTCTTGCGTTCGTTCTGTTTTTTTTCTCTGCTTCTTGACAGGAGCATTCAGTGCATTCGATTTTTGTCTCAATCTTCGCTGGAAGGCAAGCGGTAGGAAAAGAAAAACACGCTACCTGCCATCACTCAGCGCTACACAGGTACGAGCACGTACTCGGACGCGCTCTAACCCCCTTGCTCTCTTTCCAGTTCTTATACTAACATCGACCTTTCTCTCTTTTCTTCTCATATATCCACCATGCCGCTCAGAAACTCTACTAGTACCACATCACTCACAATGGCAATGGACCACTTCTCCTGGTCCGACACATTCCACGCCCTCCTCTCCCCCTGCCTCTCCTGCCTCCGCGCCGCGCACCCCCACCCGCATTTATCATCCAACGACCACCTCTACCACTCCTCTGCCACCCCAATTCCAATTCGGTCCGACCAAGCCTCAGCCTCGCTTGAGGGATTATTGGCGTCAGATGCGAGCTCGGAGGAAGCAGAGACGCTTTCGCTGCATTCGAACTTTGGCGCGGGGAGGATCAGGAGGAAGAAGAAGAGGGCGGGGAATTGGGTGAGGATTTGGGGGTGGGATTTGTTTGGGCGGAGGGGCGGGGCGATTCAGTTGCCTCCGGACGACGTCGAAGCTGCGGACGAGGACGGAGGCGGGGAAGGGGATGAAGAGAGGAGGGAGAGGAGGGAAAGGAGGAGAAAAGCGACGCTTTCTTCCTCGACGCTCGATTCGGATGCCGCGCCCGTCGACGTTGGCGCCATAACCTCGCAGCTCGCCGCGCAGCCCGAGCCCTCCCTCAGTCTCGAGGACGAAGCGAGAGAGAAGGCGGAGAGAAAGGCACGAAGGAAGGAGCGTAAAGAGCTCAAACGCGCCGCGCTGGCTTATTCGCTCGAACACGGCGCAGACGAGGAGTTCGAGGGCTTTCAAGGGTCCGGATCCGCACCTCGTATCCCGTCCCCGTTCACCCGTGGGGCGCACCGACACCAAGATTCGATGAGCAGCCATACGAGCTCGTCGGGCAATATGCGGAGTCCGCCTCTTCGTAGTCGTATGCAACAAGGAGGTGATGGTGAAGAGGAAGATGATGAGGAAGAGCTCGCGGATGCGGATTTCGATGCGCGCGCGTATGCGAAGAGGAGGTCTTCGAATGGTGGCTCGGGAGGGACGGGCTCGGGATCAAGGTCATCAGATTCGAGGTCGAGGACGTCCGCGTCGGCGTCGCAAAGCGGTCCCAACCATACCCATCCTGCCTTCCCTCCTTCCCCCCTCGGCCAACCCGACCACGATCCCAGCGCCACCTCCACCCCCAACTCCAAACCGAAACGCACTAAATCGAAGAGCAAATCCTCGAAATCGTCCTCGTCCACTGGCAAGAAATCCTCCAATGATTCGAATAACTCCGATCCGACGGACCAGAGCCCTAGTCTCATCTCTCCAACTACTTCGCAGTTCCTCGACGCTACCAGTAAGGGTAGCGGTGGTGGTGGGGAACAATTGATTGAAGTGCGCAGGGAGGATTTCCTGGATCTGAATTTACCTTCGCCTGGATTCAATCTGAATCTGCGATTACCGACTATCGACGGACAGGTCAATAGCAGTGGGTTGGGGAGTGGGCTCGGTAACGGTAACGCTAATGGGAACGGGCAGGGTGGGCTGGGGTTAGCGACGAGCTTGAGTCCGAGTAATGGCAATGGTGGGTTCCCGAGTCCGGGGTTGGGTGGGCCCAGGAATGGAGGTGCAGGGTTTGGAGGAGGAGGGATGAATGGCCATGGAGTGGGCAAGAGGGATGTGGGCGCGTTTTTGGCGAAGAGTGGGTGGGATGCTTGAGTTCTTCATCGACGTTGGGGCTCAGGTCCTACTTAAAGGAAGCGGAGGATGTGTTGATTTGTTGTGATATTTAGGTAAGTTGTGTACGTTGGGTTGGACGTTGGACGGTATGGATGAAGCTGACGATGACGATGGTTGGGACGTCTACTAAGTCTTGTTTTTTTTTCCTATCTCTTTCTATGTTTTATGCATACACGTATGAATTTAGTCCCTCATGGTTGGATCTACTTGGTTTGGTGTTTCGTTCTTGTATATATCTGTGTTTTGACTGTATACCCCTCATTCTACGTTCTACATTCTATGACATGCTTCTGCGCCAAAATCTCCACACCGAGTACACACCACCCAGTCAGACTACGACTCGTTCGGGTCGTATCGCGCGTCCTCCCCAGTCTGATTACCCCAGAAGAGGTTTCTACCACGCACACGCAACCGTTGCCCAACAGTGGTGCTCTTCTCTTCCCGCCATGTCCACATCTGCAGTCCAGCCAGCTTCCGAGAGTAAGACCACCTCTCGAAAGCGCAGAAAGGTGTCCGATCTCGCCCTCGCCGAGCTATCTATAATATACGACCATCTTCAGAAGTTGCGTATCAACTCACTTGACGACGACTTATCTGATATTTCCGATGACTTGGACGAAGTGCTTGCGAAGATAGAGAAAAAGTTGAACGTGCCCAAGGTAGTTCCGGCACTCCCCCCGTTCCTGTTTTTGTCTCATTTGCTCGACAGCACACCCCCTTCTCCAGCATCAACCAACGTCTATTGGCCGAGCTCCAAATCACCGAGGCCAGTGAACTCGCGCTCAAGAGTGACAGTTCCAGACGCACTGAGGAAGCCAAGTCTGTAGGCGCGGACAAATTCATGTCATCGACGACTATGCTATCTTTCCTCCAGCTCCTTGAGGACCATACAATTCGATCTGTACGTCCTGTCCCCTGGTGCATATGCGCATGCCCTATCTACTCATAACCTTGCCTGGACCAGAGTGAAGCGTCTGCGCGCCTCTGGATTGATGTCTTTATGTATCGCGTCACCGCTATGGTCGACAGAAGCAAACATCTATTTCTGAACCTTGAATACACGGTCGACAATGAAGATATGTATGCGACCGAGTCACTTCAACACACATGTGGTGGCACTCCTTGTTGGACAAGACGAAACCGGTGCGCTCCCATTGGTTCACTTCTATCTGTGATATATGCTGATCATCGGACAGATATTTATCGTTTTTCACGGGATATCACGTTCCTCAGGACCCGGACCACTACACCCGGCTTCTTTATTGCAGAGGCCAAGGCTTCGACGCCTCATTTAGTGGACTACGTGCCCCAGGCAGTCGCTGAGATGATGACTTGCGCCAAGTCGTTGGGATATAATTTTGTTTTTCATTCCATTTATCTTCCCGCTGATTATATGTGTAGGCGGACCCATCTCCGTGGTGTACTGACGAACGGGGAGCTCTGGGTTTTCGTCATCGTCATCAGAAACCCAGAATGCCCTGGCGGAGGGTATTACACTTCCCCACCTATCCAGTTGCAGAGGAATAAAGCAGCGATTGACGAGGATTCGGCTAATACGATCTCTGGGATTCTTGCTGCCTGGGTACGTAGCTCAATCTCTAATCATTGTTTGGTTTGTTTTTCTTACATATGACAGATTGAAAGGTCTTTCGATGACATTGGGGAAGACGACTGGTTCTTTGTATCAAAAAGATTCTAAGGTGAAAAGCGGAAGCGTCGGTCGCCATCCACGTCGTACTGCATTCCCACTATTTGCTTCTCTCACCCCCGCACTCACTTCTCTCACCCCCGCACTCACTTCTCTCACCCCTGCCACAATGAAGTAGTGGCCGCCTCCGATATCAAAGACGGCGATGGTCGAGTACATGTACGCCCTGCATGACTTCCTTCCGGAGCACGATGACGGAGGTCGTTGACAAGGATGACCTGTATGGCGCTGGATGGTGGCAGGTCGGAATCTATCTTCTTTGTCTTATAATATGTGCTCTCCTCCCGCCTTCCATCTCCCATCAACTAGCCGCGTTCCTCTCCGGACTAGAAAGACGAGCGACGTCGCAACCCGATCAACCCGGTGTCTTATCATAGATATGTACGGCTCCACGCCTCCCGACTTTTTGCACTTGAGCCTTTTCTCCACGAAAGTACTCATCTTCTACTTCGCCGTTTTTGCAGCGTCGACGTTAGACGTGCGCGCCACAGTCTTCATCGGTTGAGTTCGAACATTCGTGTTGTAACATGACTTCCGATGCGGATTTACGGTTTTCTCTGAGGAGAAGGTTGGCGGAGGGAGAGGGTTGAGGGTTGGGGTGGGAACGTCGAGGTGGTACCTCTCTTTTTACTCACTTTGGTTCACCATTCTTCCCACCCGAAACCCTTTCATCCGTCCCATGAGATCTTCCGTTCATTGTGCATGGCTGTCTGAGGCGATGTAGCTACATTTGAGCTAACTTTCGGACGCGTATGCAGGTTTTCCTCCGCTTGTCACCTGGAACGATTCTCCAGAATGACCCTAGACGCACGGACGCTCGTGGATACCTCATTGATGAATGGATCAATCAACCACCCAGCGGCGGAACCGATAGATGTATGATGGGTATGAGGACAGACGAGGGCAGGGCGCAGTCCCGCTAGGGAATATCGGAGCATCGCTGATCTTCGACCAGGATGTCGTCGCTCTCGACACTCTCCGTAGCATTTCAGGTAATTCAGAGTACTGGTCCCCCCGCCGTGCTTGCCATTCGCGCGAGAGCGGGGTTCGACTCCCCACCAGGGAGCTTACTTGTTCCATTTTTCCTTTGCGGCACCCCAGTATTTTTGGACTTGTGTACCCGGTTGCGCTTGCCTCAAGCTCTGGGTTATTGGAGTGGGATCACGGGGTTCGGAGTTTTGCTTCATCTTGATCTCTGTAGTAAATTGGTGGTAAAGAATTTATACCAGGTGTCGAGGCTTCATGCGAATCGTTATCGACGAACTCTAGACACAGTGAGGTAAATAGGGTTCCCCTCAAGTATTTGTAGCGCTACAATATCGTAACCTGCCTACGAGACCTGGCGGAGATGTCCCAACGTTGACGTACGAATATACTCTGCTAGCCAGAACGAACATGACTGTTTCCTGCACGGCATAAAGTTGAAGCCGGGAAGAAAATGACTTTCACCAAGGCTTTCTGGATTGTACTCTGGATCTCTCTCGATGCTGCACATGTTCGTTTCGCACTGCTGTGCGACACCGATGCAGCACCGATGTCGCGTCCGACTTCGCCGCTGTATAGTACTGGTAGTAGAGGGGAACTTGTCGTTCCGAAGTCTCGTCATTGACAATCCGTGTAGACGTAACTGTAGATCGTGAGTCCTTTCTTGATATCTCTCATGTTTAACTCAGAGGAAACAAGTTACTCGTGGGGAAGAAACATGAAGTCGTCGCCTCCGTTGCGCCTCCGACATCGCCCCAGCTCGGTGGAAAACATTTCATTCCGATACTTCGTCACTGGAGCTTCTTGACGATCCCTAGATGAAGGGGTCCGTGAGTTTCTCCTTGATGTTCCTTATGTTTAACTCAAAGGAACCAAGGCACCCATGGGGAGGAAAACATGGGAAAATTCAAGTGTTTGACGTTCGAATTCACTGTGGCCCAACATAGCCAGTGGCGCTGCAGCTTCTGAGTGCGTCGTCCGGGAACGCCCGGGCGCCTCGTTCCATGAAAGCGTGGGAGTTGGCCAATCCCCTCGTTGTTTTCAACTCTCCAAGGTGAGCTGTATACCGCGATGTTGCGGACGACTTTCCTGCGTACATTTTTTAATTGGCTCTCGTGAGCGTATATGTCCTGTTTCGTAGGCAACCACATCTGGTTACCATCTCGTCGTTCGCTCCTATCCTTAGCGCGGCCTTTCAGGTGACTTCAAGGCGTTTCTTATCATGGTATCAATGCTCCATCGTCTGCGTATCCTGCTTTTCACTTTGCGGAACTGGCATTCGTGAGACTCCGTTAGTACCGCATGACTGACAATTATTTTGGTACAGATGCACTGCCTAACTTACGCCATTACGAAAGACTGTATTTTTCCCGAACAAACTGTGCTCCGGCCAGGCTACTAGTCTTCGTCACGTTTTTCTTTGACCTGGTGACATTTATCCCTCGGATAGTGAGTCTACGACGTGTATGGAATGTCAGATCGTGCTGGTCTACTCATGCGAGAGTATTTGGTTGGACAAGAAAACGCATTGCAAACTGACGTTCCGAATGAGATCGTCGAGGTTGCATGCCCCAGTCCATCTCCTTTCTGGCTAAGTGGTCTTCCGGAGGCTTCCTCTTTTGCCGATATTGCCTCCTTCAGCGTCATCGCAACTCTACCTACCTCCCCTTTCCCCAATCCGTCTCGAAACCTCCCACTGGAGGACATCGCCAGGCGTCCCACACCACCCGTTTCTCACACCCTTTTCGTAACTTCTCTGATGCCGGGCAGTCCGAGTGAAAGACACGAGGCAGAGCCTGGGACACTAAGAAGTTCATTACGCCTGTCCGTTTCTGGAACGACTGCCCCGTGGGTGAAGATATCATCTTCGCATCCGAGGCCCTCTCTCTCCTTTGTTCTTCCATACAAGTGAAGACGGCTTTCTCGTTTGAAGAGTGCTGGTACACGCTCGATCTTCGCTTTCGTTTTCCTGGTCGGTCTTCTTGGCTCGCTTCGTTCTCTTTGGGCTTATAGTATCTGCTTGTACAACACGATATATACACCTCGCATCCTCCTTGTACTGCTTCACTTCCGCCCACTCTACTGTCTCCCTTGTTCTTGACTTGGAAAACTATCACGCGTGGTTTACTCCTACGCATTCCGATCGAAACCAACCTGAAGCCATTCAGACCTCCGACATTCGCAGGTGCGTACTAGGTCTACGATGTCATGCTCTATGTCTCTGACTCGAAGGCGCTTCTTCTCGTTCTTTGGGTGGCAGGTTATCATGTCGTCCATGGTGGCTAACAGCGGGCACTCTTACATCGGATACACGCGTTCTATATCCCCCTACTCTACCTATCGCAGTTCCGTCTCTTCAGACGCGACTGTACGCGGCCGAGGTTCGTCTCCAACAAAGTCCATCAATGACTCGGGTCATGGACACGGCCCGCTCGTAAGGTTCTCTCCTTGACGCCGCCTCCCCTTTACCCTCCTCCTTCCATTCCCTCCCTTCTGTGATAATGTATCAACATACTGCTCCCTATCTCCATCACTCGCCACATGATTCTGACCACGTTTTCTGTCGTTGCAGGAGAAAACGTTTCCACCAATCCACATCCATCCGCCCTCGACTACCCTAGCTCCGATAAACACTTACATAACCACCCCCATCTCCGACTCTCCTCTCACCGATTCACCGCCACAAACTCCCACCTATCCTGCATATCATCACCACCACCAGCACCTCCATCGTTCGCCGCCAAACGATGTTCCTGGCTCGGCGCCTCCCACGGCTGCGTCCGAACATAGGTGGTCAGACATCGTACCGCCTCAGACCGCTCTCACTTTCGCTGCGGTCTACGATCCCTCCGAGGGACTCATCACGTTCTCGGGTGCTGAGCTACTTCCGTCATCATCATCATCGTCATCATCATCTTCCTCGTCATCGTCGCTCTCATCATCATGTTCACGTTCCCCGACTCCTGCGACCATAGGCCACGTACCGTACAACTCCTCATGCGCCCCTTCGCTCCTCAACTCCTTCCCACCTTTTCCTTCGGACGGACAGAGTCAAGTCTTGACCATCGACAGGATCGGGTCCGTCTTCGGCATGGGAGGGAATGGGATGATCACTCCAGCGTTGAGTACGGCGCAGTTCACGACGTCGGACGGGATGGCGGACATGAAGAGTATGCTGGAGACGTACTTCCGGTCGGGGACGAAGCAGCAGCTTTTGGCGGAACAGTACCTTCGGCCAATGGGTAGCGGGGAATCGAATGCGCGCGCTTCGAGCGCATTAGAGGGTCCGATTTATGAGGCGTTGACGAACATGAATCGACATGTCAGGGTGAGAACATGTGCGGATGAGGATGAGGACCAGGGTGCGAGGAGCAGGGATGGAAGTGATATGTTTACGTGGAGTTGGCTGGATAAGTTGGGTGATCAGTTGATGTTGAACCCGTCGTTCGACGCAAGGCCGTATGGGGAGGAGGAGAACCGAAGAGTGGATAGTGGGTATGCGGGAGAGCAGGAAGAATATCTCGCGTCGCAGAGGCAAGCATTGGATAGTGCGAGGCGGGCGCAGATCAATAGGTTGAGGGGCGCGAGGAGACAGGACATGCAGAAGGGATTCACGCTCGAAGAACTGATGGCGGAAGATGACGGAGAGCCTATTGATCCAAACGAGGTACGTGCCTTACTATTCTCGTATGTTTATCCGCATCTCACTTCAATACTCGCCACAGTTCTCTCGATTCTCGGTTACGACTACCTCCACATCAGACTACGTCGACGTCGGCCTCCCTATCAGCCCCTCTTGCTGTTCAGCCTGGTCGACCCTCGAAGCTCCCGACCATGGGTCCTACACAGACTATACTGTGCGACATCATCACACCCAAGCCTGCAACACACGTACAACACATGCTCTACACTCCGCCAACACCAACACTCCTCCCCGCAACAGGCTCCAGAAGAAGAAGAATCTCGACGTTCCCTCCAGCACCCGCCCTGCCAAACCCGAGGAAGTATTAGCGAGGATAGAATACAACCACGAGTCTCCCATCCTCCCTTGCTCCTCTCTGTACGAGAAGTATCGTACCCTGCCCACACTTCCTTCCCCGCTTCGTCCAAAGGAACGACCTCTTCCGAAGCGTCCTCGGACGCCACCGCCACCGCCTCCCAGTAGTTTTCACCGCCCAGGAACCGCTCAATCAAGCCCTAGCAGCGGTAAGAGCGGCAAAACCTACAAATCCGCACCCGCAGGCCCCGTTCGCTCTGCCTCTACGTTCGCGTCCACATCTCCAACTTCGTCTCCCTCCAAACCCAAGTCTATCGCCTCCAACCACTGCCGCTTCACGCGCTCCAACTCCTCTCCCGTCGTCTCCCACTCCAGATCCCAGTCCCACCCTCCCGTTCATACGCGATGGGGGAGCACGAACTCCGGTCAGGAGAAACCGAAGTCGATTCAGACGATCACGCGGAAGAAGAGTGTGATAGAGAAATTGGGGAGTATCAAGAGGGAGCTGGTGGGAACGAAGGTGCCGAGGGACGAGATGTGGGTGTGTGTGGATGTGAGGTGTGAAGTCACGCAGAGGGATGTTGCGGTGAAGAATTGAACGTACTTCGTGGGCAGTCTCCTGATATTGAAGAAGAAGAATGTATGTACTTTCATTGTTACATGTTTTGTTTCGCCCCCTAACAATTATTGTGTTTTAGGAAGTTTTCTCGGTCTGCACCTCTTACTCTTGGACAACTTTCTTGGAATAAGGTCGGACTGTTGTATGATAAATAAACTGGTCTGAGTTCGTCTTCGTCTTTCTGGCTCTCACTCACTTTGACGCCTTGCCACACTCTTTGTCCTTCTAATTCCTTTTCCCACTTCTTTCTGGGCTGTGGTTTTGTTCTCTGCCAGGCATACCTACCTCGGCGTTTCCTGTCGTACGATTTCTGTACTACGGTATACATCTCCGTCGCTCCGCATTCACGACTCCCTACGCCCGCGGACATTCTACAAAACTCGTCCTCTCCACGCACAAAATCTACGACTATAACGATCCGTCTGCTTCACTCGCAGCCTTAGACTCGGCTTCTTCACGACCCATTCCCCAGAGCCCTATACCCTACTGTACTATTCCGTCACCTTGAATCACAATATGTATTCGGGCTGACTGGCCTCAGCCTATCCACTCCCGATATGTTTTCTGACGTTGTGGCCACGCTGGCCCTCCTCAAATAGCCGTGCCTTGACCAGGGGCTCAATCCATACATAAACCGACTATCGATCGTACATGAAGGTCTGAATGAGTAGAGTTTGGCGAAGTCCAAATCTAATTATAAGGCATATAATGAAAGAAGGCGAGTCAGATACGGCTAGAAGCTATGTGAGTATGTGTGTTCAAGCCAATGGTCGTACTCTTGCTAGTGACTGCTACAGTACACCCAGCCTTGGCATGTCAATATTCCTCGTCGTTGCCTGTGGAGTGCGAAGCAGTACTTCGCAGCCATGCTCAGTGAGCGTGTCAATATCCACTAGATGGTCCCATTTCATGTCTACATTCAGGTTTATACACAACACGGAGTAAAGATAGTCTGGGCAGGCCGGGCGATATCTCCGTCGGTTTGCGTCATACATCCATGGTTATTTACAGCGCACCAAGAGATCATGAGGCGAGTGAGTGACTGGGAGAAAATAGCAGTTTATTAGACATACATAAAGTGTTAGACTTCGAGTGTGAGGACGGGGCTCGAAGGTTATGCCTCGCGGCAAAGGCATTGCGAACACGACGAGGCAGCGTGATCAGTAAAACCCGACTCGGTCGCGGGGGCATCCAACTCGAGCTCCTGGAATGGGTCGAGAGCCATGTTCTACGACTCACAAAGGAACGACGATATCGATGCACGCATCAATATTTTTCGGGGGTATCAAGTGCAACGGGGAGTTCGGCCACGGAAATACAAATATCGAGTACGACACCATCACCGACTCTAGGGAGCAGAGATGATTGACGAGCCCCTATCTCTCGAATGTGAGACTTGAAGCTCGAAAGTTGGTCCTAGGCCGTTTATGATGACGTTCGGCACACAGTTTTCCGTCTGTTTCGTGTTTCACGGCCTTCGTTGGTCGATACGGCAGCCTGAAGCCACTCCACCTGGGAGTTGAGTTAGACATGGGTGTATTTCCTGGAGAAGAATGGGACGATGCTTCGATGAATCGGAGATGAGCGGGGGCATGCGTACGTTCGACTCCTGCATTGGCCTAATGAACGGGGCAGGACGAAGGCGAATTCAAAGACGGTCAAATCGCCGTGAGAGCTGATGAACACGACGGCGCAAAACCGCCCGAATGTCTACTTGATGAACAAACATGCAAGACGCTCATCACTTGTACGACAGGCGACCCTGCAGCTGTGAACAACGCTCGCAGGCAGCAGCAGCGTTCTGGGGTACTCGGGCCTTTCCGCGATGAACATCTTGCACGCTAGCAAAGTTACTGGAACCGTCGGGTGGAAGCCTTGTGAGAGGCGGCTCTGCTAGTACACGGGAAGCGGAGAGTACGGTCTTCGAGTACATCACGAAAATTGTGTTCACGGATTCTAAGAGGCTAGGGAGCGCAGATCGTCGAATACAGGGGAAGAATGAGACCCAGGGTTTGTTTCTTTGGATATTGGCAGACCTACTTTTTTTTTGTCACGGAGGTACATGAGCTCTGTCAACTTTGACAGTACGCATGATGGCAAAAGTATTGGAGCCGTGACTTAAAGATTGTGAGAGGCATTTATGCCCACAAAGCAGAGAGCGCAGCAGTGGAGTCCGATAACTGATAATCAGTACAATATTTCACGAAGTAATCTCGGAGATGCTCGACTTCTGCAGATGCGAACCCTCCCACTGCAAGTCATAGAAGCAATTCGACTCACAGCGCCTCCGCTAAGGCTTGGCAGATCCGCACATTATGTCACAGTAAAGCGCGCACCGTCATTCTCAATTCTCACAGAGAGGATATCCGTCTTCCAAAAAGACGGAACTGTAGCCGCCGTTGGTTCTAGTAGAAAACCCTGATGACAGCAGGGAAAACGCTGTGCTTGATGGCCGAAAAGTGCGTGCATCGCTCTCCACAGAAAGTATGAGTTAAACCGACAAAATAATCCCAGGGAAGTCCGAAGAGCGTACCACGAGTTCAACCAGCGTAGGGTTGTGAGATCTTGTGCACAACACAAATCTTTAAGATATAAATTCCAGATACATACCACATAATCATTCGAAGAGTGACACGGCACATTGTGAGTCCGAGTGAGTAGCAAGATGGAGAGAGATCATCGATGAGTGGGCACGGGAGCGCAGGAGTGCCCACGGCCCATTTCTAAGAGAATTCACGGTATTATAGTTCCAAAGATCTTCCGAAGTATCCAGAGAGTGGGCAAGCTCTGTGAAGCCAAGTGACGAGCAACATCGGGGAGGTGGAGGGCAAGAGAGAATCGCAAAACAACGGAGCCGCGCGACGTAGGGCTCCGGCGGCTTCTGAGTCGACGGCATCCTTCTCCCGACTATCACCCAAGATATGGCCAACACCCCCCTTCCAATAATAGTTATTTGAAACTCAAGTTACAAAAACAACTCATGGAAAGATGCGATATCATAGGCTTGAAATCAATTGGCAAAATTTCAGAGCTTTCTTGTCGCAGACCATAAAGAACGACCTGATGCTCTCTATGTGGTGCTCGATGGGAGAAGCAGGTAGGAAGAAAACTTGAACAACAAACCAGGCAGGCCTGCACATCCCCAGATCCCCGAGGTGCCCATATGCGGGATCCTTCAAGTTTAGACCAATGCACGATAGCAAAGAAATTGAAAACACTGCTTGAGGGATGTGAGAGGCAATGATAGTCAGGGAAAAGAGCGTGGAGAGAAGAGCAGTCGAGTGCGATATTTGTAGCTAGTCGAATATTTACTAGCTGATCTCGGAGATGCACATATTTCAACGTCACCATGCCCTCCCACTGCGAGCTCTACAAGCAGGTGAGAAGGCCACAATTCGCCCACAAATGGTTAACATATCTGCACATCGTAGCACGGAGCTATCCTTCTCAGTTCTCACCGAGAACAACTCCGTGTGTGACTGCAGCGGCCGTTGATTTTACTTAGCAGGAGATCCGAAGCGATAAAGCAAGAGAAAAAAGAGGCCTCGTGTTTGATGGCCGAAAAGAACGTACATCGCTTCCACAGAAAGTATGAGTTAAACGGACAGAATAATGATCCCAGGGGAAGTCCTATGAGTGCGATGTCGCACCACGAGGTTGGAACCGCGTATGCACATACAGTAAAGCCTTGAGCTTCTGCTCACAGCCCACTTCTGAGATATAAATATCCGGTGTGCGCCCTGGGATCATTCGAAGAGCGGGATGTCGCGCTATGAGTCCGAGCCCAAGGACGAGAGATTATCGATGAGCAAATAAACCCACGGCGGCGCCGCCTAAGGACTCAGGTGGACCATCATGGACACTCACGGTCCTCTTCTGAGAGGAAGAATTCCCAAAAGTATTGGATGCATACCTACATAGGATCTTCCACCGCAAATCCAGAGCGTAGAATGAGTTCTGTGGATCCAAGTAGAGAAGATCAACATGAATTATGTAAACGACGGAGCCAAGTTGGGCCCCCGGCCGCTTCCGAAATTTGAATATCAATCATTCTTCCTCAGGCCACCCGAGATGTGGCCGTCATCGCAGTCATTCGAAAATTTTGATTTATGGAATCGGTACTTGAAAAGACGAGACGTGGTATGCTAATACTTTCCGTATGAGACAGGGATTCGTACCTTCAATAGAGCTAACGCACATCAAGCGGTCCGTATAAGTTCATAGCTAATTCTTTCATCGTTACACGGAGTAGCGGTTGAGTTTTGGAGGTGTGGTTGGTGGTATCATAATATCATCATGTAATTATAGACATTTACAGCTCGTTTCATCTCGCCTGACTGAGACCGCCGAATATTAGAATACGAACGGGAGAACGACCATTAGACGTGAAGTACGTGCACCGATGTCGGGACCTCATGCTAAAAGGTGACGATGGTCATGGTCGAAGTGGCCCATGGTGCTCCTGAATTGCCCGAATCCCAACAATGAATACATACATTAGTGATCGGACTCTCAATGCGTAGGCCAGGGATGGATAGCGCACCTTACTGCTTTCGATATCGACATCACGAGCACTTTCATTCTCTTCCCTCTGAGACTCCGGATCACGTCCCGCGGTGCTCTGGCGGAAGCGGATATGGGACAAAGAGACCGTTTGGACTCCGGGTCCTCGTCTTCCCAGACCGTCGCTCGATTCTCTCAGAAGGTAGTCTCGCACGTTGAGCCTGTATATGGGTGTATAGAGGAATGAAGTGGTTAGTTAGTGGTTAACGTTAGGATTATGGCAACTAGAATGACCGGAACAGTCGAAAATAACGGATAGTGAGATCTTGGGAGAGACACTCACATGGATAGGAGCGAATTACAGCACGCTGTCAGTGTGTCTAATGTTAGATGATACCGCTAAAAATATTTCATAGTACCCTATATGGAGCTCACTTGTAGTGGTCAAAGTAGAGATCCCGACAAACCAAAGTGTCCGCGGAGCGGCGACGTACTATTACAGTAAGTGTAATCAGGAAGTCTCGAAGTTAGCCTTCCCTAGATAACTTGTCAAAGCATGAAGAGACGTACGCCAATCAAGTCGATCGTTACAATTGCACTGATGGGCGAGAGTATCAAGCAATCAAATGAATGATAATAATGAACGGATACACTTACTCTGGTAGAAGACCCGTCGTGACCACATAAAGGATCAACTTGTTCACGAGGCTCTCAGTGCTGCATTGAGATGAGAAATACGTCAGCGTGAGAAGGAATTGCGCTTGAGTAGTCGCATATCCGAAAAAAGGAAGCATAGAACATACCTTGTCCCGTCAAGTCCTCTCCTTCCTTTGTATAAGTAGTACACCAAAGAACCAGCACAAAGTGTATCTGCCGCGAGTGAGCAGCTATAGCCAGAGAGATACCAAGGCTTTCTTATTGACGAAACCCGAGTTGCACCGCAGGCACCGTCAGAGACAAGGGGTTATATATTATAAGCCGCGAGGGATGTATTGGTATGGAAAGCAAGTACCTCGAGAAGCCTGAGGACAGATGGGGTGAATGCGCTATGGATCGTCCTGCCAGTCCGCCGTGCATTTTCGACCAGTCGTTGCTTGATTAGGTTCTCGTGTGAATGAGTGTATATCATCGATTTAGGGCGTACCCTAAAGTCGACCACGCTAGATTCCCAGTCAGCATGCGAGAGCTACACATTTTGCAGTATGGTGGATGTCGGGATTCTACAACACTCACTGAGAAGCAGAGCTGGGTAGCGCAGAAAATATTAGACGTCAGAACACACTCCCTGGCAACTTGTAGTTAATGAGACCTACCGAGATTCAACATTGAGAACAGCGCCTAGTCGGCTCTGCATCAGCCAGTACGACGAATGCAATGAAGTCGTGACATACTCACTATCGTTCCGCAAAGAACGCGATTTCCCCCGCTCACTTTGGGAAAATGAATTATTAGCTGGGTGAAGACGCTTCACAGATCAGCGCACGAGCACTGTTATGTCGCACGTACGTATGTATAACCTCCACATCCAGAAACTGGGTTGAAAAAGAAAATTGGTATGGAGCTCGAGGTTACAAACAGATTCTAGACGAAGGAAGCCATGGAGTACACGTACCATTGTGTGGTGCACGTGGCCACGGTCTTCAAACAACGTCCAGTGTGAGACTCGAGGAAGTAGAAGGAAAGATAGACACGACATACATTAACGTATATGGATACCTATTCCGTATATGAGATCGAACGAGAATCTACAAATGCAAGTGCCCGCACCTGCATGCTCCTAGATGGATCAACCACGTATTTTTTAAGCATGGAAGGACCCCGATACACGAAATACATCAATCCGAGGTGTACTTACCACACAGCACACCCCAGACTGTCCGGAACACCCCAATTCTCCACGAGATAGTAATAGACTGCATGAATCAGAGACGCTTCATGTAGCGTATCCAGGAACCTAAGTCGTACAATCAAATGTTAGTGCAAACCGTCATGCATCCCAGTTGAGCCCAAACACTCACAGCATCCATACCACCTGTCAACATATAGGACGTCAGTGAGAAGGGACTGTGTGCTCGTGAAGTTGGACTCACTAGAACTTTGAAAGCCCAGTGATCGTTCACGGATCGTGCGGAGTTGAAGTAGAGGAAAGCTTGCAGGCAAGACACACCGTGCAAACTATTACAGCGAGAAAGTTCCAGTTGAGATCAACTTCTGGCCGGCAGTGCAGTTATCACTCTTACATGGATGCGAGGATGAAAATGAGGTAGAGGATGCCGAATGTAGACCCCAGTACGAGAATAGCCATGATGGTTCGAGCTCAAGAACCTCTTTCAGCAGAGAACTCGAGAAATTGTACCTGCAGGATGAGTTGAGTTCGTAGACAAATAGGCGAGTGAGCGAAAGGAAGGGCTGTCGACTCGTCAATCTCGAGCTCACTGTTATACTCTGCCGAAGCGATATTATGAGTCTGAAGAAATTGATGCGTTGTATACATGCCGTACATGATCTGTGATGCGTTACGTCTCAAGCTATCGTTTGTGTGCTTTTTGAACATCCTCCGAGGTGTAGAAGGATGCTTTCTGGCGCCTGTTTTTAGTTCAGGTAAGCAGGAGGTCCCATCAGTGTGATCCGCATCCTTGATCGCCTATATGAGCTCAGAGTGCGCGCTACGACTAAATGTTGATGGGACACCTACAATGAGATTGTGGCTCCTACGCACTAGTACTCTGCGGTGGGGAGAAAAGTTGAATGGAAGCCTGACGGACCACGGTTGATGTCGAAGGATGGTTACGAAAAGCCTGACCATGATACAAGATGATGTACCGGTTGTGTCGGCGTTTCAACAGATCGACCCCTTCGAGTGCACACTGCGCTGGCCAATACAGAAGCTGCTAGGTTGACAAGTTCCTGTGGCTCGCCGCTCTCGTTACAAACTAGAGGAACAGAGAGGATGGACTCGGACGAAGGATGAAAGTAAACAAACTTGACCTGACAGGCTTCCGGAAACTGCCGAATTTCATAGAGTACATTCGTCACCCGAGATGTGGCCCTTCACCAGCTCGACTCCTAGCTCGACTGAACCCTCTAAGCTACTATACATAAACGCCATGTTCTACCATGATGGATCAAAGCTAGCACTTACAGCCAAAATTTCTCACCGGAATCGACGACAGTGACGGTCCTGTGACGATGCACTGCCTATGTATGCTGTCGGCTAAGGACACTAATGGTGAGGGGATGACAAGTTAGTGGGCGCCAGTCTATGTGACCCTCCGGATTGTCGCAAAAGTCGACCAAAACATATCAGGCCGTATAAGTGTGTATAAGGGTATATTAGGCTCTTAGCGGCGCAGACCGTTATACGGTAGCAAAGAGGGCAATATGGCCCAATAAGGTGTATAACCTTATGGAACCTTGTATGGCCTAACCGATCAATATAGAGCCGAAAACCACTTTCCAGGCGTTATGTTCTGTTCTCACCATTCTCTCGACCTCAGCATAGCAAAGATGGATTGTATTTCACATTTATACAGACAGGGACATTGAAAATAAGGGCGCAGACATCCAAGAAAAGATATCTCGCAAAACATGTGCCACCTTGGCACCATCGTTATGACCCAATCGTTCCATACTGCTCGACGAATACATGAAAGTCTGGAAACCGATTATGATATTGTACCCAATGAATCAAACAATACTGCACTCGCCAATGTGGATGGAGACAAGAGGACCCGTAGGCGATTGTATTCGCAATCCATAGACATGGGAAGTATGATAACAAACGCACAATTGTCACAGAAGACAGTGAAGCAGCAATCCAGACACGAGAACAAGCTCACCTATACAGGCACCGGAAGCATAGAAAATATAGTTAGATTAGCAGCCGAACATCGAGGAGAAGGGGCGTACACTTTGAGAAGATCGATAGAGAGCGCGGTCTTCGACGACGCAGCGCGAGTACATCATATAAAAATCATCCTTGAACCTACCGGTAAATCATGTCCAGTCGAGGCAGGAGCAGTCTTAGAGAAAAGGAGTGGGGAAGACGGACGCACAGCGGTGATGATCGTGTCCTCTTCAGGTGTCCGATATATCTATCACTCTATAGTCATAGTTTCTGAACACCTCAATAGTGCAGATATTCCATACGATCAAACACCTTCACGTTGAAATCACTAGATGATATGTTCGGGTAATAAGGCATGCCGCGCATGGGCGTCGAGTGAGATGGTGGTCAAGAGCGAAGAGGCGTGCGTTGACGCGGGTAATGATGTCATCATGATCACCGTGGGAAGCTTCTCCCTTATTGTTGATCGCTCTGTGGCCCATAGGCCAGCACCCGCGGTAAGCCACTCATTGGCCCGCGTCATGCACGACGACGAGCTGGTCGTTCATATCTGTTCGCCTTTCCATCAACCAGAGAGGTTGAATGATTGCTACTTGTGATTGTCGACTCCTCGTGCCAGAAGGAATGATATGTTTCTCAGAGCGTTGATTGGCAGGTGGTGTGAACCGATAACTTAGGTGGATTGTAGGTACCTACTATCCTGTGCTCTCGATTTTCTGGTGGCAGAGTGTTGGAAGAATGTACAGGGAGGAGTCACATGCAGAATTTTTTGAGTAGAAGAGCTCGAGCGGGGTGGTCTCATGTGTCTAACATTCTCTCAACCAGAGAGACGCCGGAGACACTACCTCATGAATTATATGTTTGCGGATATTCTCCTGCGCACTGGCAGATTGAGAATGTATTACATGTTGACTAAATATATACTAGATCTAGTCTGTCCAAAAGTAGCGAGGCGATGCTACCTAACGGTGCATCATAAGCCATGCATCGTCCTGATTAGGTCCAATATGGTCCATTAGGTCCCAGCGTCTGTCAAAATGCCTGGTAAGTTTTGAGCGACTTTTGCGACAATAGAATCGTCCTTTGAGTTACCGAGAGGCAATCACCAGGAGCAGTCGAGTTCAAACAGAGGCAGCCAAGACGAGGTGTCGTCTATGTAGCGAGGTAGAGCAGTGATACAGAGTAACACCGAGTAGCGTTCATATACCGAAGGAGAGAGCTGAGCCACCAAGCGCTCTACGTCGGCGATTTCTTGTCTGCGTACGGTTTCGGATGCTACGTGAGTGTTGCTGGTGACGTTTACGCAACTCATATCGTCGTGCGAACCATCAATCAAGCATCATCAATGATAATTGGTCGTGCATTTCTCTTCTGCGGCACCATGGTGTATGTGCATGTACTTCCACAGTCTCCTCGACCTGATGTTCGGCATCGACAGAGTTTATAATCTCCCTCGTTCAGGCCCCCCTCTCACTCTCGCCCCCAGCGCCAGGATCTGCTATGGCTACTCTCGCACTAGGATCCACATTCGGCGTATTCTACGTCTTCCTAGTCCTCGCATCCATGTGAGCCCCAGACAGAGCACGGCTACGTCTCCAGAGTGGGATGGTCGGTAGGGGAATCTGATTCAAATCGATTGCAGTCTGTACGGCGTGTCTTGCGTCCAAGCGTTCCTCTATTTCACCTCTGCGAGATCGTCAAGAGATCATGGGGCTGTTAAATTTTTGGTGCGTGCCGCGTCCTTGTGAGTCGTGGTCGTACCTAATTCACTCTGGCTCTGGCTCGTTGTTTCAGGTTATCTGGATGCTGTAAGCACTGAATCCACCCTTCCGTCGCTGAGAGTCAACTTCATGCACACATCCGCAGCTTTCTGGATACATTCCACGAGGCGTGTCTCATCCATTCCGTATACTGGTACCTCGTTGACAACTGGGGCGTCCCAGAAGGCCTTGGCTTTGCCGTCTGGTATGTATCCTAGATCCGATCTGACTGCCTCTCCCTGACTGAGAAATTGCAGGAGTCTACAGGTGCGGGTGCTTATGATAATTGTTCTTTTTCTGCGGTGTAGTCTCGTTTGACACTACGAGTTCTGGACAGGTCTCGGTCTATATCAATGTTCGTCTCGTATATATCCACTACTCCTCGAGTTGCTACATACTCACACTTATCATGCTATACTTACGACAGAGCGTGGCCACCTTCACCACACAATGGTCAGTGATGGAGGTTCATCTCTGGTACATCGACCTCTGACGATAGCATACAGCTTTTGGATATGGAGATTGTACAGGCGTGCGTCATCCCTTTACTCTCGCTTTTTGACCTAGGCACGATCCATGGTGTTTTCTGAGATGGGAACGCGATAATTCGCATGTGTATAGTGAGCGGAGGTAATTTCGCTCTATGTGGCACAATCGCAAGTCTTTGTCACTTTTTGATCGTTGTGCATTTATGATACATGGTACTTAACTGACGAGTACCCCCATATTTCAGGCCTTGTTCTCTGTTTCAGATTTTGGTGAGTCAAGGTGGAAGGATCTAACTTAAAGTGACGGGTGCTGATTTCTGATTTCCGCCCTTGGTGAATGAAACAACAGGTCTACTCCTCAGTAATTGTTTTCCTGATCATCAAGAGAGGTCTTATCTGCCCAGTGACTTACTACTCGCTTCTACGGTGCAGCGTGGACGGGCCTCGGGTACGCTTAACATTCCCCATAATTCAGTCTGATTCCGACACTGAAGGAACTTCAAAACGAAACAGGTCGATACGTACCTCGCTGACATCAGCTAACCTTAAGTTCCTCGAGGTATGTACCTTTTTATCGAGAGAGGCCCTCTCACTTTCTTTTGCTGGTGCTTATACTCAACTCAAACAAACGTGCGACGTGAACCTTCACCCTGAAAGCCCTGGTATCTCTCAAGCTACGCCTGTTCCATCGTGGCGGATACGCTATGTGCAGGGTCCCTGGTGTATTACCTGCATAAAGGAAGGAGAGGACTCGACGGTACGAGGTTCGTTCTCCTTTCCCTTCAATGGTCAACTCTGCAGCATGCGGATAAAGTTGAGCAGAGGATATTGAATATACTTCTGATCTGGATGGTACGGTATGATTTAGCACTGAGAGTCTCGTGAATCGATTGATATTGTACACCGTCACGACGGGTCTTCTGCCCGAGTAAGTACAATTACATTTCTGAACACCTTCTCTCGTGCTTCAAAGGCTCCAGTGCATACTGACTATATTTCGCTATTCACTACTAGTGTGATCGTGATGGCGGACCTGATTGCGGTACGCACATTCTTCAATCTTCCGGCTGTCCTGGCTATCAAACCCTCTCGTACATACTCCGACTGATTCACTCGTTGAACGAACGAACGAACAAATAGTACATATCAGCCCCTCAAACCCTCTGGTTCGTAGGCATCGCGACGTTCATCACCACAGGTAAGGCTTTATTTTCACGTTGTACATACGCTGACCCCAAGATCCATGCTAAATTGGAATCACCATCTCATTGGACGCGCCGAAGGGTACTGTAACTCGTTCCTCTCCATATAAGTATCATCCTACTCCTACACTCCGGCTCAATCTTCTGACCACTTATTCCTACTCCCTCCGGCGCCTGTATGGTGGCGGTAGCCACTTCATGTCACACCGTATTCAATTTTTTCTTGACCTGAAAATAGGATTTCTGGACTCAGGGACCCTCATTCCAGAGTAAATCCGCCATTTTGAAGTCAGGGGATTTTCCTAACCCTAACCCTAACCAAACGGCCAAATTTCTGGTGAAGACCCACACCAGGAACCCTAAGTACCCGAGATATATTGACTAAAAAAATTTCATGATGGTATATACCTGGAACATCTTGCAGTCCGGTTGTATATTTGCTCGTACAGTCTTCAAACAGACGTTGCAGAAGACTGCCAGGCTACAGTGGCGGAGTGGCGGGGTGGCGGACGACCACACGTGTGACAAATCATGCCCAGTATGGTAATGTCACACGCACGTGGTGTGACAAACGGCCAAATTTCTCTGACGAAAACCCCCCCGAAGAATTTTTAAAAAGTGCACCGACCATCCTCTAGATACCCTCCCTGGGGTCCTATATATGAAACAACAAGCCGCCAAACCCCCGAATCCGTGTTCCATTAAGCAAAGGGTTCCGCGGCACAAGGCTTGCCATGAAGTGGCTACCGCCACCATACTCTTATAAATCCCAATTCCCGCATATCCTTCATGATCCATCAAATGCTTGCTCATTGACAGGCTCAACATGCGCGACTATCTCCTCACCTCTGCCGACAAACGTGGGCGTCAACGTCCAGGAGCCGACTCGGAAACGCTTCCCATGTCGCACATCCAGTTCAACATCTCCGACACCGTTGGCCATAGCGGTGCAAATGAGGTGAACATAGGCTCCGAGTCTCAGCGCTTCGGCACTCACCGTGACGAAGGGACTGCTGGAAACGATGAAAACAAGGTGAATGCAACCGCGGTCAAATTTGAGCTCTCTAACGCTGATGATCTACGAATTAAGATTTCGATTGTGTAGAAGGTCATGCGTGAGCGCGAGCTGGAGGGATGAGCGTGAGCGGTCTGGAGAGGAGAGGATGCATGCATGCAGTGCCGGGGGTGACTCGTCCAATTCAAAAGCACAAATTGCCGATTGTCGTCGTGTTAAGTATGGCTTTTGTTGGATTTTTGCGTTCCTTCCTTCCTGGCTCCAAAGTCGGACAACTGTTTTAAAGTAAACTAATTGCATGACTCGCCATCCAAGAAGAACTAAATTACTAAGACGCAGTGCTTTGCTGTAACGTACTCCCTCGGCCATGGATAATCACCGTGTAACTAGATCAAACATGGGTACCAAAGCTAAGTGATTGAGCGGCCCTTCTCTAACTCTATAAATGGAACGCCCCTCGAATAGGCTGGTGCTCTTCATCATTCGTCTCATTTCTCTGTTGACACCACATCCTCCGTAACACATCGTTCACTCGATATTCTGCGAGTCTCATACACACAAGACCGTCTATTCCCTCAAATGTCTCGTTCCAACCCCTGTCGCCCAAATCGCGACCGCAGGACCAAAACTCCCACGCCACCGTGTCAATACGAAAACCCGCCACTTCTCTCCGCTCCAGTGGATGAGCACACCAGAAGTGGCTGCGAGACGCTGGCGCCGGAAATGGATCCGTTTCTCGGACCGCCGAGCTAGAATATTTCACCTTTGGCTCCATGAAAAACGTGCTGCAGCTATGGAATCCACGGTCAGGACTCCACAAGCACATAGTCCACGCATTCGACCACCCTGTCTCCAATAATCGACGCTCAAAGCCCCCTGATGCCAGCTTGAACCATGCTCTGGATACATTCAAGCAAGTCTGATCCTAGGATGAGAAGGACAGAGTTGTCTCAGGATAGAACTGGCGTGAGGATTGAAGGGGGGGTAGGGTGGGGGAGCAGGAATGGACGTTCTGTTCTTGCGTTGAGGCTGCCAGATCCAGTTGAATACAGGTTCGGAAAGGAGGATGGAAGGGAGAGGGAGGGAAGGTACCCTCTCCGACGTCTATAATCTCTCGATCCCTCGGATGATATACCGAGCCATTGTTGGCCATCGGAGTTGGTAGAGGAGGAGAGTCGACAAGGTGGGTAGGAATGGCGCAGGACGGGGAGACAGTGCGGCAGCGGGATGGCATCCTCGTTGTCGTTATTGGTCATGGATGAGGAGAAGCACTCCATGCGAGATACCTGGATCATGAGAGAGCGAGTCAGCCAGGATTATTTTAAATAACGGAGGGACGACGTGTATACCAGACATGGTCAGTTTTCGTACTGATACGGAGGCGATGGACTCTCGGCTTGCGGTCGCGATTTGGGTGACAGGGGTTGTAAGGAGGCATATTGAGGGAATAACCCATCCTGGATGCACGGGACACGCAAAATATCGAGGAAGGGACGAGTCGCGGAGGACAAGACGTCGACAGAGAGAAATGGGACGAATGATGGGGAGCTCCAGTCCGTTCGAGAGGCGTCCCATTTATAGAGATAGGCCACTGTAGTGAAACCGCATCGAGAAACGATAATCTATCAACCAAAACAGTAGGCGCTGTCAGAGCTCGCTTACCGCAGCTCGACTTGTACGCGCGGCCTTCCATTCCAACGGAATAGCGGCGTGAGGAATAACGAAAGAGTAGAGTTATTGTATTCATTCCAAAAAGCGTCAAAGAAGGATAGAGATGCGACACGGAACAGATCGTAGAGCACAGGGTTGCCGAACGGGGAAACACAAGAGGATTGTATTCGTTTCCGATTGAAACAGGAAGCACCGAGGGCACGATCGTGCTTCAGGTCTGACAATAAAATTATCAAGGGGAATTTCAGAGAACAAGGGTCAGCCACAGAACAGCCAACGTAGTCTAGACGAGGCACTGTAACAGGTGTGGCGCATACCTGAATCGGGCACCGCGGTGTCTTCTTGTCTGATTAGGATCTTGTCTGAGTACTTGAGGATGTAAGATGCGGAAATGCTGGACCGGTAAGAGTGTGCAATATACAGAATGGGGAACCCCAGCGAACAAGCAAGGGCCGGATGCGCGGGGCGAATCTGACGGTTGCGTGGCGTATAATGGGAAGGTTGCGAGCCCTGTTGCTGTTCCGCCTTGTGTTATACATGTTATTATGTGCACCTATACAGCAGGTAATAATCATATAAACAAAGGCTGTAAGTACATTTCTAACAGCATTGTCAATAAAGAGACCGGATCGCAGCATGAGGTGAGGAACAAGGGAGACATTGATCTGTCCAAAACGGGAAGTAGATGATTAAGCGCCGTTCTTTCGAGCGCCACCACGTTTGCTCCGCTCGAGATCCTAGGATGACGTGTACGTTAGAGCATATGCAGCACAATAGCGAGAGTCGAAGAGTGTATGGTCTAGTTCCCAGTCAATCGCAGCCGAAACCGCCAGTCCAAATTCTCTACGTTACATATGGCCCAATATCTGCGGAGAAGCAGGATAAGAACAGTCTTTCAAGCGTCGGCGACCGCACGTGGTAGAGCTTCTGGGCACGAGCGACGGAGAGAGCGAAAGTTGCAGGAACGAATGTCGTTGCCGTCAAGTTGCCGTTGTGGCGCTCTGTGTCAATCGCTTCATCCCGGCATCTCCCGATCAATTTTTGCGTGGCACAAAATGGCTTCAAAGCTGAAGCGCTGAAGAGTCACGGTCATCCGTCCCTTGCTTGTTCGCTGGAGCTCCCCCTTCTATACCACACTCTTGCCGGTACAGCATGTCCGTAGTTTCCACCCTCATCTACTCGGACCCAGACAATATCCTAATCAGACAAGAAAGAGGCTGCGGTGCCGGATAAGTACTTATAACTACGCGCCACGCTGAGCGGCGTCTACACTCGTTGCAATTGGCTGTTCTGCCCTTTGTCCTCTGAGGTTCTCGTTTATATCTCTAATGTCAAATATGAAGCACGATCGCGCCCCAGGTACTGATTGTTTCAATCAGACGAGAGAAGGGAAGCGAGTACAATCCGCTTGTGTTTCCCTGTTCGGCAATCTTGTGCTCTACGATCTGTTCCGTCTCGAATCTCTACACGTATCTTTCTTCGACGCTTTTTGGGATGAATACAATACATCTACTGTTTAGTTCTCTCTCACGCCGCTGGACGGGAGCACGTTCCAGCCGAACTCGGATAAGCGAGCTCTGACAGGTCACAGCGCCTATGTACTACTTCGGTTGCATCTTGATAAAGTATTGTGTCTCTATGCGGCTTATGCGCCATACTGACCATTCTCTATATAAGGGCGAGACTCTCAAATGGCCTCTCTCCATAGATAGATGGGGCGCCTCCCAAATGGGCTGATGCTCCCCATCGTCCGCCTCATTTCTTTGTTGACATCTCATCCTCCACGACTCGGCCCTCCCTCCCTCGTTAGTTTTTTTTTTTGCGTGTCCCGGGCATCCAGAATGATCTATAATCTATTGCCTTGTGAGTCGTTATAACCCCCGTCTGAAGCATACAGGGTACTTACTCTCGTGTTCTGCTTCTTAGAATCTTACTTATATCACTTTTTTCTAAAACCTGAGTACTCTCTGGTGAAGGAGTCATATCGTCTGTTCACGATTTGCCCAAATCGATCACCGCGGCTAGTTAGGAGTTTCCACCCCTCAAGAGGATATTTCTGTAGAGTACATGGTGCGTTGGTTCCAGATCTCTGACTATCCGAGTATCGATAGTCACCCTGACCCTGACCCTGACCCTCAGCCATCTTCCTCCACTGCACTCTCTTCATCAACATCCCTTCGAACGACAGCGCCCTGAGCCCGCCACATTGACATTTGTCCACTGGCATCCATCAATTTTTTTCTCTGATTTCGGTCCAATAAAACAAACTCCAAATGAACACGCAGGTCTCAGGCTCTTGGGCGAAAACAAACTTCGAGAGTCTGAATCGAGACGGATAATCGATCTTCCGACACCACACTTTCGATCCCGTGGACTCATTGGAATCATGGACCTCCGATGCAGGGTTATCCATATCCACCATGGCCATCTAGGCCATAAGTATACTACTTACTTCATGCACAGATTCAAAGTTCGGAAATGCTCTCGTCGTAGGTCCTCTTCGCGGCGTCCCGGGGATTTAAATTTGTTTAACTGGTTCATAGAGTCGAAGTTGAAGTTGAAGGATTATATATATATAGCTCGGTGGTCCAAGAACGTAGTCTAAGAGGCGTGGGACGTCCTGGCTTGCGGGTTGTAACCGAGGCATCATGATCGAAGGATGTAAATACACGGACATGTTAGAATATCGAGTGAGGCCTTGCCGGTCGCGGAGGATGGGGTGTCCATGTCAGCAGAGAGATGAGGAGAACCAAGCCCATTCGAGGGGCGCCCCATCTATGTATTATTATAGAGAAGAGTCATGCAATTAAATTATTGGGCTTTGGGTAAATTATTAGATTATTAGATTTTGTTGTATGGTGATCGGGGGACGGTACACTGGCAAGGGGGATTGCATCGTACGATTTAATTAGGAACTTAGCTCTATTCTCTTTCGGTATTCGGTATAGCGAATACATGCAGCTTGCTTCAAAACTTCAAAACAGCGACCGTCTGAATTTTGACACAGGAATGAAGAGGGACGCAAAACAAAAATCCAACACGACGTTCTGCGTTTTGAATCGGACGAGCCAATCCCGGGCCCGGCATTGATCATGAGCTGCATCCCTTCCTATGTACCGTATCCTCGCCTCGCCTCTCCTCTCCAGACCACTCACGCTAAGCAAATACCTATGTACCTCCAGCTCACGCTCATTTTATGACCTCCTACGTAAACCTTAAAAATCGGCGTTAAAGAGAGACGTTACCGCGAACGGTTTGAACTGCCAGTGGTGGATGTGCGGCATGGGGAATGAATGTTTCCCGAGTCGGCAGAGGTGAGGACGTTAGGGCTATCGATCGATAAGCATGGGTTTCGTCGATGAAATGTCCTCGTTATGGTTCCGTATTAGGAAATCAAGGTTTACGGGAACGAGAGCATCGCAGGTGCGTATGTGAAAAGGTTCCGGGGGGGGGGGCGAGGGTGTGAAGAGGACGATGCTGTTGGATGAGTTGACTTCCAAGAAGGCATTGCGTGTCAAGGCCGCTTGCATGCGAGGTGAGAACTAGAAACTAGAACTAGTACTGGCGGCGGCGGCGGCGGATTCGTAACCCCATGCTGGCGGCGAAGAAGAGTACATATGTAGGCGGCGGTGGGTGTGAGAGAGACGGTAAGATGGTAGGAAGCTAGGAATACAAGCTAAGAACTGGCGTGGCCCATAAGCTAGCGCCACTCGGACTCGCGGCGGATCCAGAGTTACTGACAGTACTAGTCTAATGAGATGGAATACATGGTCGAACTGATACGAGGCTGAAAACGAGTATGATATGGAGGAAAGCAAAGCACGGAGTATTGAGGTTCAAAGACAGTCTTGCGAGGGGCTAAGTACTGGAGAGAACAGCGTCGTGCAGTGTTTACAAAGCAGAAGATGGTGGAGAGAAGGAGGGATGGTTAGAAGCTGGCCACATGAGAACCGTAGTGTGGCCTAGAAGGTAGCGCCACGAGGACGAGCAAGGGATAGACAGGAAGACGAGGGACGACACGCACATCATGGTCGCGTTGTCGTCGAGATGGCTCGAGGCGGAGAGTGAGTACGACAATGAGGACGAAAAGAAAGAAAAGAGATAAATAAAAAAAAACACGGTTGAAGCAGATCCGTGCGAACGGCGTCGTCCGGGCCAAGCCTCCGGATGCCTGCGCCTCGAGAAAAGGCCTCCTCGTCGTTCTGTGCACGGTTACGACGAGCGTTCCTCATCGCCTCCTCTTTCATTCTCTGTATACGTCTGTGTTGTGCTGGGCCCGGGAGGCTCGATTTCCAAACGCTCTTTCCTTCAAATCCTTTGCTGTCTTGAGCACTAGCGTGGGTGTTGAATCAATCCCTATCTGGGCGATACGTAGATATCATACGCGTGGTGGTTTTTCGAATTTGCTTGAGTTAGTTCCATTTCGGTGCGTCCCCGAATTCCCACCCTTTGCTCTTCTTCCTCTTCTCTGCTACATACCCCAAACGCTGCCAACTGCAGCTAACGACCTTTTAACGAAATAGCCCACAAACAAGATGTCCTCCTTCGGCGACTTCGCCCCGCTCTGCACACACACGCCCTCCTATCCCTGGTGCAACCTCTTCTACACCCAAATCAGCCGACACAACGCCTCCGTCTTCTCCGGCTCCTCCTCCTCTGCGTCCTCCGCCCCTGTCGGCATCAACCCCGTCTGTGGTATCCTCAGGGTCGGCGCGAGTAGGGATGGGAGTGGCGGAGATGGAATCAGTGGGGAGACGGGGACGGGACAGAGTTTGGGGAATGTGGCGCAGGTGGTGGCGTGTGCGCTTAGCTTGGTGTTTATGGTTTGGTTGATATGGGCGACGGGGAGGAGGAAGGCTGCTGTCGGTGCGTTTCTCTCTCCCTTATTCTTTCCTCTTATCCTTCACCTACACGTACTGAAATGGGAATACAGGCCGAATCGAACTCCGAACGTTCTTCATCCTCTACTTCCTCACCCTCCCCTTCAACCTCCTCACCTCCTCCTCCCTCCTCGAACAAGGCTCCTCCGCCCTCACGGTACTTACGGCGATACATGCCGGCTTGGTGGCTGCGTTGTTTTGGACGTTGTTGGGCAATGCGATCGTTGCGACGCAGGTCGTGGAGGATGGGACGATGAGCAGTATGGTGGTATGTGTTTTCTCTCCTTCCTCCCCTTTACCCCCTTTGCTTTGTTTGCATTTGGGTTTCCTTGAGTTTGTTTCGATGTGCGGTTTGTTGCGTCGCGTTGTGTTGTGCATCGCCTCTCATGCCCATGTCTCCCGTGGGTACCCCCACCGTAGCGTGGAAGCGTGCGAAGCCCACATATCCGTATACGTTACCGTATGCGCACGCATCAACATCCGCGCAGTTGATCATCGTGCCCCATCGCCCACCGCCCATCCCACCGCCTTCCGCACATCCCACCGCCTGCCGCACATCGCACACTGCACACTGCCTCGCAACCGACTTCCTATTCCTCGTCCGCCTTCGCCGTCCATGTGCACACGCTCGTCCCCAGTCTCTTCTTGTTCTGTCCACGTGCTCGTCTCTTTCGCGTCGATGTGCGCGGTTCTTTGGGTCCACGGTCCGTATCGGGCAGGCTTTGTTCTGTTCTTGTCTTCGAGCGGGTGTGTTATCCCTCGGAGGGTCATAACTGTTCTCCTCTGTCTTGGTTCGGTGTATCACGTGCCAGTGAGGACTTGTTGGTGTTAGGATCTGGGATGTGTTTTGCGCTTATGCTCATTGTCGTGTTTTCCGTCGACGTCGGGAACAATATATGGCTTTTTTTGGCTGTGCTGTATGCTGTATGCTGGAGTTGGCGGTAAACATACCGGACGCGACGGAGATGAGGATGGGCGTGACTTGGACTCTCGTATCGTGTTCTTTGAACACGGTACCCCACATATCTGATATCTTACACTTCGCGTTTCATGCATCCTTTTTCTTTCCACCACCTCTATTTTCGTCTTTCATATCCGTCCCTCGAAACTTCACTAACCTCTTCTCCCTCCCCTCCCTCCCCCTCTTCCTGCACCCCCTCCCCTCCCCTCCCAAAAAACAGCCCTTCTCATTCCTCACCCTCGCCCTCTTCATAATCACGACCTACATCGCCCTCGACACCGCCTTTTCTTTCACCTCCACGTTCGGACCTTCCAGTCCACTTGCGAGCGAGAACTCGGTGACGCTGTTTGTGTTGACGAGTGTTTGGCCTGCTGCGTGAGTTTTTTTATTTTGTTTTGGGAGGGGGGGGG